CCAAACTATACACTCTGTCCTGAGATATTATTTCCTAACAGGAATAATTGTTGTTGGCATTTTAGGTCACATGAGCTGATGCGTCCAAGCAAGCTTTAACACTACGTGAGCAATAAGTAGGAGAAGTAATCACTTTAAGCAATGTGATTACTGTCAGTGAAAACGTATTGGAATCACAGGCGGGTGTTGGCATTACCCATTCACAGGCTAATCCAGGGGTCTATGCTCACAGGACAAGGGATAGTACACAACATGAGCACTACGTGTCTGCTAATACAATCTTTGCATTTGATATAATGCCTTATCACGTTGTTGAGAGGTCCTGAAGCACTTCACTAAATATATTGTAAATACTGTGTATTTTGTGAGCCAAATGCAACAGCCATTTGCACACAGCAGTGTCCCACAGTTATGGATTGAGTGACCAAATTTTTTGTGAGGGATTATTACTCCTGGAGAGCGATACGCCAATCGATTAGCAACAGGGTTCCTACTTGCTGCTAGATAAACAGAGACATGTGGAGTGAGGAAACGTGCTTCAGGTTTTGCCCTGTCTAGGAATCGAACTGGGGTGAGCACGCTAACAACTATGCTATGGGACTCCACATCACGTATCTGTGCACTGGTTCAATATGAGGGATCCCTGAGCCACCAATTGAGGCATGGATCCCTGGAATAAGGAGCGTCCAGCAAGTGACCTCACATCGCCTCAAGAGGCTGTAACCAGGTCAGGCTAAGACTAACGGTAACCAGGTCTGTCTGGAGCTGATTGTTTGCTGCCCTTGTGTTTGATCCAACATCAATTACAGCAGAACGTCTCAATGTGCTTTGCAGGGAATCTGTGTAACGTGCGGTGACTGTGGACGAACGGACGAGAAACGACTTAATGTCGCAGTGAGCTCATTGTATGGCCTCTCACGGGGACATCGCTGTGAGCAAATCGCCCACCTGCAAAACACACAGTCACCACACTTTACAGCAAAATCCTGCCAAGTGCTTTGAAACGCCCTCCCAACATGAAAGGCAAATACAAGGCTTTGGGGTTATGTAAACTTGAATGGTAAGACAATATTAACTGCAAAGCATATGAGACTGTTTCATCTGTGTAACTACCGTGTAAGCAGGCTTTAGCCAGATTACTCGAGGGGTTTGTGTGGGCAGCTGAAGTCGTGCCGGATTCTAGGTCATTCGACAATAAGCTAGATCCCAGCTACACTTGAGATAGGGCATCAGGTGAACACAGCCCTTAAAACATCTGGCCAGTCTGACACAGCTGTACACACGGGGAGTTCCTCATCCCTCAATCATTGACCTGTTTAACCTCTTTCACCTTCTGACTCCCACAACAACCACCTAATCCAGTCTCACGTCTCTCTCTGAATTTGAAGTCTTCACTCACACATTCGTTTTCCTTCGTTCCTGGATGTTGATTTTAATAACATTCATAAGGGCTGGTGAGATGGATTTCTAAAAATAATAATAATAATGCTTGTATTTGATATAGCGTCTTATCATTGAGACGTCTCAAAGTGCTTCACAGAATATAGTATAAAGTGAATTGACTGTGTATTTTGTGGGCGAAACGCAGCAGTCAACTGCACACAGAGGTGGTCTCACAAACAGTCATGGATTGAATGACCAATTTTTTTTTGAGGGATTATTATCCCTGGAAAGCGATCCACCAATTGACTAACAACTGGGTTCCTACTTACTTCCAGGTAAACAGAGGCGTGTGGAGTAAGGAAACCTGCCTACGTTTTCGCCCGCCTGGGAAGCCTCTCCCTTGTGAGGCTTGCCTGCAATCTTGTGACTGTGCCTGTTGGTTTATGGTGGTGCTTGGTTAAGGATTATTTTATTATTATTACGCTCTGTATTAAAAGATTAGAAATGTCAGATTGCTGGTTGCTTCAACAGTCTAGAAAGCTCAATGTAACTATTAGTTAGGATGCGAAATGAGAGTGGAGGGGAGGGGGTGGGTGTGTGTCGAGATGAAATGGCTTTGCTCCTTGACAAATCTGCTGTTGAATAGTTCGGTGTTTTTAATATGTGGGTTATGTAACAAAGCGGGCTGCCTCGCTGCCCACAGGACGGTGAGTCTGTTCACTCGTGTGCATGTAAGTAAATTGGGCTTTGAGGCCATCTGTGAGCTTCTTCATCCATCAACAGACCCTCCGGGTCTCCTGGATTTCTTTCCTATTCTCCATCTTCATCAGAGACTGACCCAGTCACATCCGACCCACTTTACAGCCAGTTCCTTTTGGAAGTTGCTTCTTTCAAGAATATATAACAATAATCCTTGCGTTTGATACAGTGCCTTATCATGTCATTGGCGTGTCTCAAAGCGCTTCACAGAATACACTGTAAAGTGGATTGACTGTGTATTTTGTGGGTGAAAAGCGGAAGCCAAATACGCCCAGCAGTGTCCCACAAACAGTCGTGGATTGAGTGACCAAATTATTATTATTATTTATTTATTTTTTGGAGGAATTATTATCCCCAGAACGCGATCCCCCAATCGACAACTGGGTTCCTACTTACTGCGAGGTAAACAGAATCATGTGGAGTAAGGAAACTTGCCTAAGGTTTCTCCCTGCTCAGAAAGCGATCCTGGGTCATCTTGCTGGTCAATGAACCCACGACTGTTTGTGGGACACTGTTGTGCGCAATTGGCTGTGGCGTTTCGCCCACAAAACACACAGTCAATTCACTTTACAGTATATTCTGTGAAGCGCTTTGACACGTCTCGATGTGCTAAGGCAGTGTATCAAATGCAAGTGAGTATTATTATTATCCATCTCAGGTTTTGTTCTGCGCTGTTTTGATCCGCGCTCTCCCCGTGCGCAGAGCGTATCTGTGGCTGTTTTGCTCGGACGTCCTGTCGCTGTTAATTAATTATAATTAATTACTTATGAAAGAACAGTCACAGGCAACCAAAATACACAGTCACTCCACTTTACAGTGAAGCACTTTGAGACGTCTCGACAACATGATAAAGCACTATATCAAATGCAAGGTTAATATTATTATTGTTATTATTTCATCTTCATCTTGCCTCCTCCACATCCCCTTTGCCCTCAACCCCTCTCCGATCCCAATCCACAGCTTGGGTGCAAACACCTCACCGTCCAGCGCCTTGAGACATCCTCTCGACGTGAAAGCCGCTGTGTAAATGCAATTTGTTGTTGACGGTGATGGTATCATTCGCACGCACAGATTTACTACCCGAGCTTCAGCTCAGCAAGAGATTTGCTGGGGGAACCCCCTTACAATGACTGATTTCTCTCCCCTCTCCTGTCTCCTCTCTCTCTCCTGATATGTAAACATTGTCAGCCAGGGAGATTTCCTTGTGGGGAAGACTGGCCCACAGCTGCGATTTCAAAGGCAATGCGATGCCTGAGTCACGGCTGAACGGGCGACTTGATGTGATTAGAATGAAAGAGCGAGAGCTGGAGGTGGAATAATGCACCACTGCCAAGTGTAGGCAGGGAATGGATGGGGAAAAGCAATTTACTGCTTTTTTGGGGGCTTTCAGTACACCCACAGTATCGCATCAAAGGTGAAATGCTACTGCCGTGATCAGATTGTTTAAAAGCAGGTTTCGGTCTCCTGACTGAAACCCCCTCATAGGAAACACACAGTGGGCTCAAGAGCATTTAACATGCACTATGAGAGAATACTTTTGTTGTGAAATAGATTTTGCTCTGTTATCAGAATGGAAATTCTGTCCAAAGGCCATTGTAATCCCAAATGCCAATACAAGGCGTCTCTTATGTGGAGTCCTGTAGCATAGTGCTTAGCATACTCGCCTCGCAAGCGAAAGGACCCGGGTTGGATTCTCAGGTGGGACGAAATCTCCCTACTCCAACTGCCTCTATTTAACTGTCAATAACTAGGAACCCGGTTATTTTAGTCGATTGGCAGATTGCTTTCTGGGGGTAATAATCCCTCCCCTCAAAAATATAAGATTTATTTGGTCACTCAATCCACCACTGTTTGTGGGACACTGCTGTTGCAATTGGCTGCCGCGTTTCGCCCACAAAATAAATTCACTGTACAGTATATTCTGTGAAGCGCTTTGAGATGTCTCGACGATGTGTTAGGGCGCTATATCAAATGCAAGGATTATTATTATTATTCTACAGTCACCTAATTTCCTAACAGCCCAAAATTTGTATTGATTTTGGATCATTATTCTGCCGTGAAAATGATGACGCTCACGCACACTCGCACCGATTCTCTGGAAGTCTAAATGCAGTTAAACACTTGAACTGAATATGCTTAGCATCATCCTCCACATGTTACAGTTGGTCAGTGCACTGCAGGAAAAGAACATGAGGATAACAGGACATGCGGACATCCCGTGGAACGGCCAACCAAAGGCGAAGCAATAGATAATTGACGGAGAGCGTTGAACCAAACCCATCGGGCTTCGAGCCCACAAACAATCCAGGGTTGAATGATGGCCACGAATGCTTCACGTTCCAGTTGCCTGAGGCTGTTTCCTGTGGGGCCTGGGCTGCTGGGCTGTCTCTTGATTGCAATTGGCATGTTCAGTGTTTAGTTAGACTAGATGCGTTCCCGAGTTAGTAACAATTTCTTTGGGTTAGTTGGGAGGCCAAGGGAGCGAGCAATAGCTCAGTTAGTCACGGTGATGTTTATCCTGTGGCTTTTGTTTTTTGGGGGATAAAACATGTTTTTAAAAAATATTTTTTTGAAAGACCTGTAGTGTAATGGTTAGCGTGCTCACATTGCAAAGAGAGAGGACCTAAACATTAGGGAGGTTTCCTTATTCCATGGGTTTCCGTGTGTGTCTTGGGACGTCCTCCTGACGTGAAAGGCACGATATAAATGTAACTTGTTGTTGTTATGTCTGGCGTCTGCCCACCCAAATGACTGATATCTTAAAAAGGGAAGCCCACTTCCTACAATCTGTTTGCCGTAACTTGTCGTGTGTTTCCAATTCCCAAATGTTCTGAAGCCTTTTCAACTTTCCTTTACAGCTGTTCCTTTCCCCCTCAGTCATCGACTGACTATAAAGGAAGTGTTTGACTGCGATGGCAAGCCCAGGGTGGACCTGCTCAAAGCTCACCTGACCAAAGAGGGGAGGGTGGAAGAAACCGTCGCACTCCGAATTATTAACGATGGAGCCAACATTCTCCGTCAAGAGAAAACCATGCTGGATATAGAGGCCCCAGTGACAGGTACGCTGCAGATTTCCTTACTCCACACGCCTCTGTGTACCTAGCAGTAAGAAGGAACCCGGTTGTTAGTCGATTGGTGGATCGTTTTCCGGGGGAATAATACCTTCAAAAAAAATAATAATTTGGTCACTCAATCCATGACTGTTTATGGGACACTGCTGTGTGCAATTGGCTGCCACATTACCCTCACAAAATATATAGTCAATTCACTTTATAGTATATTTCGTGAAGAGCTTTGAGATGTTTCGAAGACATGATAAGGCTCTACATCAAATGCAATGATTATTATTATTAGTGACATCAGAAGGACATCACAAAGTGCTTTACTGATTTATTGTGAAATGGAGTGACTGTGTATTTGTAGGTGAACACATGTCAACACTATTGCGCACAACAATGTCCCATAAACAGCAGTGTTTGGCGTTTCACCACACACCCCGCCCCAACCAATGTGGCAATGGGGTGGTCCTCATCTCCAATACCTCCCTATTCTCCTGGCTGTTTCCCCTCTTTTGACCATCTCACCCTCGACCATCCCCCTCTCTCTCTCTCCTTCAGAATTCTCCCAGTCTACTGAACCCCCAAACCTCCTGGCACCTTCCTCGTGGATATCTCCTCTCTCCTCTTGTCTCTGTCCCTTTGCACAAAGTGCCTGCTCATAATGGGTGATATCAACCTTCATCTCAATTCCTCCTGCCCTATCTCCTCTGACTTTGTCGCCCTCCTCTCCACCCTAAACTCCACCCTCCATGTAAACTCCCCGAAACACAAGCGTAGTCATCCCCTCAACCTCGTTATCACCCATGACCTCTGATCTATCCATCAAAGACAAGGCCATCTCAGACCACTTTCTCATCTCCTCTCATATCACACTCCCCTCCTTCAAGCCCTCCACAATCTTTTTGCGCCCATGGAAAAAGCTTCCCCCTGAGCCCCTCACAAATGCCTTCTCCTTCTCAGACCTTCTCTACGCTCCCCCAAATCCCAAACCCGGTTGCTCGAGCACAGGTGGCACAAAACCGGCCTCACGGTTCACTGCCAACTATGGCTCGAGCTACCACCACACAACTCTCAACCCCATACCACCCTCTATTCACAGGTCATTCTCGAGGCAAAAAACAACCCTAAAATCCTGCTTCCGCTACCCACTCCACACCCACTCTCAAGCACCTACAATCCTCACTTCCGATGCTAAGTTCGAAAAGGACCTGGACTTTTTTTTATCTGTAAGATAGATAACATTCATCTGGCTGCCTCCTCTGCCACCTCATCCCCCCCATGTTGCCTACCAACCACCCCTCCCATGCCTCCTTCATCACCTTCTCCTCCTACCACAGCTCCTAGCACGGCCCCTCACACTACACTCCTTTGCCCCATCTTTTCCTCCTCCCTATTCCCCCCCTATGATCACCCAGATGAAGCTCACCACCTTCGCCTTCGACCCCCTCCCCAACCAATTTCTGGTCACTCCACTCCCCCTTCTCTGGCCACTGGTGGCTGACATAATCAACCAGTCCCTATCCTCCGGCCCTGTCCCACTCCCCCTCAAAACCGCTGTCACTCCTCTCCTTCAAAAACCTACCCTCGATCCCTCCAACCTCACAAACTTCAGACCCATCTCAAACCTGCCCTTCCTGGCCAAAGCTTTGGAACGCGTCGTTGCAAATCAACTTTGCTCACACCTCTCCCTTCACTCCCTACTCGAACCCCTCCAGTTCGATTTTCGCCCCCAGCACCGTCAAAGTAACAAATGACATCCTCTCTCTCCATCTGAACAGGGTTCACTCTGCCTCCTTGTTCTCCTGGGCCTCTCCATCACGTTCGATACAGTCAATCGCTCCATCCTCCTCCACCGCCTCCTCCCTCATCTACCTTAGTGGGACCACACTCGCATGGTTCGAGTCCTACTTAACAAAACACTAACAATACATCTTGTCAAATCGTTTTTCCTCTCGCTCCCACTCAGCCACTGTGGGGTACCCCAAGGCTCCATCCTTGGCCCCTTTTCCTCATCTACATGCTCCCTCTTGGCGATGTCATCCACTGACATCAACTTCCACACGTATATGGATGACACTTAAATCTACTTCTCTTACTCCAGCTGCGACTCCCAGTTCACTGATGTCCTATCAGCTTGTTTGACAGACATCAAGGCCTGGATGAGAGCAAATTTCCCGCTGCTGAATGACGGCAAGACCAAAGCCATACTCTTTAGCTCACGTCATCGTCTTCTCTCCTGCGGGTCTAAATTCCTCAACCTCCCCGGGCTCTCCCTCAGACTTACCGAACCCGTGAAGGATCAATTTTATTGGGGAGATTGTTGTCCAGGACATTGTGAAAGAGAAACTCCATTCTCTTTTCGAATAGTGTGATGGGATATTTAACAGCCACCTGAACAGGCAGACGTGCTCTCTCTTTCTCTCTCTCTCTCTCTTTCCCCCCCTCTCTCTCTCTCCTGCCTGTTATTATTATCTGCCTCTTTCACCCACTGTTGGTAAATCCTCAAACGTGAGCACTACCAGCATCGACCTCTCATTAAAAAAAAGTTTATTTGCAAAGTCCATACAACAATTATGCTCAGTATTGCTGCACGAGACGTGTCTCAATGTAATAAATCTCCCTCTCAGAGAAGCTAATGGGAAACACCTGACACAAAGGTGACTTGTCCTCCCCACTGAGCAAACTGCAGCTCAGCTGAACTAATTAGCCAAACGACTGAGATGCAGATTAGACTCGGACGGAAAAATGAAGAGGTGGAGAACCAGCTGTTGACCTCCAAATTAATGAACTGCTTCCCTCGGCCTCCCTCGGCAGGCACAATCAGATGTTGATGGGTCACTGAGTTCCCAGTCTTTCCAATGATTCCCAGCGTCCGTGTTTGGAACCAAATATAGGTTGGTTTGGTTTTTTGCTCCTCATGTTTTCCCGGTTCCCAAGGAGCTTCGGGCGGTTTAATGCATCGGGGCAAAAATTCCGTCCGGCACCAATGGAGATTCCGATTGGAATTTCTTCCCCCCTTAAAGCGAGTTTGATGCCTCCAAAGCTTTAGTTTTCAACAATAAAAAGTGCCAAATGGTTTAGGCTGCCTCAGTCAGGCCTGCTGCACCTCCAGCAAAACTAACCCTCCCACCTGTGTCTGCGGGACGTTTTCCCAAACTGGCTGCCCTGCAAACACGCTCCCTGCACTTTGGAGCAATGAACAACAACAGCAGCTTGCATTTATATAGTGCCCCTCATGCAGGGTAGCGTTGCAGAGCACTTGACAGTAGCAGAGCACGACGCCGAGCCGGATTGAAAGTAGAGGTGACCGTAGGCACAGTTGAAGAGGAAGGTTTCGGGCATGACCTAAAAATGGGGAAGGAAGGGGCAAGGTGGCGGGTTAGAGGGAGAGAGTTTCGGGGCATAGTGGCTGAAAGCGCGGCCACCGATGGTGGAACGGAGGACAAAACACATACATGCATACATATATACAATCCTGTGTGAAGCGCTTTGAGGTCAAGGATCATTATTAATAATGCATTTGATATAGCGCCTCTTCGCATCGTTGAGACGTATCAAAGAGCTTCACAGAATATACTGTCAAGTGTAGAGACTGTGTGTTTTGTGGGCGAAACACAGCAGCCATTTGCGCGCAGCAGTGTCCCACAAACAGTCACAGTAACCAAATTATAATATTTGTGGGGGAGGGATTATTACCCCGAGAAAGCCACACGCCAATCGACTGTATTTGATAGCCAATATAATATTCGTTACCAAAATACAACAATTTGTAATTTAAAACAAAGTGAAACCACAAATGTTCATCATGTCTCCCCCAACCAAAAAAAGGGAGAAACGTTTTGGGAAAATTGTGGGGTTAAGGCCTATGTCAGGACATGAGCTAATTTAACCTGGCAGGACTGGGGGAATGCTGCATTTGTCAAAGGTGCTGTACTTCAGATTAGACTTTAAACCAATTTTTATTATTATTTATTGTCTGTCCATAATTCTCCTCTGTATAATGAGTTCTATCCATGAGTGCTGAATGAAAAACAATGGGATAATAATAATAAACCTTGCACTAGGTACAGCTCCTTTTCACTTCGGGAGGACGACTCAAAGCACTTCACAGGATTTACTGTGAAGTGTACGTGTGGGTTTTGTTAGGTGAAATGGGGCAGCTATAAATGGAACGTAAAATTATTGGTAATGGGAGTGTAGAGGACGGGGTGAGGGGTTGGATGAGAGAGGAGAGGAGGGATAAGTCTTAGAGTGGATTTTGCCACCTCTTGGCAAATGGAACGATCTGCTCCCATGATGGGACCATCTAAGCAGTCTGGCCCTGAACCAAAAAAACCAATCTGCGTGTCAGGATTCCTGAGCTGATATAACAGATACAGCAGCAGGCTTGCCAACAGAGGGCTTACAGAGCCGCAGACAAGTTACCAGAGCAGCTGTTTTTTTTATTGCTTATTAATGTTTATATTTAACCAATTGATCGCGGTCGTGGAGAATTATCCTCGCAGCGAGAGGGGGAAAAAAAACAAACTTGGATTTTTTTTTTCGAGAATGAGTTAAATTAACGATTGAATTGTTGGTGTTAGCAAAATAGAGGCCTTCCCCCTCCCCCATCCCCCTCCCCTCCCTCCTCCCCCATTATCACATGTTTGTTGCTTTGGGGCCATAACCCTGAACCCCACAATATAACGAGGGGGGGGGGAGAGGGGGTGCGGTGGGGGGGCTGCACTGGGCAGCAGAAGCAACAACAACTTGCATTCTTAAAGTGCCAGTTAAATGGGGCAGCATCTGGGAGGGTTTGAGTAAAGCAGTAATGCTGATATCAGAATATGATGGATGACCAGGCAAAGGCGATGGAAACTGCATGCGTGTGTGTGCACGCGTGTGCACTGCGAGTGTGTGTGTATATATATGTATGTGTGTGCTGCGTGTGCCCGTGCACGTATGTGCTGCGTGCATGTGCGCGCGTGTGGGTGAAGGATGCCGGCAATAGTCGGAGATGTGAGCTCTTTACCAGAGCGCAGATCAAAAGGCTGAGTCGCTGGAAACATCCAAGTTTAACGTAATTACGATTCTGATGCTTCAGCACAGTCACTGCAAGCGACGATTCATTAAAAATGAATGTCAATTGCTGCAGCTTTCAACTTATATTGAACATATAGCTGCTGCATTATGTATTTTACCCCCCAGTTTTACAGTTACATCTCGTTCCTGTGAGTTGCTCAAAGGTAGTTTTGCTGTAATACCTATAAGGAGATGATTTACAGTCCAGGCTGAGGCTCCAGTGCAGTGCTGGGGGGAGAGCCGCATTGTCCTTTGGCCCTGATCTTAAATCGAGATCTCTTGTGGCGTGACTCGAAAAGAGAAGCTTGCTTCTCCCTTCTGAGGTCCTGGCCAACAATCTGCCAAATTAAATCGGTCACTCGCTTCGTAGCTGTTTATGGGACGTAGCTGGGCGCAAATTGGCTGCCACGTTTGCCTGCAAATACACAGTCACTGCATTTTACAGTAAAATGCTGCAAAGCACTTTGAGATGTTCTGAAGACAAATGCAGAGATTATAATGATTGTTATCTATGGCTGTCTGCGCGGTAGCGTTAAGCACCCTGTCAGGTGGTGAGGAAGGAAAAGGCATTACTAAACGGTTGAGAGATGCTTTAAAGCCTGGAGCAGAGACACTGGAATATGGCACATCCTGGTATCCTAGACAACGCTGTGAGGAGCCCAGATCCATCTATTAATGAACTGAGCAAGATGTCAAGCCAGATCTTCAAATGAGGAGTCAAAGAGGCAGTGAGAGGGACAGTGTGCACTCAGTGTGTGGGACTCGGATATCTTTTTTTTAAAAACTGTGGACTCACCCCATTAAGGTTGAGTTTTGATAATAGACTAAGTGATCTTTTCAGACCCTGGTGTATTCCAGGCAATGTGTCCGCTCCTCTTTAAACCGTGAATCCATCCTGGCTCTGATTGACTTCAAATGTAAAATGTCTGGATCACGCCAGCAGACTGCACAAGCATAAAAAAAGAGCATTGGTCTCTGTCTCTGAGCTATCATTTTATTCCCACACTGATCCAAGAGCGCTTTGCATGTAATCAAAACTTCAAGACAATCGTTGCATTTGATACGGACAGCGCCTTTCATAAGTGGGGCTTATAATAATAATGCTTGCATTTGATATAGCGCCTTATCATGTCTTGGAGATATCTCAAAGCACTTCACAGAATATACTGTAAAGTGAATTGACTGTATATTTTGTTGGTGAAACGCGGCAGCCAATTGGGCACAGCAGTGTCCCACAAACAGTCGTGGATTGAGTGACCCAGCTGTTGTAATTTTTTTTAAGAGATTATTACCCCCAGAAAAGCGATTCGCTAATTGACGAACGACCGTGTTCCTATTTACTGCTAGGGGTAAACAGAGGCGTATGGAGTAAGGAAACTTGCCCAACGTTTTCGCCCTGCCCGGGAATCGAACCCGGGTCCTCTCGTTTGCGGACGAATGATCTAACCACTGAGCCGCAGCCACAGGATTTGTTGTTGGCGAACACAGCAGCGAATTTTCACACATCAAATGTTCCGACAAACAGCCACAAAGTGAGCAAGCGATTATTACAGGTGGGATTGTTGGCCAGGAGACCAGGAAAGAGAAACTCCCTTTTCTTTTCGCCTAGTGCCACTGGATCTTTAACGTCCACAGGCAGACGGGACCTCGGTTTAAGGTCCATTCTGAAAGTTGGTGTTTCTGACATTGCTCCTGGAGCTGAAAGCCCCTCCCACGGACGTGGGGTTGGGTTTGGGGGGGCAGGGAAAGGGGCTTCATTGAACCAGTACAAACTGCAGTTACACTGTAAATTCCAATAGAAATTGGAACGTCAAAAAAACATGTTTGTTCCTGATTGGGGATGGGGGGTAAGGTGGGGTGGGGTGGAGGGGGGTTAGAGCCACACTACATTCCAGTGAATTTCTGCCTGTTGGAATGCTGGACAATTGCCAGCAATTAGATCACAGCTGATTTAGTGACAGTCAGAATCTTCCACTGTGTTTACTTGGGTAGAACATGCTTCCTACCCACTGTTGAGACCTCCTCAGTTTAGACACTTATTGGGAGGGAGATCCCGTCAGAGTCCTATCTGGAATTCTGATTTAATCCGTTTGCCGAAATGGGAAGCCAGACTGGTCACTGATGCCATAATCTTTCCGGCTTCAGGCTAACTGTGGGCATTGGTTAATATGTTAATATGGTACGGCAACAACACAGCACTTACATAGCGCTCTTCACGCGGGGCGGAGTCTTGGAGCGCTTACCAGTGGCAGAGCCTGACGCCGAGCCGGGGAGAGAGAGTGGGGGAGGTGACCGGGGTAAAAAGCGGTGGGGCAGGGAGTTCCATAGGGATTAAGAGGATTGCCCTGATAATCCTTGCATTTGACGCTGTTGAGATGTCTCAAAACGCTCCACAGAATATAGTGTAAAGTGGATAAACTGTGTATTTTGTGGGCTAAACGTGGCAGCCAATTGCGCACAGCAGTGTCCTGTCCCACCAACAGTCTGATGCCATTTGCTCTGCTTCTGTTTGTGTTTTCAGTCTGCGGAGACATTCATGGTCAGTTCTTTGATCTGATGAAGCTTTTCGAAGTGGGTGGCTCGCCTGCCAACACCCGGTATCTCTTCCTTGGAGACTACGTGGACAGGGGTTACTTTAGCATCGAGGTAAGCGTTTGATAATGGTTTGTCACGAAACCCAACGATTTCACACGGAGCCAGTTTTTTTTATTATTAGTTGACGGACTTCGAGAATCTACTTGTTCCCTGCTCACCGCTCTTTCAGTGCGATGTTAGAAAATCCCAGCGAACTGTATGCTGAACCCCAAGAGGTAAAATGGTCTAATTTATCTCAACTCCCGCTTCTGAATCCGTGTGAGTTACATTTTTAGACAAAGGCAACACCATTCTGTCCTTTTTCTGGTGTTATTAATGTGATTTTCTACAGTGCAGCGTAGTGGTTAGAGTGCTCGCCTTGTAAAGCGAGGGGATCTGGGTTTGATTCCCGGGCAGGGCGAAACATTAGGCAAGTTTCCTTGATCCACATGCCCCTGTTTACCCAGCAGTAAGTAGGAATCTGGTTGTTAGTCAATTGGTGGATAGCTTTTCTGGGGATAATAAGCCCTTAAAAAAAAATCCACGACTGTTTGTGGGACGCTGCTGTGCGCAATTAGCTGCCGCATTTCACCAACAAAATATACAGTCAATTCGCTTTACAGTATATTTGTCTCAAAGACATGCTAAGGCAACAACAACAACAACAAGATTCCATTTATAAAGCGCTTTTCACGTCAGGAGGACGTCCCAAGGCGCTGCACAGTTGGCACTATATCAAATGCAAGGATTATTGTTATTGTATATGTATATATTACAATAATAAATATATACATTCACATACGCACGGGTTGTTTGTTGTTGCATTGCTTGAGTAACATTCCAATGTTAATAATGTTTTAAAGGTTCTAAAGGTACTGGATTGTGTAGACCGTGATAAGCTGTTTGATCTTGTCCAGAACAGTAGAACAGAGGACACAGCCTGGGATTGGAGGGGGGGTAAATTCAAAACAAATCTGCGGAAACGCTGTTTCAGTTAGCGAGTAGTCAGACGATGGAAGCAGAAAGTGTCGATTTTTCCAAAAGCAAATGAGATGGATTTTTTTTTAGGAAATAATATCTTGAGAATACAGTACACCGTTTGGGACATGACATGTGCAAGTGACTGCCAGGATAGTGAAAGGTGAACTGGATGGACCTTGGTCTTCTTTTGCCCAGCAAATTCTTATGTCTTATGTTTATTCCTGTTGTATTTTTTGAGGTGTTCCAATGATTTACTGAACTCTCTCTCCCATCCACACAGGTTGTTTTGTATCTCTGGTCCTTGAAAATCCTGTACCCAAAGACGCTGTTTTTACTCCGCGGCAATCATGAGTGCCGACATCTGACAGAATATTTTACTTTCAAGCAAGAATGTAAGTAAATACCTGGTTTATTTTGTAACAAACAGCTGGCAAGTTAACGAACTTTGTCGGAATCATTCCTCGCAACAGAACGACATGCGTACAACATCATTTTGCACCCAAATTCACCTTACGAGCAACAGTGCTCCATAAAGCACATGTACTGAGCTTTGAGGAGTCCAGGACGTTGTTGGTGGCATTGGTAAGAGGTTGTGTAGTGCAAGATTCAAGTAGAAACTGAGAGAGGATGTCAGACAAGCACGTAGTTCATTCCCTGCCTTCCTTAACCCATTAAAAATAATACAGTAATAGTAATAATAGATATTTCACAATGAACTTCTTTTCCCCCCCACCCCATCCCCCTCCCCGCAGGTAAAATCAAGTATTCTGAACAAATTTACGATTCATGTATGGAAGCGTTTGATTGCCTTCCGCTTGCTGCGTTAATGAACCAACAGTTCCTGTGTGTACACGGTGGGCTCTCACCCGAAATACACTCGCTGGACGACATAAAAAAGGCGAGTGCTTTTGCTGTATTACACCTTGGAGCTGACTCCGAAACTCCTGTAGCTCAGTGGTTGGAGCACTTGCTCTGCAAGCGAGAGACCTGGGTTTGAATCCCTGGCGGGGCGAAACACTGGGCAAGTTTCCTTTCTCCACACGCTTCTGTTTACCTAGCAATAAGTAGGAATCTGATTGTTAATCGATTGGTGGATAACTTTTTCGGGGGTAATAATTCCTTAAAAAAAATAATAAATTGGTCATTCAATCTACTACTGTTTGTGGGACACTGTGGTGTGCAATGATTGGCCCTCAAAATACAGTCAATTCACTTTGCAGTATATTCTTTGAAGCGCTTTGAGATGTCTCAATGATGTGACAAGGAACTATATCAAATGCAAGGATTATTATTATTAGTTAGCTCTTTGCTTCCTGCAAACTTTAACCCGTGTTTTATCGGCATCACATGGAGCCCATTACTGACAGCGCTGTTGGCAAAATACTTTTCTTCTTCAGTCATTGGGCCTTTCATTAATGCGATAAGACAATGAATGTTTGGTCAATACTGTTTAATCGCTGAACAGTTTATGACTTCAACACTTAGTTTGTGTGTTTATAAACCCGATCATAGGAGATAACTTACTTTTTTTTGAAGCAATGAGTGTTATTTCATACATGTAATGCTTTTGCTTAATAATAATAATCCTTGCATTTGATATAGTGCCTTATCACGACTTCGAGACGTCTCAGAGCACTTCACAGAATATACTATGAAGTGAATTGACTTCATATTTTGTGGGTAAAACTTGTAATTAGAAGTGCTTTAATTGGGACATCATGTTTGATCTGATATCTCTGAAACTGATTAACTAAACAAGAGTTGCCATGAAAGTCTGGCAATGTGGGTTAACTTGGTGATGATTTCCAAATGGAATAAGACGGAACGTGCGATGCTAGAGCACTGGTTTATGTCACAAAATACGAGTTTGTCCCCTTTAAATCCACATGAATATTTTACCGTTTTTTTCTGGAAGTGTGTAAATTAGTCAAACATGTGTCTGAATAATTGGAAAGTATGTGGAATCGTTATTAATAATTCACAAAGAGACTCCGCTTGTGGGGTATTTGACTTCTTTTGAAGTATTTTTGATTGAAGTTTATCTATTTAAGATTTTTTTTTCCAATAAAACGCCAGCATAATGCATCGCACGTCCAGGTAGCTGTTGATCACAATTGACACATTGTACCTGCCTACAAATACACAGTCACTACACTCAGCAGCAATTATCCACAATGAGCTGTGAGATCTTTGGCGAGTTAGTACAGGTGCTGTATTAAAAGCAAGGGATTATTACAGTAATAACACATTGTCAGGAAAATTAATGTATAGATCTTAAACCATCATAGCCTTATGCATTAACACAGCACAGCTCCATCCATTAACATAGATTTTAAACCTATGCGATGGACCCATGTTCTGCCTTTAAATACCATTTACATAGAGACCAAGTCTTGTGCAAAGGCATTGGAGACAATTGGCTCATCATATAAAATACAATATTTGCAACCCATTTCCTTACTGTGGCCCTTCCCGTCAGATTCAAAGTTTTAATAAAAGGGAAGAGGTGGGTGGGGTAATTAATCAATAACATCACGATATAACGTTATCGTATTATAGCTACATTGGAAGCAAAATATATTGTGCTGAAATTCCGTTGATGGGGGGAGTCAGGAAAGAGCATTCCATCCTCATGACATAGCACAGCTCCCAAAATTCCCACCTGTTGAGTTAGCGTTAGAGTTGGTAGGACTTAAAGCTTAAAGCAACCGCTCCGAGTAGTCCCAGCAACTCAGCTTTCTCAGATGTTCCCCGGCTTGGAGCAGCCTCGGAAGTGGTGAAGCTGAAGTGATACAGTACGTTCGTGGTCATGACGTGATGGGGTGGAAATTCAGTGTTGGACACACTCTCGATGCAGATCTCACAGCGTCCAGAATTGTTGAATTTGGAGGAGACGTTAAACCGAGGCCCCGACGCCTCTCAGGGTAGAAATTTGGTCACACACTCCATGGCTGTTTGTGGGACACTGCTGTGTGCAAGTTGGCTGCCATGATGGGCCACATCATGTACACAGTCACTGCACTTCACAGTACATCCCGTGAAACTCTTTGAGACGTCCTGAGGACATGATAAGCCATTATATCAGATGCAAGGATTATTATTAGATTATAAAGCCACCAGTGGGATAAGGCTTTGTGCTTCTTTTCACAGTTAGACAGATTTAAAGAGCCACCAGCGTTTGGGCCGATGTGTGACTTGCTGTGGTCAGATCCCTTGGAAGACTTTGGGAACGAAAAGTCACAGGAATATTTCAGTCACAACACAGTGAGAGGCTGCTCCTATTTCTATAGGTAAGTGCACCAGAGGCCATTTTATCTTCACAGCCTTTACTGCACCAATGCAATATTTTTCAAGGACCGTTTGAAGGACAGTCATTACATACTCGGGGGTGAGCTGCAAAGAACATTCATCCTATGTTAACCTACCAATGCTCTCGCCTCTGAGTCAGAAGGTTGTGAGTTCATGCTCCCCACGTTGGGACTTGGAATCACATGGTTTAACCTACGCTCCAGTGCTGGGGATCGGTTGCATTTTCGGAGGTGCCGTCCTTTGGATGAGACATTAAACCCAGGTCCCGTCTGTCTATTCAGATGGACGTTAAAGATCCCGGGATTTGGAAATAGAAGGAAGTTCCTCCTCTCTTGGTGTCCTCCTCTCTTGGCCAACAATCCCTCAGACAAACCTCATCTTTCACTTCATGGCTGTTTGTGGGTCATTGCTGTGTGCTAATAGTCTGCCGAGTTTGCCTACAAGTACACAGTCACCACACTGTGTAGTAAAATCCTGTGAAATGCTTTGCGATGTCCTCCTGCCTGCGAACGGCACTGTATCAAATATAGGGATTATTATTGACCGGTGGTACAGGCTTGAACGGACTCCTCCTGTCCCTAGTTTTCCTACGCTCTCGCCAAACACCGCGCTGAGCAAGATAATTTTGGTGGACACAGATGGGGGTATGCGATTGGCGAGGTGCGAGACGTGTGGTGGGTCGGGTTTGTGGTTGTAGTGCAGACTCAGAGACAGTGGTTTGAAGAGAGACTTTGAGAGCGTGTACGACAGAGAGGAGACTGTATTGTTCTCTATTTCGTATTTCTGGCCACGAGTGAGAGACTTGACAACCCAACCTGGGGGAGAGAAGCCCTGGACCTTCTCTGTACATCGCATACCGCACCACCGCTAATAAATCACCTTCAAAGCCGCCGACTGAGGCAGGTTAGCCTACTGACCTGGCATGCCGCCTGGGTTTCTGTGAGCCAGATTTAGACTCCACCTTCCATGTCATTCAGTCCCAGTTTCTCTGCACTGGATTGATGCCAAAACAAGCTGGGTTCATTGGCATTCCTATTTATTCCTCTGCGACTGTTTCACAACCAGTCGAGGGCAAGTCTTAAAGCTATTCTGTCGTTAGCCTGAGAATAGACAGCACCCAGGGGAGAACCAGACGGGCAGGTTTGTTGGAAATGAGAAATGGCGGATGGATCAGAGCAAGTTATTTATTACGAGGGTTCAGGTACTGTCATAAATCCAAGCATTAAAAATACATCGGAACTACAAACAGGGCCATAAATAGTGCCTTTTGCCCAAAATAGAAGCGTGGAATATATTTGGCTTTGAATATATCAACAGCTTTTTTATTAATGGGGGGAAAAAAAACAGAGTCAGGCACAGATTCTGCGTTCTATTAATTAGAATACCTTAGCGTCGTTGCCACGTGAGAATCAGTTTTGAACAAAAGAGGTCCTTTTCAGGGCAACCCCTGGTCTATTGTGTTTTGGGTCCAAAGAACTAGACCCCCACCTACGTTATAGCCCGATTCCCCCCTCAGAATATAGGCCGTAATAGGCCCCCCACCCCCAAAATAAAAATGGCTGCTGGTACCACTTCAGGGTCATCGTGTCATGGGCAGGAAGTCACGCCAATTTGCGCAGGAAGTGTATCTGCGAGTCCACAAGACTTCCTCATGCAGGAGCGAAACTAGTTGAGAAATAAGAGTGAGAATTCAGAGCAAGGGAGAACCATTATCTGGCACAGACACGATGAGGTGAATGACTTTCTGCGTGCTATAAATTTCTATGCTACGTGAAGTCCTGTAGCTCAGTGGTTAGAGCACTCGCCTTGCAAGCGAGAGGACCCAGGTTGATTCCCGGCAGGGCAAAATGTTCAACAAGTAGGAACCTGGTTGTTAGTCGCTTGGCAGATCGCTTTTCCATGGTTAAAAATAATAATAATAATAATAATTTGGTTACTCAATCCAGGACTGTTTTGTAGGACTCTGTTGTACGTAATTGGCTGCTACGTTTCACCCACAAAATATACACAAAATAGTCTATTCATTAGCGCTTTGGGACATCCTCCCGACATGAAAGGCCCTGTACAAATCTAATTTGTTGTTTTTGTTTACAGTATGTTTTGTGAAGCGCTTTGAGACGTCTTGAAGATGTGATAAGGCTCTATATCAAATGAAAGGTTTATTATAATTACGCTTCATGCATTCCGCCCCCTGCACTAATCCCTCAAGTGAACCAAACACGAAGGTGTTCCTTCAGCAACAGCTTAGTGCTGGTTGCTGCTGTCAAAGGTGTCAGATTAATTAGCGGTGTGTGTTTGGGTGTGCAGTACATGATTTTTAATAGGAATCAGAAAGTAAATCCAGAACCGTACTTTTAACTGTACGAGAGAGTACAGGTTCAGGAATTGCAAAGGGGGCAATTTCAGGACAGGAAGTTTTTTTTAATGGAATAATAATCCAATAATAATATTATTATTATGTATTTTCTTATATTCAAAGGGTAATTAACGGATGGAATAAGGTTACCAGGAAGGGTGGTTAGGGCAAGACGGCTTGATGTTGTGATGGGAAGATGGTAGTTCTGGAAGGGGTGAGATCAGATGGGCTAAAAGGGCCTTGTTCATCACGAATGGATCTTACGAGCAAATGTGTAGCTTAACAGCGTAATGGGGCACCAAATGAGAGCAGAAAGATTCCAGTTTTATTGAAACAAAGTGAACCCTGCTATGTGACCTCATTGCTCCATTAATATCCAACCAAATGCAGCTAAACTAGGATGATAAATGCTGGTCTCACCACAACGATCCATCCTGGCTCCTGTGGAATTTTACACCAACTCCCCTGAGCTTTTATAAACTCATTTGTCTTGCTCTATTTCATGCTAGCTGAGGTTGTCAGTTTTAATTGGGTATAATTTTGCTGCTATAACCTACTTTCCCTGATGTCCGGTGGGGGGGGGGGGGGGGGGGGAGTGGGGGAAAAAGATAAGAGGACAAAACAATTCCCCATGGCAAAGAGTTTTGGGTTGTTTTGTTCTCTTTCTCTGTGTAAGATTGGGTTTTTGTGAATTTAAAAAAAAATATTGGCAGGAAAAGAGGCAGCACCTTACTTACAACCCATAGGTATCATCTTAAAATTAGAGATAGTCCATTTAAGAGTGAAGTCAGGAAACCTTTTGCACACAAGAGGTAGTGGAAATCTGGAACTCTTTCCTCCAAAGGACAGGTGGATAGGATCTAATAAAATGTCAGAACAGGCTCGAGGGGCTGAATGGCCTACACCTATGTTCACTACCCAGGTTGAGAGGTTGAGGGGTGGCTGAGGCTCGCAACAGCAACTTGCATTTATATCGCGTTCTTCACTCAAATAGTGGCTCGGAGTGCTTAACAATGGCGTAGTTTGATGCCGAGCTGGGGAGAAAGTGGGAGGTGACCTCAGGCCCGGTTGAAGTGAAGAGGAAAGACGTGTCTTCAGGGATTGAGGCAGGGAGTTCCAGAAGGTGTCTGAAAGCACGGTCGCCGATGGTGGAGTGGAGAGGTCTTGGGGACGTGCAGCAGTCCGAGCCGGCTTATCACCAACTGGGGACAAAAGTTGTCCCAAGTGTTGACTGCCTCAGCAGGGTGACTGATGGTGAAATGTTACAAATGCCAGAGGAAACCATGCAAGAATTATTATTATTCTGCTGCTGATGATTATGATTACAAGGAACCACAGCACAACAAGGAAGTTATTTTTACGAGTCCAACTTCCAATCCTGGTAGAAACGAAATGGTGTTGATTTGTCAGAGGTGTTGTCAGGCTTTGTGTAGCTTGCCAGACAGCGATATCAATGGCAAGGTATGTGGTTTTAGCTGTTTAGACTCCAGCAGTTACCCCGATGCACACTCTGGGGACCCCCAAGCCTTGGCACCTGCCAACCTGTGCCTAATACTTTCCTGAATTAGGTAAGCAGGATGTGTCCCTCCAGGGAGAGAGAGCGCATTCCATTCCAACAATTTATCTCTGGGATTTCCACGTGTAGGTGGGATGCATGAAATTCTCAGCTTGGTTTGGAGACTCTTGAGCACGGTGATGGGTTTCAAAAAGCTGTGAATGATGCTATACAAATGTAATTTGTTGTTGTTGTAATATGCGCTGTCTGGCAGCGAGGAATTGGCTTCTGATGGACTGGGCACATTGTGGTTCATTGTGAAGCTGTCCTGGTGAAATTGTAGCAGGTTCCGTGTCGGAGACTGTAGAACACCTCTCGCTGAGAAGACTTGTTGATGCTCCTTCCCCACCCTGTGCTCTTCCTTTTCAGTTATCCCGCTGTTTGCGAGTTCCTACAGAACAATAATTTATTGTCGGTCATTCGAGCCCACGAAGCACAAGACGCAGGGTAAGTGGCGTGCTCTCTGCTCGTTATTCCCACATTGAGCAAAAGATTGACTTGCATTCGTAAAGCGCTTCTTATATTTATTACAAACTTGGAGCATAAACGTTGTCTTAATGAACACTTTTATATTAAGTCAACTAACTAAATAGTAGTACCTGGAACCTGAGAGGAACAAGAGATATACCTGGAGATCATCACCACCTCTGCTGTTCCTTAAAGTGTTCCTTGAATATTCAAGGAATACTAAACTTATTGAAGGAACACTTTAAGGAATACCGCAAATTTTGCCCGCATAGTATTGTGTATGTAGATTGATTGCCATATTTTTCTGTGTTGAGGGCAAACTTCCTACAGTTGAATGTGAACAAGACTGAGGCCCTCCTGATTGGCACACGCCCGCGCCTCAGCACCTCAGGCTCTGGCAGCATCAACCTCCATGGTTGCACACTTCAACTCACCAGCCAGTCAGGAACCTGGGTGTCTTGTTCGACCCTCAACTGTCTTTTCTTCCCCACATCCAAGCCATGACCCGTTCTGCCTTCCCTCACCTCTGTAACATCGCCCGACTCCTGCACTACCTCACCCCTCAGGCCGCTGAAACTCTTGTTCATGCCTTCATCACCTCCAGGCTCGACTGCAAATGCTCTGCTTGTCGGCCTTCCCAACTCCTCCCTCCACAGGCTGCAGATAATCCAGAACTCTGCAGCCCGTGTCCTCTCCCGCACCAAACTTCGTGACCCCATCTCCCCCATTCTCGCCCGACTCCATTGACTCCCTATCCTTCAGGGGATCCAGTTCAAGATTCTGGTCCTCACCTACAAAGCCCTCAATGGTCTCTCTCCACCCTATCTCTGTGACATCCTAAGCCTCTACCAACCCGCCCACTCCCTCCGCTTAGCTGGCTCCGGCCTATTCCACATTCCCCGACCCACCCGCCCCACCATTGGTGGGAGAGCCTTCAGCCACTCCACCCCCAACCTCTGGAACTCCATCCCCCAATCACTCCGCCTTGCCCCCTCCTTAGCCTCCTTCGAGTCCCACCTCAAGACCCTCCTCTTCGACCATGCCATTGGTCACCCCCCTTCCCCTCCCCTCCCTTCTCCCCCCTGACCCCAGCTCGTGTCTGAAATGCTGTCACTGTCCAGCGCCTTGGGACATCCTCCTGATGTGAAAGGCACTATACAAATGTAATCTTGTTGTTGTTGTTGTTTGTCTGTGCCGTGTCATTTGTTTTTAAATTTTACTATGGTAAAAGTGCTTGAAAAAAACCCCATACAATAAGATGAGAGCTTCAAAACAGCAAGTAATTGTGTATTGTGACTGTCCAGCGCCTTGAGACGTCCTCCCGACGTGAAAGGCGCCTGTACAAATGTAATTTGTTGTTACTGTTGCATTAATTGTAAGCTCTTTCTCCTTAGTTATCGGATGTACAGGAAAAGTCAGACTACAGGCTTTCCTTCCCTCATCACAATCTTCTCAGCACCAAACTACCTTGACGTTTACAATAACAAAGGTATGGATCGTGACTGTAAATTAAGCTGACGCTGGCAGCAATTTTTTTTGTTAATATGACTATTTCTCTATTTCTTTCTGACGTAACTAAAGTGTCGGAATGGGGCGCGGGGAAGGGAGAGAAAGAGGGCGAGACCGTGAGCACAGCACACTCCACATTGCCTTGCGTTACTTCTGACATTACATCCACTGTGCAGCAGTGGCCCTCAAACAGTCGTTGATTGAGTGTCCAAATTATTATTATTTTTGAAGGGATTATTTCCCCCAGAAAATGATCTGCCAATCAACTAGCAACCGGGTTCTTACTTACTGCAGGGTAAACAGAGGCGTGGGTGTGGAGTAGGGAAACTTTCTCCCAGACTGGGAATCGAATTCGGGTCCTCTCGCTTGCGAGGCGAGCGCACTAACCACAATGCTGAACCTCCACTGTTAAAGGTGCCAAGGCTTTGTATCTTTAAATCCCAGGTGATGTCCACACTTGCGATAAGATTAGCAAACAGAAACGCCTGCAAAGCCCACTGATACCCGGATGTTCAGTCGTCCTTCTTTACGCTGGGAATCTTGTCATTAGCAGAGCCCCTGCTGCTTGTTCACCGAGAGAGGAGCCCGTGGATTGTGTGGGTGGCTTCTCATTATTCCTAAACCCACTTTGATGCAGCTTTGCCTGGCCCAGAAGTGACAGTCAGAACGTTCCAGATATGAGCATCCTCCGCATCTTTAAAAAAAATCTAGTTGGGGATTGATTGTATCTCTGCCTCGTGGCCTCGAGTTGATGAGCCATTAACAGCCCTGGTTGGTGTCTGAGGGAAGATTAAATGTGAGGCTGCTCGTATCTGGAACCTTTTGATTTATTAGGTTTTTCTATAAGGCAAAATAGTTTCTATGCTAAATTTACTGCAAGAACTTTAAGGTAGCAATGTGTAGCCACTGGCTAGACAGCATGGCATATTCCATCTCATCCTTCCAGGACACGTGGAGTCCCGTAGCTTAATGGTTAGCACGCTCACCTCACGAGTGAGAGGGCCAGGGTTCGATTCCCAGGCAATAATAATAATATAATAATAATAATCCTTGCATTTGATATAGCGCTTTTCACGTCGGGAAGACGTCCCAAAGCGCTTCACAGAGTACACTGTAAAGTGAATTGACTGTATATTTGTGGGCAAACGCGGCAGCCAATTGCGCACAGCAATGTCCCACAAACAGTCATAGATTGAAAATGACCAATTTATTATTGTTTTGGGTTTTGGAGGGATTATTATTAGGCTCTGTGTGGAGTAAGGAAACTTGCCCAAGGTTTCGCCCTCTGCCTGGAATTGAACTCAGGTCTCTCACTTGCAAAGCGAGTGCTCTAACCACTGAGCCACAGGACTCCAAGGCAAGTTTCCTTACTCCACATGCCTCTGTTTACTTAGCAGTAAAAATAGGAACCCAGTTGTTAGTCGATTGGCAGATCGCTTTCCAAGACTAATAATCCCTCAAAAAAAATGTGGTCACTCAATCCATGACTGTGCGTAGGACACTGCTGTGCGCAATTGGCTGCCGCGTTTCTCACCGAAAATACACAGTCAATACACTTTACAGTATATTCTGTGCAGAGCTTTGAGATCAAATGCAAGGATTATTATTATTATTAGATTACAGTGCCCAGTCGTTAAAAACCCTTTGTGTAAAGAAATACTTCCTGGTGGCTGTCCTGAATTTGCCCTCTGCAATACTTGAACCTGTGGCCTCTTTTTCTGCTGTCTCAGTCCGTCCTAAAGTATTGTTTTGGTTTACTTTCTCCATGCCTGTTAAAATCTCTAAGGTTCCCCTCTGAGACATTTCTTCTCAAGACTGATTAGCCCCCCAGCTTTTCTTATTGTTGCTCATAGCTAGTTTCCCCCAACCCTGGGAACGTTCGCATTGCTCTCAAGCGCACTGGGACCCTACCATGCGTGAGGGGCGCTATACAAATGCAAATTGTCATTGTCGTTGTTCTCCTTTGCACTGGCTCTAGTGCCTGTGCAACTCCCCCTGATGTTGTGCCCACCAGAACTGTACATAACACAGCAGGTGCGGCCTGACCACAGCTCTGTTGGTTTCCTTTGATGGCAACCCCTATGTACATTGTGAAACACAAGTCGCTGTTTAATGAAGCTTGACAGAGTCAGATTGAATTACTGAAATAATGTGTTCATTGGAAACCCCCTTTTATATATGGTTTTGATAGGTTTTGCTTAACCACTGGTGGTAATGCATTCAGGTCTCAGTCAGAGGCATGTTTAATGCGTCTTTGATGAGACGCCTGTAGGAAGCTGGGTTGTAATTTTTCAGATATGGAATGCATTAAAAAAGCTGGCTCTATCTTGGAGCGGAAAAAAAGACATTGGTCTGTAGAAAAACTTTTATCAAAGGATGGAAACATGAAGGCATGGATAGTGTGAGGCGGTCCGATACTTGAGAGTGATTTTATTTAACAGCATATTCCCTCAACTGAGTAAAATTCAGAGCTGTAATCCATGTGCAATTTGCATTACACTATCTGCCACGCTCTTGTGAAATCTTTGCCTTTGTTGTGTTGTTCCCTTCCTTGTTCTCGCTCTCTCTCTCTTTCAATCGTGTTCTTACTATGTTTCTATCTCTCGCTTTTTCTGGCTCCAACTTGCGCGCTCTCTCTCTCTCTCTCTCTCAATCTCTCTATCTCCATCCTCTCTCTCTCTCTCTCTTTGTCTCTCTGGGTTTTGGGACTATTTCCCGGGCAATTGAGGAGCAAAGAGTTCCTAGCGCTGAATGTTAACCATCACTGGGTAAACATAGCATCTGCTTAACAAATCCACATTTCTCTGCGCTTAACAAATTCACATTTCCCTTTAGTGGAAAAACACCCACATAATTCCCAAATAGCTTCTTTTCATTCCTAGACCCGCATAGCCTTCGAGAGACATCCATTCGGGCTGACAACTGTGGTTTTTTTTCAATGAGAGCCAAACAGAGCAGGTTGCTGGAATGGAGATCCCAGATTTTCAATGGAACCATGGCTCCACCTAGTGAGGGAAAGCCAGTGGATTTAATATCAGGAACGTTAATGTCCATCCATCTTTGCTCTTGTTTGAGGTGATTGAGGTTTCAAACAAAATGACCAATGTTTAGGTTGGACTGAATTCTGGATAATTCAAGGTTAACCGAAAAGTTAAACGGTTGAAACAACAACAACAAGATTACATTTGTAGAGCGCCTTTCACGTCGGGAGAAACGCCGACCCTTGACCTTTCAGCGACGCCATGTTTCTTTGCTCTTCGCAGTCTATTGTTACGGTGATGGTGGAACTTCATTATAACCTGATTTTTTTTGATCCGGAAAATCTCAAACCGTCGTCACCTGTTTCACCATGTATGCACACAGCTGGCCAGTTCCTGTGGTGAAATAAAAAAATATGGCTGACTTCTGGGTACGTCACTTGTTCCTGTTTCTTCCACGCACCCAAAGCAGGGTATGACATCGGCAGCAACCGACTGACCAGGAAGTCAGCCATTTTAGCACAATAATGCCTTATAACAGAACTCGGGCTATGAATGAAGAGTGTCATCGTGGAATCCTGCAGTTTAGTAGTTAGAGCACTCAATCCATGGCTGTTTGTGGGACGCTGCTGTGCCCAATTGTCTGCCATGTTTTGGCCACAAAATATACAGTCAATTCACTTTACAGTATATTCTATGAAGTGTTTTGAGACTTCTCGAAGATGTGATCAAATGCAAGGATTATTATTATTAACTATGTGTTATAATGGGGTCTATGCTGTGTTGACTCCGAGCCGGTGAGGGGGGGGTGGGGGAGGGGTCTGGGAGATAAGCACGGTCGAAAAGGAAGAGAGAGGGGCAAGGTGGAGGGATGGAGGGAGAACATTCCAGAGTTTCGGGCAGGATGAGCTTGCTAGCTTGAGGACAATTTTCCTGTTGCCCCACACTCTGCTGTGTGGGCTGGTCTGGCCGTGCGCTCACAAACTCTTCCCCTCTCCTTCACCCCAGCTGCAGTATTGAAATACGAAAACAACGTTATGAACATTCGACAGTTCAACTGCTCTCCTCACCCTTACTGGCTACCCAACTTTATGGACGTCTTCACTTGGTCATTGCCTTTTGTTGGTGAGAAAGGTACGTGAGCAGTGCTGTGACTAACAGTTGTACAGTGAAGCCTGGCTGTCTTCATTCAGGGTCCTTTGTTCTGATTTTGTTTCGCCTACAAAATACACAGTTACTACACTTTTACAATATTATTCGGTGAAGCGCTTTGAGACGTCTCAACGATATAAGGCGCTTACATCAAATGCAAGGATTTTTTTTTTGTATCTCGCCTTGGCATCAGTACAAACCAATGTTCTCCAGTTTGCGCTGCTTATTGCTTGTAATGCTTCCCCCCTCTCGTTTCAGTGACAGAGATGCTGGTGAATGTTCTGAACATCTGCTCTGACGACGAGCTCATGACGGATGGAGATGAGATATTTGACGGTAAGAATTAAATTACAGAGTACGGAATAACTCCTGTGTATGTGTACGTGCTTGTGTGTGTGATGTGTGCGTGTGTGAGATGTGTGTGTGTGTTTATGATGCGTGTGTGTGTGTGTGTGATATGTGTGCGTGTGTGTGTGTGTATGATTTTCGTGTGTGTGATTGATGTTGGTGTATGTGTGTCATGTGCGTGGGAGTGATGTGCATATATATGTGATGTGCGGGTGTGTGCGTTTGTGTGTGTGTTTGTGTGTACATATGTGATGTGTGTGTTGTGCTTGTGCGTATGTGATGTGCTTGTGTGTGAGTGATGTGCATGGGTGTGTGATGCGTGTGATGTGCGTGTGTGACGTGTGTGTGTGTGTGTGTGGAGCGAGAGGGTACAGCTTATATGACTGGTGGGTACTTAACTTAAGAGGTAATGTCTATCCTTATCAATCTGCTATCCCATGGGAATATGGGGATAGGGCAGGGCAGTGATTGAACGGACAGCTCGCTATGTAAGATGGTGTAGACTCAATGGGCCAAATGGCAGCCTTCTATGCTGCAAATTTGTACAGCACTGCGATTCCTCAAAGCTTTTATTCTCCTTTTCATGTTTGTTTTGCTACCTGCACACGTTATAATTAAACGTTTCATTGAGATGCCGTACGTTTTAAGTCCAAACGGTCTGAAAAGGCTGAGACGGGGTGAAATTTCGGGATTAGTCATTGACTTGCGGGGATCCTATTTGGAAATCGCTGGAACATTTTTTTGTTTATCGATTGGGTGTATTTCGTCAAACTCTTAGTCATTTCTTCATTCTGTTCCTCGCGTCATTGACCGCTTGTTTTCCCTTTAGCGAACGCCGCAGCAGCTCGTAAAGAAGTCATCAGAAACAAAATCAGAGCTATCGGCAAGATGGCACGAGTGTTTTCCGTGCTCAGGTACGAGATGTTATCCATGTCTCTCCGTTCCATTCCTATCCCTCGCCAGAGTCTCAGAAATTTCAACCGTGAATTCTGCTACCTTGAGTGAAAAGCGCTACAAAAATACAAGCTGTTGTAGACATTTCAGACCTACAGACCATGGAAACTTACAATACACAATGTGGAGTCTGTAGCGTAGTGGTTAGCGAGCTCGCCTCGCAAGGGAGAGGGCCCAGATTCAATTCCCGGGCGCGGAGAAAACTCAGGCAAGTTTCCTTACTCCACACTCCTCTGTTTACCTAGCAGTAAGTAGGAACCTAGTTGTTAGTTGATTGGCGGATCACTTTCCGGGCGTAATGATCCCTTAAAAAAAATTGGGTCACTCAATCCATGACTGTTTGTGGGACACTGATGTGCGCAATTGGCTGCTGCGTTTCGCCCAAAAATATATAGTCATTCACTTTAAAAGCATGTTCTGTGAAGCGCTATATCAAATGCATGCATTATTATTAATAATTCAAATTTACATTTATATAGCGCCTTTCACATCGGGTTTGATATTCTGATATTCCCCCCCACCCCATCCCAAGGCGTTTTACAGGACAGAAGAAGGCCATCCAGCCCATCGGGTCTATGTCGGTTATTTTAAAGACCAATCCTTTCAACCTGGTATCTTTGTGTTGAACCACACGCACCAAAAAAAATTGACTTTCTTTAGATTTCAAATGTTTTTATACACACACCACACACACTCCACACACTCCACACACTCCACACACCACACACACTCCACACACACCACACACACTCCACACACCACACACCACACACACTCCACACACCACACACACTCCACAACGCACACACTCCACACACCACACACACACATACTCACACACCACACACACACATACTCACACGCACACTCATACACACCACACACACCACACACACTCACACATCACACACCACACACACTCGCACACCACACACACCCTACACACACACACACCCCACACACCCTACACACACACACACCCCACACACACACACACTCACACACTCACACACACCAAACACTCACCCACCACACACACACTCACACACACACTCACACACAGAAAGGCTCTCTGGGGGTGTGTGTGGGTAAAAAACACAAGAGAGTATTTTTTTAAAAAATACAACGAGAAACTGGGACTTGTGAAGGCCTGTTCCAGAATGGGAATCGTTTGATCTCTGTTTCAGGGAGGAGAGTGAGAGCGTGTTGACCTTGAAAGGTTTGACACCAACGGGGATGCTGCCTAGCGGAGTGCTGTCTGGAGGCAAACAGACTTTAGAAAGCGGTAAGTGCTCTTCGCTCATCACTGCCCTGACTGCTCCTGCTGTGTTAGCAGTGAGTCGAGAAACCGTCACTCCATCCTCTGCGTCTCAGCAAACCAGCTCCCTCTTTGACTTTGCTCTCTGACACACGTCCCCTCGCCCCGCAGCCCCTCCCCCGCTCCTTGCCCTCGTGTTTTGTTTTTCTGTAAAAAAAAGTTGTATTTAAGTGCTCCAAGATGCTGCCCCGCGTGAATGACTATATAGATGCAAGTTGTTGTATTGATGTGTTTTCTCCTCTTGAATAAACATTTCCACACAAACACCTCCCTTACCAAACCCAAGTTGCGATGCCCTGTTTCTAGAATACTGTTTAATGCATTGAATTAAGAAAACACACTGAATTTTATTATTTATTAAAAAAAATTAAAAAATGTAGCTATTATTTTAGGATTATTATTATTATTAATGTAAACCTTTGTCTTCCCTTCAGCTACTGTCGAGGCTATAGAGGCCATTGAGGCTGTTGAAACCCACGAAGGTAATTTTGAGGCATTTGCCTATCTGTCTTTGTTGGTGGTGTTGGCTCGAGTAATGCTGTTTGGATTTTGCATGCATTGTTCCAAAACCTTCTATTAATCCTTCAAGCCAAAGCCCTAACAGGTAGGGTGCTCCTCGCTGGAAAACCAGCCAGAAAGCTTGCCACACACTGCACTCAATTCTTTCTATGCAGTTTTAGCTGGTTAGACTCCAGCAGTTAACCCAAACCACACTCTGGGGTCCCCAAGCCTTGGCTATTGGCAATCCGCGCCTCATACTTTTTGGAATTAAGTAAGCAGGATGCGTTCCTCCAGGAAAGAGTGCGCATTCCATTCCGAAAATCTATCTCTGGGATTTCCCTGTTTAGGTGAGATGCATGGAATTCTCAGTTGGGTTTGGAGACTCTTAAGCACAATGATGGGTTTCCACATGTGTCAGACACCCGGCTGGTCCCAAAATACAACCAAAAACTAGATATATCTGTGATTTGGGGATGAACAATAGGTTTCCATTGTGAATCGTTATCATTAGGATGGACCACCAAAGGGGAATCAATAAATTATTGACAGAGAGCATTGTACCAAATATCGGTTAGTCGGTAATCTGTAGGGTTGAAACTGAATATAAACCGCATGATCTAAGATAATTTTAAAGAGTTAAGGGACATGCTAGAAATTCAAAGGTAAGTCGCCCTAAAATATTTTTTTCTCAGTGGAGTTCAAAACTAGGGGTTGATTCCGTGAAGTGTTTCATAGAATCATAGAATCTTACAGCACAGAAGGAGGCCATTTGGCCCATCGTACCTGTGCCGGTTCTTTGAAAGAGCTAGTCCCACTCCCTGCTCTTTCCCCATAGCCCTACAAATTTTTCCTTTATAAGTACCTGTCCAATTTCCCCTTGAAAGCTATCAAATCTGCTTCCACCGCCCTTTCAGGCAGTCCATTCCAGATCGTAACAACTCTCTGGGCAAAACAAATTCTCCTCATCTCCCCTCTGGTTCTTTTGCCAATTATCATCAATCTGAGTTTGTGTGATTCACGATAATATTGCGAAGGGTTTAACAATATTGTCTCTCTTGTTTTGCTCTTTCTCTCTCTATATCTCTACCTCTTTAATCCACCGGGCGATTGTGGGGCCGTCACACGTTGCAGCCATCCGAGGGTTTTCCCCTCAGCATAAGATCACAAGTTTTGAGGAAGCCAAAGGTCTGGATCGTATCAATGAACGAATGCCTCCTCGGAGAGAAGCAGTATCCAACTCTGGCGGTGTTAACTCCACTGGGAAAATGCATCTGCCCGAATCCAATGGGACTGACGACAACCGGAACGTCTAAGCGACTTGCTTGTTTTCTAAGGAACTTCGCCAACTCTGCAGTTAGTTCTGTATGGCCTGTTTCGGTGTCCCAGGCCTCTCTGATATTCCAAGACAGTGTACCACTCGCTCGCTCGGTCCGAAGCCAAGAGTTTCAATAAATTTACAACGACAAGAAAAGCCCAACCCCATAAACAAACCCCATAAACTTCCAGATAGACAGAAAACAAAATAGATTTTTCTTAGAAAACTGGAAACATATTCATCTTGTTTAGAAGCACCTGTGATCAGTGCTTATAGACAGGTGAAGCTTATTACAAGCAATTGATCAGATTGACTTGTCCATTTGTTTCCCTAATGAAAAATAACAAGGCTACAGTCATTTACAAAAATAAAAGTCTCTTGTAAAATTGTTTCACATTGATACATCCAGTGGTGAAATTTAAACAAATCAGCGTCAGAAGTTTAAAAAAANTAATATATATATATATATATACTGGAGGAGAATTAAAAAAGTTTCATGCATAAAGCCAGTTATACAATTAATTTAACGTCATTTTAAAACTTCAAAAAATTAAAAAGTTTTTGCTACTAGTATTAAAAATTCTGTAATCATTCTAAGTCTTAGGAAAACAAGGTTTTGAGAAGAAAAAAATGCCAAATCCCAGATCACTTCTGTTTTGTACAAAAAAAAGTCAGCTGCCCGACTTAACTTCAATGTATTTGGATGCTATATTACCAGTCTGGTTTTTACAGTAACCTACTATCCGACCATGTTGCTTCTAACTGGAATCTCGATGATTAGTTATTCTTTCTGTTGCAAAGTTCTCACAAACCAATTCCGTTTTTGCTTGTCACATGCCTGCAATCCAGAGATTTACAAACGGCACTATCATTTTTTTTCTTTTGTAAAGTAAATTAACGTTGCAATCACAATTAGTGCCAGCATTAGGATTCTGTACAGCAAAAATTATAGGATGCATCTATGCATGTTGGTTAAGTTTCTCAACACTAAGTGGAGCTATATTTGTACTGTGTTTTTTAAAAAATAATCTGGCTGTGTTGTATACTTGCTTTCTCCCTGCAAATATCGGTGAAGCTTTTGAGTTATCCGCTATTGGTGTGCAAAACACTGAAAGTTACTTTTGGGGAAGGGGGAACTTTTTTGACTTCTCTCTGTAATGTACAGGAGTGGATGTGGGTGTGAATGAATGAACACTTTGGGTGCCGAGTTGATCAATCCAAAAGCAACATGTTTGGAACTGGTGCATGATAGCATGGGTATCAAAAAAAAACTAACTGTTTTAAAATTAACTTAAGGCGCTGCGCAGTGCTTCACTAAAAGTTTCAACATAATTGTTTGTTTCTATCCACTCTCTTGCTTTGTCAAAAGAAAAAAAGTGAAAACTTTTTAAAAGAGTTCATGGCATTTAGTCTTGTAATTCTCGTCATTTTCCTCTGGTCATTTTCAAACACTGACGTTATTTAAAAAGCATGCTCTCTCTCTCTCTCTCTCTCTCTCTCTCCCTCTCGCTCTCTTTCTCTCTCGGAAACTCGGGACAAAAAAAACACAACAAAAAAAACAACTTTTTTTTTACTATTCAATAAAATGTGCATGAACCCACTGTTTTCTTGGAACACGTTGTTTTATACCAGGGGGAGAAAAAAGATGGTAAATAAATTGTTACTAATTGTTCAGGCATAAACAGGTAGTCATCATGTTGAGAACATCAGAAAACATGCAAGTCGTACAACGCAATGGATTGCAACACAGGTTGGTTTAGTTTTGTCCAAGTGCCAATAGGAGGAATGAGGTTGATATATATATATATATATTTGGAATTCTCAGAAGCCAGTTTTCTACAGTTCTTAGGATAATAATAATCCTTTCATTTGATATAACACCTTATCACGTCTTCGAGAAGTCTCCAAGCGCTTCACAGAATATACTTTAAAGTGAATTGACTGTATATTTTGTGATGACTGTGAGTAGAACTGATCTGTTGGGAGCAGAGAAGCCAGTTGAGCCTGAGGTGAAGGGTGTGCAGAGGCTGGTTTGTGTGGCAGACAGTTGATGAGCGTGTTTGCTTTCATTGAGGGCCTTACAGAGCAGATAACTTTCGTTTTCCTACCAGTGTAATGTTTTGAATCAGCTGATGTCATCTCAGGAAGTTGAAACAGTTTTGTTTTCCGCTGACTCAGTTCTTACTTCTCAGAAAAGAAGATGAAGCTCCGCCTTGATGTGGTTCGAGTCCTTATTCGGATGTTTGCAACTAACTTGAAGAGGGTATTTGATGGATTAGCAAGTAAAAATGCATTTTTAATAACAATCCTTGCATTTGATGTTGCGCCTTATCACATCATTGGGATGTCTCAAAGTACTTCACAGAACATACTGTAAAGTGGATTGACTGTGTATTTTGTGGACAAAACACCGCAGTCAATTGCGCACAGCAGTGTCCCACAAACAATCGTCGATTGAGTTGACCAATTGTTTGGAAGGGATTATTACCCACGGAAACGACCTGCCAACTAACAACCAGGTTCCCACTTACTACTTGGTAAACAGAGGTGGATGGAATAAAGAAACCTAAGGTTTCGCCTCATCCGGGAAACGAACCTGGGTCCTCTCGCTTGTGAGGTGAGTGCTCTAATTAATACGCTATGGGACTCCACAATTCTCTAGCCTCCCAGTGGCTTCCAGATGTCTCACATCGTGGTTAATCGTGGGTCTAGATTTCCTGGACATGAAAACTCAACAGATAAACAACTGCAAAGTTAAGACCGAACTCAACAATTAATGAAACAACAACAACTTGCACTTATATAACGCCCTCCATGCAGGGCAGTGTCTCAGAGCGCTTAACGGTGGTGGTGCCTGACACGGAGTCGGGGGGAGGGGGAGGTGGCTGTAAGCACCCATAAGGGTGAAGAGGAAAGTTTTTAGGCAGGACATGAAAGGGGAGAGAGGGGGAAAGGTGGAGGGATTGAGGGAGAGTGTTGGGGTGTAATGGCTGAAACCGCGACCTCCGATGGTGGGGCGAAGGGTACGAGGGACGAGCAGGAGGTCGGTGTCAGTGGAGCGGAGGCACCAGGTGGTGGATTGGGGAGTGAGGAGGTCGGAGAGGTCGGCAGGTGCCAGAGAGCGAAGGGATTTGAACACGGGTGTGAGGATCTTGAGGTGATGGGGAACTAGTGGAGCCTGGGCCAGAACCGGTGAGATGTGGGTATGGAGTTTGGTTGGGGTCAGTATACGGGCAGTAGAGTTCTGAATGAGCTGGATCCCGTGAATGGTGGAGCTGGGGAGACCGGCGAGGAGTGCTTTGGAATAATCCAAGAGGGAGGTGAGAAATGCACATACGAGAGGGTTGGCTGCATTTGGGCTAAGGTATGGTTGGAGGTGGACAATGTGGTGGAGGGGGAAGAAGGCGATCCTGATCAGGGACCGGATGTGGGGGAGGAAGAACAGCTGGGGATCAAACCGGATGCTTAGCTTGTGCACTGGTTCAGTGAATCTGAGGGAGAGCCCAGGGAGGTTGAGGAGTTCAGATCCGCAAGAGTGAAGATGTTGATGGGAGCCAAGGAGTATGGCTTCCATCTTGTCCATATTCAGCTGCAGGCAGTTCGCACTCATCCAGGCCCTGACATCTGCCAGACAAGCTTATGGAGCATCAGTGGACCTGGAGTTGGTGCTGGAGAAGGCAAAGTAGATTTGTGTGTCATCCACATATATGTAGTTTACTCTGTCTCAGTGGATGACATCGCCCCGAGGGAGTATATAGATAAGGAAAAGAAGAGGCCAAGGATGGAGCACTGGGCTACCCCGCAGGTCACTGGGCTACCCCGCAGTTGACCGGGCGGAGGCGAGAGGAGAAATCATTTGCTGAGATGAAATGGAGGCGATTGGTTAAGTAGGACTCGAACAATGCGAGTGCAGTCCCACTAAGTTAGATGATGAAGGAGAGGCAGTGGAGGAGGATGGCGTGATCGACTGTGTTGAATGCGGCAGAGAGATCCAGGCGGGTGAGGAGGCAGAGGGAGCCCTGGTCATAGATAGAGAGAATGTCGTTTGTGACTTTGACAAGCGCTGTTTCTGTGCTGTAAAGTCTGACCACTCTCAAATTCTATTATCACCAGAGTGAACCTAGACCCGGGCCGCATGTATAATAATCTACTAATAATGATAATAATAATAATCCCTGCATTTGATATAGCGCCTTAGCATGTGGTCAAGATGCAATAAATGTTTCCCAGTAAATATTCCACCAGTTTGTTCTTTGCCAGCTTTCATTGACGTCTAATCAGTATTTTATCCTAATTGGATTTTTAACTTTTTTTTAAGCAGTCTTGTTAACTCTAATGTTTGAGTCCAGTGATTATCAGCGCTGCAGAAGTACAGAAAAGACAATGATTACCTAATACCGAAGAACAGGTTCAGGGACTTCAGTGTGCTATCTTCTCAAATCGACTCAGACAGTGAGTCAGTGTGAGCTGATCGCTGGGTTCTGGTTTGGTTTACTTGCTGCCTGGTCTCTGGCAGATGCTATTTGTCACTAGGAGATGGCTAACTGGCCACTGAGAGAGTTACTAGTCACAGAGATAGTTACTAATAATATAATCCTTGCATTTGATACAACACTTTTCACGTCTTTGAGACGTCTCAAAGCGCTTCACAGAATATACTGTAAAGTGAATTGACTGCATATTTTGTGGGCGAAATGTGGCAGCCAATTGTGCAAGGAGTGTCCCACAAATAGTTGTGGATTGAAGTGACCAATTTATTATTGTTTTTTTTTCTCGAAGGATGTGGAGTAAGGAAACTTGCCCAAGGTTTTGCCCTGCTGGGAATTGAACCCAGGTCTCTCGCTTGCGAGACGAGTCCTCGAACCATTGAGCTACAGGACTCCACTAGATAGTTACTAGTCACTGAGAAATACTTACTAGTTGCTGAGAGAATTACTAGTCACTGAGAGACAGTTACTAGCCACTGAGAGATAGTTACTAGTAACAGAGAGACTTATTAGTCACTGAGAAATACTTACTAGTCACTGAGAGAGAGAATTACTAGTCACTGAGAGAGAGTTACTAGTTACTGAGAGAGAGTTGCTAGTCACTGAGAGAGAGTTACTGGTTGCATTCCTGGTTGCCTCGCTGTCTGTTATGCGATGTCTCCGGGCAGATGATCACTCTATGTCACGTTCACTTAATTTCTCATCAATTCTGGAGTTCTTTGAGTCATTTATTTGTGAAGCTTGAAAGGCGCTGTAAAAATGTCAGTTGTTAGACTAAATCTCCTGAACTCATTTTATCCCCTGTCTTTGATATTAAAATGATAATAATAATCTTTGCATTTGATATAGCGCCTGATCACGTCGTTCAGCCATCTCAAAGCGCTTCACAGAATATACTGTGTATAATGTGGGTTCCAGAGGGTGGGGGCAGAAGCCCACACGTCAATAGTGGGGTGAACGAGGTGGGGGACGTGAAGCAGGCCAGAGCCCGCTGAGCGGAGGGAGCGAACAGGATGGTAGGGGGTTAGGAGGTCGCCGAGGTAGGTAGGGGGGAGCAAGGCTATGGAGAGCTTTGAAGGTGAGGACCAGGATCTTGAATTGTATCCTCTGTGTGATGGGAAGCCAGTGGAGTTGGGCGAGGATGGGGGTGATAGGGTCGCGGAGCCTGGTGCGGGAGAGGACACGGGCTGTAGAGTTCTGGATGATCTGCAGCCTATGGAGGGAGGAGTTGGGGAGGCCGACAAGCAAGAATTTGCAAAGTCAAGCCTTGATGTAATGAAGGCGTGTATGAGGGTTTTGGCGGCCTACGGTGTGAGACAGTGGCGGAGCTGGGCGACATTGCGGAGGTAGAGGAAGGCAGAGCAGATGTGGGGTACAAAGGATAGTTGAGGGTCAAACAGGTTGAGGTCTTGTTGACATTCAACTGAAGAAAACTAGCTCTCATCCAGGACTTGATGTCTGACAGACATTCTGTCAGGGCAGCAGTGGTCCTGGAGTTGAGGGTGGAGGTTCAGAGTAGAGTTGGGTGTCATCCGCATACATGTGGAAGTTGACCCCATATCTGCGGATGATCTCAACAAGAGGGAGCATATAGATATTGAAGAGGAGGGGACCAAGGACAGAGCCCTGAGGAACACCTCATGAGACGGTGCGGGGGCTGGAGGAGAAACCATTTGTGGAGATGAAGTGGATGCGGTTTGAAAGGTACGATCTGAACCAGTCAAGGATTTATCACAAAGTGTGGTGACTGTCCGTTTGGTGGGCCAAACGTGGCAGCCAATTTGCCCACCTATTACGTTGCTTCGAATTTTTAGCCAGTTCCCTTTTTTTTAATGAACATGACTTGACTTAAACAATACCAATGTGGTAAGACATCTGCTTCTGCAAATCTCTTTCTGTGTGTCTGTGTGTGTGTGTGTGTGTGTGTGTTTTTTTTTAAAAAAAGAAATTTAAGACTTCCTTCTGTCAAACATTGCAGAGCCTAACTGAAGTATGAGAGTGTGTTTATCATTTCCACCAAATTACAGTTTCTAAATGCTTCACCTGGAATCAAATGCAATTTCCAGGTTGGGCGAAATCTGAGGTAAGTCTTCTGACTCTATACACGCCTCTGTTTACCTCGCAGGAAGTAAGAACCCAGTTGTTAGTTGATTGACGGATCGCTTTACGGTTGTTATTAGCATAATTAAGGCAAAGGCTGGCCCCAGAGCAGGACGAGGTGATAGCAGGGAGTGCAGTCACTGACACCACCAGCAACAGAGATCAGCAGAGGGGTAAGCGTTCACATTCCAATCCTGAAACCGTTATAAAGTGGGGACTTTTCTCTGGTTTCCCACATGACTGGGGCTTTCCTTTTCTTTCCTTTTTGTCGTCTAAAGAAACGGGAATCCACCGCATTTCCACAAATCAAAGTTTCACTTTTTCTACTAAGCTTTTTCTTTTTTTCGTGGAAGTTAAAACCTTTTCCGCTCCCCAAAACAACGGACTTGAAAGAGCGCAGCATCTTAGAGAGGATTCATGGCAGAAGAATAACAAGCTCATCGCTTGATCCAGTTAGATTTGGATCAAGTTTCTACAGCGGTATGTGAATCCACTTCATTGCTCGTGTGGTTAAAGCCTGTGTTAGCTGTACCGTTAGTACGCGGCTAACCCTTTCATGCAGTAGCTCAGTGGTTAGAGTACTTGCCTTGCAAGTGAGAGACCTGGGCTTGATTTCCTGAGGGCGAAACCTTGGGCAAGTTTCCTTACTCCACATCCCTGATAATAATCCCTCAAGAAAAAATACGCAATGATAATTTGGTCACTCAATCCACGACTGTTTGTGGGACACTGCTGTGCGCAATTGGCTGCTGCATTTCGCCCACAAAATATACAGTCAGTACACTTTACAGTATATTCTGTGAAGCGCTTTGGGTTGTCTAGAAGACGTGAAAACCACTATATCAAATACAAGGATTATTATAACCAGGTTTCAGTTTGGTGGGTGTGAACAATTTGACTGCTCTTTGGGGCCATCTAGTGATTAAATTAGAAATTAATATCTCAGCTTGGAGCATCTTAACTCCACCATAGACCCAATGGCAGTCTATTTGCTCTGTTAGTAATGGATCTGTGAGGTTCGATCATATCTAAGGTTTTATTTAGATATCGTGTGACTGTTGCATCTGTGATAAACCACTGGCGGTGATTTCTGAGCTGGAAGAATTGGGTTTATCTTCACTAATCACTCCGAGACACTGCCCCACGTGAAAGGCATATAGGAACAGGAAGAGACTGTTCAGCCACTCAAATCTGTTCTGGCTTTCTACAGATTGTGGTTGATGGGAGATTTACACAGACTGTACCGCACAGATACAGGCCATTGTAGTTCATTGGGATCCTGTAGCCAAGTGATTAGAGCACACGCCTCTCAAGTGAGAGACCCGGCAAAGTCTGGTGCCTTAAAATAATAATAATAATTATCCTTGCATTTGATATAACCTTGTCACGTCTTTGAGACGTGTGAAAGTGCTTCACGGAATATAATAATAATATCCTGTAAAGTGAATTGACAGCGTATTTTGAGGGTGAAAAATGGCAGCCAATTGCACACACCAGTGTTCCACAAACAGTCATGGATTGAATGACCGATTTTTTTTTGATGGGATTATTATTCCCAGAAAGCGATCCACCAATCAACCAACAACCGGGTTCCTACTTACTGCTAGGTAAACAGGGGCGCGTGGAATAAGGAAACTTGCCTTAAGTTTCGCGCCGCCTGGGAATCGAACCCGTGTCCTCTTGCTTACGAGGGACAGCGCTAACCACTACGTCACGGGACTGCTTGGTAAATAATTTTTCTCTTGGACGCAGACGGCCACACACATCGTGGAGTTAAAAGCCAACCTCGGAGGATGTCTGACAGCATACCACGGCCCCGCGGGAAAGTAGCCACTTACGTGGGCCTGATATTAATGTCTGGTTTGGCTTGCCTGTACTTCATGCTAACTCCTGACTACCATATCAAATTTATCGTGCAGCAAGTAGCGCAGCAGCTAATCGTATCGTTTTTCGCCCTTTGTTTGCTGAGACTCTGCGAGTTTGTAGAAGAGCTCGGCCACAAACAGACCAGGTACGTTCTGTAGCATTCTTCCTTCCTCAAAGAGAATCACTGTCGTCTTTTACTGTTGTGTGGGTTATTCCGTGAGTATTCGGTTTCCCGGGCGGGGCAAAACCTTAAGTAAGTTTCCTCACTCCATACATCTCTGTTTACTTAGCAGTAAGTAGGAACTCGGTTGTTAGTCGATTGGCAGATGGCTTTGTGGGGACAATAATCACCCTCAGTCCCACCCCCAAAAAAATTGGTCACTCAATCCATGGCTCCTGCGCGCAACCACGTTTTGCCCACAAAATACAGTCACTTTGCTTTTACAGTATATTCTGTGAAGCGCTTTGAAACGTCTCAACAACGTAATAAGGCACTATTACTATAACCTCTCTGCTGCCTTCGATACTGTTGGCCACTCTATCCTCCTCCACCGCCTCTCCTCTCACCTCAATCTTCATGGTTCTGTCCTTGAATGGTTCAGATCCTACCTCTCACACCATCTCCATTTCATCTCCACCAATGGTCCTCCTCTACCCCCCCCCCCCATCCCGCAGTCCCTCTGCCTTGCCCCCTCCCTTGCTTTCTTCAAGAGCTGTCTCAAGACCCTCCTCTTTGATCGTGCCTTTGGTCACCCTCCTTCCCCCCGCTGTCCTCCACCTTCCCTGATCCCAAACACCAGCTTGGTCCAAAACACTGATTGTCCAGCGCCTTGGGACGTCCTCCCGACGTGAAAGGTACTATACAAATGTAATTTTGTTGTTGTTATGTCAAATGCAAGGATTATTATTATTATTATAATATTCAGGGGCTTCACGTTTCTTTTTAAATCACCAGGTATCAGAACAGTTGGGTGAGAGCTTTAAATGCATCCTTGGATTGGAAGAAATATGGCTTTTGTCTACTTATTTCCCTGTTGTTCAACTGGGTTCTTCCCTATGAGAAACACATGAGCTATGCCGTTCCCACTGTGGGACAAACAATCAGCCTGACCTGCTTCTGCGTTTTATTCCTCAAAGTGTTTCAACTTGATGTGAGTATTTTTCCACACAGCTGTTTCTGCGTTGTTTGTTCCAACGCGCGTCTTTGCGTGCAGATTGCAGCGGATTCCCTTACACGACTGTTTGTGGGACGTTGCTGTGTGCAATTGGCTGTCGCGTTTCATCCACAAGTACACGGTCAATTCACTTTACCGTGTATTCCGTGAAGCGCTTTGAGATGTCTCAATGAGGTGGCAAGGTGCTATATGAAATGCAAGGATTATTATTATGATGACTATTCCGAGTTTTAAGTTTGTAGTGAAACTCCAACTGAATGATCGAGCTCGCCAGTTAAGGGAGGAAGGTTGTGGCATCGCAGGAGTGTCTATTGATGTCAGTGCTCGTTCCGAGACCCAAACCCTGCGTGAAGGGCGCTACGTGAATACAGCTTTTGCTGTATAACAGGGCTGATCAACAACAACAACAAGAACAACTCGCATTTACACAGTGTCTTGCACATCTCAGAGCGCATTTTAGATTCAGGTGAATGAAAGATTAGCCACTGCATTTGCCAATATATAGAAACATTTGCTATTATTTCTATTCAATTGCTTTTCTTTTGTGACGCGCTTTGGGACGTGTGTTATTACGTGAAAGGCACTGTATGATATCATAAAAGCATTCGGTGACAGAAAATATCTTCTTTTTATCCTTTGTATAAATCTCTCTGCAGGTTCTTTCTCCGGCCCAAATTTCAGAAATCTCTGAGACAAACAAGTGTAACGTTGCCCACGGTTTGGCCTGGTCCTATTACCTGGGTTACCTGAAGATAGTTTTACCTAGTAAGTGCTTGCACAACATGTATTGGTTCCACTGTACTTTATCCACTGTATTCCACCCTCTTACTCCCTACTCCACAACCAGTCGCCTCCACTCGACCGGCTCTGGCCTCCTGTTTATCCCTCGTGCCCTCCGTTTCACCATCGATGGCCGTGATTTCAGCCACTACATCTCGAAACTTTAGAGCAACAACTTGCACTTATACAGCGCCCTCCACGCCGGGCAGGGTCTCAGAGCGATTAACAACGATGGAGCCCAAGGCCGAGCCAGGGCCACTGATGGTGGAGTGGAGGATTCGGGGGACGCGGAAGAGACCGGACTCAGTAAAACGCACGCAGAGACCGGCAGTGAGCGATCAGTGGGACAGCATCAGCCCGTGAGCCACAGGAGACAGCACAGGGGGGAGGGGGAGAGGTGGGATGGCGGTCATGGCTTCGGTGCCAGAGACCGGGAGGGAAGGTAGCAGAAGGATAATTGCGTGTACTTACCCCACTCTGGCGGATTTGAAACTGGCACCAGGAAGTGACGTGACACTATACTTATCCAGCCCGGACGGGTTTCAAAATGGCGCCTGAAGTGACGTCCGGCAGTGAGATTTGGCTGTTATTCAGGCGGGGCATTTTGAAGTGGCGTCCCCGCGCCTGAATCAGCTGAGGCTTCTCCTGGCTGCTGCTCACCTGCCGCATGTTCGCCCACCTGTGGCCTCGGCACACGTTGTACAGGCAGAGACTTGAAAATTTCTCGCCCATCCATGGCTTTCCCCGCCTTTTGTCGACCAAAGCCTTCGGCCCTCGCTTCTCGCAACTCCCGCTCGGTTTACTGAGTTTCTCGAGGTCCCGCTGCTCGCCGGCTCGCGACTGTCCCCGATGATGCAATGTTTCTGCGTTGTCGTGTTGTATAAACACTTACTAACCTCTGGTTGCATTGAATAGAACTGGAGGAAAAAATAAATCAATACCACAGAGAATATGGCAATGTTCTCCAGCAAAAGGGAAAGAAGCTGTACATCCTTATCCCGTTCAGCTGTAAAGTTCTGGACAAGTTGGAAAAAGTGGACACGAACATTGTATTCTATCAAAATCTGCCCGAACTCCTCGTCGACAGAGCTGGAATCAAGAGCAGAAGTTACAAGCACAGCATCTACCTGATCTATGATCAGAAGAAACAACAGGTACAAGACGCCTTTCCTACCAGTTTACACGTTAGACATTAATAATAATCTTGCATTTGATACGGCGCCTTTCATTCAGCTCCTGTTAACCCTACAAGCCAAAGCCCTAATGGGTAGGGTGATCCTAGCAGGACAAACAGCGGGAAAGCTTGCCAGACAACACTATCAATGGCAAGCTATGGGGTTTTAGCAGGATAGCCTCCAGCAGTTACCCCCAGTGCCCACTATGTAGGTGGGATGCATGGAATTCTTCAATTGGTCATAAGTTGGTGGGTTTCCGCATGTGTCAGACGCTATTTGTACGGAGAAAGGAGTTTTCTCTTTCTCGGGGTCTTGGCTCACAACCCAAACCCCACCAAATAAAATAGGTCACTTACATCATGGCTGCTTGTGGGATGTCTCCGTGCGCAGATTGGCTGACACAAACACACAGTCATTACACTTTTACAATAATATCCCGTGACCCGCTTGAAACATTTTGAAGATGTGATAGGGATTATTACCCCGGGAAAACGATCTGCCAATCGACTGACAACCGGGTTCCAACTTACTGTTAGATAAATGAGAGCACGTGGAGTAAGGAACCTACCAATGTTCTGTTTAACTTCCATTGTAAAAAGAAAAAAAACTTGATCACTCAGTCGGTTTGTGGGACACTACTGTGCGCAATTGGCTACTGCTTTTCACCCACAAAACTATACAGTCACTACACTTTACAATATATTCTATGAAGTGTTTGAGACGTCACAATTTCAACGACGTGATAAGGCACTATATCAAATGCAAGGATTATTATTATTATGAAGTATCCTGCTAAGGTCCTCTCGTGTTCTGACTCGCAGCCTCATCACTGTATCCTGGAGTACGCCACACCTCTGCGCTCTCTGTTTGAAATGACCAACGACTCGGCAGCTGCCTTCAGCAAAGAGCAGCGTCTGGACCAGGCCAAGCTCTTCTACAGGACGTTAAAGTCCATCCTCAACAACGTTCCCGAGGTCACTGGCTCCTATCGATTAATCCCATATGATGGTAAGGTGGATTGCTGTGCTTGGAGATTAGAGTCCTAGAGTGTAGTGATTAGTGTGCTCACCTTACAAGTCCGAGGACCCAGGTTCCTTACTCCACGTGCTCCCGTTTACCTAACAGTAAGTTGGAACCCGCTTGCCAGTCGATTGGCAGATTGTTTTCCCGGGGTAATAATCCCTCAAAAAAAATCTGCGACTTGTTTGTGGGACACACACGCACTGCTGTGCGCAATTGGCTTCCACGTTTTGCTCATAAAATATACAGTCAATCCACTTCACAATATATTCTGTGAAGCGCTTTAAGACGTCTCAACGACATGACAATGCGCAATATCAAATGCAAGGATTATTTTTATATGAATTATTATTATCTCTTCCCCTCATCCCCAGCCCCCACACCCCCCCCCCCCCCCCCCCCCCCCCCGCCCAAGCTTTGTGTCAAGCCAGTAGTGTCGAGAGCTTTGAGACGTCCTCCCGGAAACTGTAGATCGCATTGCGTTGTATTGCAGTGTAGGTTTGTGAACTTGTGGCTGTTTGCTTTGCAGATGATTTGGAGGGAGCAGAACTGGGTCCACATTTTGTATCTGAAGAGATTCTGAAACACATGAGGCAGGAGCTAACGGAATACCCTGTGGCTGAGCCGAGTAACGCAAACGAGACGGACTGCATGTCCAGCGAACCCCACTTGATGATCAGCGATGATCCCAAGCCTCTGCGCAGTTATTGTCCTTAACTTTAACTTTAGATGGGCTTCATTTCCCAGCTGTGAGGTACAAGGTGGGGGTCAGCCGTGCGGTTGCAGAAAAACTGAATAATTGGAATTGAGGTGCCGTGATCTAATAGAATGGCGGAACAAGCTCGAGGGGCTGAATGGCCTCTCCTGTTCCTATGAAAAGATGGTTTTGGCAGACAGTGAATTGGTGATTTGCTTTCCACGATTATCTTCCCTGTACTGGGGTGTGGAAATTCTTATCTTTATTTCAGCTTTTTATTTTATTAGCTACTCTCTTCCATTAAAATGCAGAGTGACTCCACTTTACCATGAATTCTGTGAAGCGCTTTGAGACGTCCTCCTGACGTGAAAGGCACTGTATCAGATGTAAAGATTATTATTATTATCTCTACTATTTTGGAGTCGTTTTTAACTTTCAACAAAGCTTCTGAAGGAGATAGCAATGGAGCTAACAGTGCAAAAAAGAACCATAACCAAACCAGTGCATGATATTTTAAACCATTTAGCCATTATTTGCGTGTTCTGTTTCAACTCCATCCATCTTCCTTCAGGTTTATGGTTTGCTTCTTTTTATATGCTTTATACATTTTTTCAGAATTTCGTTAATAAATTAAAGATGAGAAAACCAAACACAACAGCAGACAAGTGAATTTATTTATTACAACAACAGCAACAAAATTACATTGGTATAGCGCCTTTTACGTCGGGAGGACGTCCCAAGGCGCTGGACAGACCCAAGGTCGGGGTTGGGGAGTGTGGAGGGCAGAGGGGGGATGCAGGGAGATCGAAAGCATGGAGGGGCTTGAGATGGGTCTTGAAGGAGGCAAGGGAGAAGGCAAGGCAGAGGGACTGCGGGATGGAGTTCCAGAGGGTGGAGGCAGAGAGGCAGAAGACACCCCCGCAAGCGAGGCGGGGGATGTGAAGCAGGCCGGAGCCCGCTGAGCGGAGGAAGCGAGCAGGATGGTAGGAGGTTCGGAGGTCGCAGAGGTAGGGGTGAGCGAGGCCATGGAGGGCTTTGAAGGTGAGGACCAGAATCTTGAACTGTGTCCTCTGTGTGATGGGAAGCCAGTGAAGTCGGGCGAGGATGGGGTGATAGAGCCGCAGAGCCTGACGCAGGTGAGGATGCGGGCAGCAGAGTTCTGGATGATCTGCAGCCTATGGAGGGAGGATTTGGGGAGGCCGACAAGCAATGAGTTTGCATTGTCGAGCCGCGATGTAATGAAAGGGAGGGTTTCGGCGGCCTGTGGTGTAAGACAGTGGTGGAGCCGGGCGATGTTGAGGTGGGGAAAGGCAGAGCAGGTCATGGTGCAAATATGGCGTAGAAACGATAGTCGAGGGTCAAACAAGATGCTGAGGTTCTGCACGAGATGATGTGGGGGCTAGAGAAGAAACCGTTTGTGGAGATGAAGTGGAGGCGGTGTGAGAGGTACGATCTGAACCAGTCAAGGACAGAGCCGTGGAGGTTGAGGTGAGAGGAGAAGTGGCGGATGAGGATACAGTCGACAGTGTAGAAGGCAGCAGAGCGGTCAAGGAGGATGAGGAGTCAGAGGGAGCCCTGGTCGCAGATGGACACAATGTCATTTGTCACTTGTCCAGGGCTGTTTCTGAAGTGAAGGTGGTGTGAGAGGTACGATCAGAACGATCGGCGGCACAGAAACCTAATTGGAGGGGTTCGTGAAGGGAGAGGAAGGAGCGAAGCTGAGAAGCAACAACTCATTCCAGGACCCTGGAGAGGAAAAGGAGTTGGAGATGGGGTGGTAGTTTGAGAGTAGAGATTGGTCCAGGGAGGGTTTTTTAAGGCTAGGAGCGATGATGGCGTTTTTAAATCGGGTGAGAACAGTACCAGAGGATAGGGAAATGTCTGTGAGTAGAGGGGCAAGGTAGTGGAGCTGGGAGTTAAGGAGAGGGATAGGGATGGGATCGAGGGAGCAGATGGTTAGTTTCATGCCAGTTATAGTGGTGTTGAGAGAGGAGGGGGAGACAGCTTCGAAGATGTGGAGGGAGGGATGGGTAGGAGCCTGGGTGGGAGGGGGAGATAATAATAATAATAATAATCCTTGCATTTGATATAGCGCTTTTCACGTCGGGAGGACGTCCCAAAGCGCTTCACAGAACACACTGTAAAGTGAATTGACTGTATATTTGTGGGCGAACGCGGCAGCCAATTGCGCACAGCAATGTCCCACAAACAGTCGTGGATTGAAAATGACCAATTTATTATTGTTTTTGGTTTTGGAGGGATTATTATGGGGATGGGGAGGGTGTAGCAGCAAAAATTATAGGATGCATCTATGCATGCTGGTTAAGTTTCTCAACACTAAGTGGTGCCATATTTTGACAATTTTTAAAAAAAAAAAAATCTGGCTGTGTTGTATACTTGCTTTCTCTCTGCAAATATCTGTGAAGCTTTTGGGTTATCCGTTATTGGTGTGCAAAACACTGAAAGTGAATGAATGAACGCTTTGGGTGCTGCGTTGATCAATCCAAAAGCAACATGTTTGGAACTGGTATTGCTTTGTCAAAAGAAAAAAAGTGAAAACTTTTTAAAAGAGTTCATGATATCCAGTCTTGTAATTCTCGTCATTTTTTCTCTGGTCATTTTCAAGCACTGACGTTATTTAAAAAGCATGCTCTCTCTCTTTCTCTCTCTCGCTCTCTCTCTCTTGCTCTTTCTCTTGGGAACTTGGGCCAAAAAAACAACAAAAGGAAAAACTTTTTTTTTACTATTCAATAACAGCAACAACAACAACTTGGATTTATATAGCACCCTCCACGCTGAACGGCGTCTCAGAGCGCTTCACAGTAATGGATACCGGGGCCGAGGGAGGGGGAGAAAGGTGACCAAAGGCGCGGTCAAAAAGAAAGGTCTTCAGCAGGGACCTGAAAGTAGGAAGAGAGGGAGCGAGACGAAGGGAGTCAGGAAGGGAGTTCCAGAGCCTCGGGGCGTAGTGGCTGAAGGCACAGCCACCGAGGGTGAAGTGGAGGATTCGGGGGACAAGGAGGAGGCCAGACCCGGCGGAACGAAGGCAACGGGCACTGTTTTGAGGAGAGAGGAGGTCAGAGAGGTAGGGGGTGCAGAGAAGTGGAGGAATTTGAAGATAAGAGTGAGGATTTTGAAATCGATTCTCTCTGGGATAGGCAGCCAGTGCAGTCTGGCAAGGACTGGGGTGATCGGGGAGCGGAGTTTGGTGCGGGTGAGAATGCGGGCAGCAGAGTTTTGAATAATCTGGATTTTATGGATGGTAGTAGATGGGAGGGCGTTTGAATAGTCCAGCCAGGAGGTGACAAAGGCATGGACTAGGGTTTCAATGTCTTTTGGAGTGAGGTATTGGCGGAGACAGGCGATGCCTCGGAGGTGGAAGAAAGTGGTGCTGGTGAGGGATCGGATGTGGAGGAGGAAGGAAGTTGAGGTTGCGTATGGGTTCGGAGAGTTCTAGGGGGAGGTAGGGAAGGTGGTGGAGTATTTCCACAATAAAATGTGTATGAACCCACTGTTTGCTTGGACCGTGTTGTTTTATACCAGGTAAAAAATAGACGGTAAATAAAATTTTACTAATTGTTCAAGGCATAAGTAGATAATCATCATGTTGAGAGGATCAGAAAACATACAAGTCTTACAATGCAATGGATTGCAACACAGGTTGGTTTGGTTTTGTCCAAGTGCCAATTGGAGGAACGAGGTTGATATATATACTATATATATATATATATATATATAATATATATAATTCTCAGTCTGGTTTGGATACTCTTAAGCATAGTGATGGGTTTCCGCTTGTGTCAGACACCCGGCTGACCAGAAAAAATACTAATTGGGAGGTGGTTTTTTTGATATTTACTGATGTTTGTAACAATAGGTTGAAGGACGGAAGCCAGCTTTTCTTGTTCACTGATGCATTTTGTCCTGCAAGGCACCCTGCGATTTATTAAACAGAAGCTCGTCCAGCTCCTTGCTCACTTCGCTTCACCGCATCACAGGCATTTAAAGTGAACTACACATTGCACATAACGGGCCTGGAATCCTACCTGGTCTTTCATCCAGTCAGCCATTACACCTCACTGAGAGAGTTACTAGTCACCGAGGTTGAGTTTCTAGTCACTGAGAGAGAGTTACTAGTCACCGAGGGAGAGTTACTAGTCACCGAGGGAGAGTTGCTAGTCACCGAGGGAGAGTTACTAGTCACCGAGGGAGAGTTACTAGTCACCGAGAGAGCGTTACTAGTCACCGAGAGAGTTACTGGTTGCATTCCTGGTCGCCTCGCTGTCTGTTATGCGATATCTCTGGGCAGATTGACCGCTCTATGTCACGTTCACTTAATTTCTCACCAATTCTGGAGTTCTTGGAGTCATTTATTTGTGAAGCTTGAAAGGCCCTGTAAAAATGTCAGTTGTTATTAGACTAAAAAAACTCATTATGTCCCCTGCCTTTCCCTGTACCTTTTGATATTAAAATGATAATAATCATCATCTTTGCATTTGATATAGCGCCTGATCACATTGTTCAGCCGTCTCACCCATGTGTTTTTTTAAAAAAAAGACATTTAAGACTTCCTTCTGTCAAACACTGCGGAGCCTAACTGAGTATGGGCGTGTGTTTATCATTTCCAAACCAAATTTGTGTAACGATGCATTCAGTTTCTAAATGCTTCACCTGGAATCAGATGGAATTTCCAGATTGGGCGAAACCTGAGGTAAGTTTTCTGACTCTACGCGCCTCTGTTTACCTCGCAGTAAGTAAGAACCCGGTTGTTAGTTGATTGGCGGATCACTTTACGGTTGTTGGTTACATTAATTAAGGCAAAGGCTGGCCCCAGAGCAGGACGAGGTGATAGCAGAGAGTGCAGTCACTGACATCACCAGCAATAGAGATCAGCAGAGGGGTAAGCGTTCAAATTCTAATCCCGAGACTGGCGTAAACTGGGGACTTTTCTCTCCTTACACTCGTTTCCCACATGACTGGGGCACTAACCACTTAGCCACAGGACTCCACAAGTACTGTACGCACAAGAAGTGCCTTTGCAAGCTGTCTTCTCCTGCGCTTTATATTGCCTTCATTGTCTTGGCCACAAGTCTGCTTTGCCTCATCTTCCAATATCATGTCAGATGGTGTCCAAGGTGCAAGGTTTATAAAAGGTTTTTACAGCATGGTGCTTGTGTATTTTCAGGTGTTAATATTTAGATTTGGATCAAGTTTCTACAGGGTTAAAGTAATCTTTAAACGGTAAGTGAACCCACTTCATTGCTCGTGTGGTTATAGCCTGTGTTAGCTGTACGGTTAGTACGCAGTTTACCCTTTCATCACTTGGATGAATTGAACACAAGGCGAAACTAATTAATTACTGTTAGTAATGGATCTGTGAGGCTCGATCATACCTCAGATTTTATTAAGATATCGTGTGACTGTTACACCTGTGATAAACCACTGGTGGCAATTTCTGAGCTGGAAGAATTGGGTTTGTCATCACTAATCGCTCCGAGACACTGCCCCAGGGGACAGGCACTATATTAATGTAAGTTGTTGTTAATGATAGTGATCAGAAATGGAACATAGGTATATAGGAACAGGAGGAGGCTGTTCAGCCACTCAAGCCTGTTCTGGCTTTCTAATAGATTGTGGTTGATAATAATAATAATAATAATAATCCTTGCATTTGATAGAGCGCTTTTCACGTCTTCTCAACATCTCAAAGCGCTTCACAGAATATGCTGTAAAGTAAATTGACTGTATATTTGTGGGGGAAACACGGCAGCCAATTGCGCACAGCAATGTCCCACAAACAGTCGTGGATTGAAAATGGCCAATTTATTATTGTTTTATTTTAGAGGGATTATTATTGGAGATTACATAGACTGTACTGCACAGAAACAGGCCACTGTAGTTCAGTGGGGTTCTGTAGCTCAGTGGTTAGAGCACAAGCCTCGCAATCAAAAGACCCGGCAAAGTCTGGCGTCTTATAATAATAATAATAGTATTAATCCTTGCATTTGATATCTTTGAGACGAGTGAAAGCGCTTCATTGAATATAATAATAATATATTGTAAAGTGAATTGACAGTGTATTTTGAGGGCGAAACACGGCAGCCAATTGAACACAGCAGTGTCCAACAAACAGTCATGGATTGAGTGACCAATTTTTTTTTTGGCGGGTATATTACTCACAGAAAGCGATCCACCAATTGACTGTGCTTATGAGAATCATTCAGGAATGATTAGAAGAAACACAAAAGTCTGACCCGGGCTTTTCTTAGGAGTTGAGGTTAGAATGAGGGTTGGTGAGAAATGTTCGTTAGAGTAAAGGCTCTCAATTTCCTTCTCACTTGGTTTGAAGAATCTGAGACAGAGGCCACAATAGGTTTAGACTACATGGAGAGGAAACTGAGTAACGTGGAATAAAATGTTAGTTTATTTAGCCTGGTGGGGCATATTATCTCAGACCCCTAAGTGGATTGCACAATGGTGTGCTGAGGAAATGACATTCTATTCCTGACGTTAATGTAGAAATTTTGATTCCTGAACTGGTGAGGTCTTTTTGATAAACGGAAAGATTGCAATATTCCATATTTATTTTACGCACATTTTTTCTGTGGAACGTGTGATTCGGGGCGGGTGGTGACTGACTCCAGCAGTATCACAGCTGGGACATTGTATGTGTGTGTGTGTACTTGTGTGTGTGTGTGTGTGAACTCGTGTGTGTGTGTACTTGTGTGTGTACTCGTGTGTGTGTGTGTGAACTCGTGTATGTGTGTGTGTACTTGTGTGTGTGTGTGTGAACTCGTGTGTGTGTGTACTTGTGTGTGTACTCGTGTGTGTGTGTGTGTACTTGTACGTGTGTGTGTAATTGTGTGTGTAATTGTGTCTGTATTTCTGTGTGTGTTTGTGATTCTGTGCATGCGTGTGAGAGACTGTGTGTGTGTGTGTGTGTGCGCATATGTGTGTGAGATTCTGTGTATGAGTTGAAAAGGGAGGGTGGGGAGGAACCCAGCTGGTTACACCCATTTCTCCCTGAATGTTTCCCTATGTTTATTTCCTCCCATTACTAATTCACTCCCATAGCCAGCCATTGCAAAACAGCTTGACAAATACTTTTAGGTAACATTTCAAAAATGACAGCAGGAAGCATTTGGTTTTCTCCCTCTTTCCCTCTCTCTCCATCTCTCTCTCTTGGATAATGACTCATGTTGGCTCTCCTCAGCTGATTACCATCTCACCTAAACATCCTCTTCGCTATGTCCAAGTCTAGACAGTGAACGTCTGAAAAATGCACAGTATGCAGGAGACACCTAAATCACCCTCTCCTCCCATTTCTGATGGGGGTGGGGGGGAAGTTCGGTCGGATATGGGGGAGGGGGAAACAAATAGGCGGAATTATAACTAATATTCCAAAACCGTTACATTGAGTTTCAAATCTATTTAGGGATGGGTGTCTCTCTCGGTGTCCTGGCCAACAATTCCCCCAGGTAAAAATGGGTTGCTTTTTTCATAATAATAATAATAATCCTTGCATTTGATATAGCGCTTTTCACGTCGGGAGGACGTCCCAAAGCGCTTCACAGAACACACTGTAAAGTGAATTGACTGTATATTTGTGGGCGAATGCGGCAGCCAATTGCGCACAGCAATGTCCCACAAACAGTCATATGGATTGAAAATGACCAATTTATTATTGTTTTTGGTTTTTGGAGGGATTATTATTAGGCTCTGTGTGGAGTAAGGAAACTTGCCCAAGGTTTCGCCCTCTGCCTGGAATTGAACTCAGGTCTCTCACTTGCAAAGCGAGTGCTCTAACCACTGAGCTACAGGACTCCACTTCATGTCTGTTTGCGGAGAGGTTGCTGTGCGCAAATCAGCTGTCACGTTTGCCTACGAAACACAGTCACTGCACTTTACAGTGAAATCCTGTGAAGCGCTTTGAGACGTCCTTCCTGGCGTGAAAGGTGCTGTGCCACACCTAACGATTTTGGTATTATTTATACGCTTGCGTTAGAATAAAAACAATATGCCCTTTGTTTTTCGAGTAAGCTTCGCAGAATAAACAGAATAATTACCTTGTGAAAAATTGGAACAATACACCACAAACTTGAGAGAATGGAGAGTTTCTTGAGGGGAGAACAGATTGAGTTGTGCGCCAATTGGGCTGCAAAAAACACAACAGTCACTACACTTTACGCTTTGAGAAGCGGTCCCGACATGATGGGAAGTGAATCCGATGCCCGAATTATTGTTATTGTGCACACCACCGCCCGATATTGCTGACAGTGTTTTCTTCAATGACTGTTTGAACTGGAATAATTCGGAAGTTGAGTCAGATCAGTACCTGAAAGTTCCGTAAAGGGCAGCAAATGGTTGTGAGCTTTTGAGATGTAAGATTCTCCCCCCCCCTCCACTGACACACACACCACACACACACACACACAGTGAATCAGAACAGAGGCTACCACAACACACAGAAGCCCCCATGGCACCGGGTTCCCTTGTGGATTCTCTCCGTTTCCTCCTATTCTTTGAGAGGAAGTCCCAGAAATAACTAGTCCTGTACACTCACATACTTTCTCAGCTCCCACAGCAAGGGAAGAGGCTACCCAGACCAGACCAGACAAACTCACACACACACACACAGCCAGGCTCCCTGCACTGACACACCAGCAGAATGACTGCTCTGAAAATCACTGCTCTCCTGTTACTGATCTACCTCACCATCTCACCAGGTAGGAGAGTATTAAATCTCTTTTTTTCTCATTTTGGTATAAAACTAAGGAGTATTGTGTCGCTGATGTTTTTTGGTGCATCTCTCTCCCTCCCTGCCTCCCTGCCTCCTTCCCTATCTCCCTCGGTTTGTTGAAGATCCATCCCAAGTCCATCACCACACTTTTGGTCATCTTCCTCTCCCCTTCCCCCGCACTCCCAGCCCGAGCTCAGTTCTGAGCCAGGATCGCTAAGCGCCTTGAGATGTCCCCCTGACGTGAAAGACGCTGTGTAAATGTGTTGGGTCGCCTTGCAGAGATTTAATACTGTTTCTGCTCCCCACCCCACTAGAGTGAGCGTAAAGGACGCAGTAACTGCTCTCTGTGAGCTGCCTCAGTTAAAAGCTCTGAGTGGTGTGGATGGGGAAAAACACATAGGAAATCCTCCCTCTATCCTCATCAATTGTCGCTTTTCAAAGATGGTCCCAATCCTTGTTCCTCAAAGTTGTTGTTGGGAAGCTCTTGAGGGGGGAGAGGGGGAAGGAGGAATGGGGGAGGCTTTTAAAATTTGCCCCTTTTCTGAGCTGAAACACTGAAAATATGTTCCTCTGATGTTACCTCCCCCTTTTTGCTTGTCTTTAATTTCTGCCACTTCACTAGACTAGATGTGTGCCCCTCGCCTCACTTGCTCCGTCACTCACTCACTCACTCACTCACTCACTCACTCACTCACTCACTCACTCACTCACTCACTCACTCACTCACTCACTCACGACAATCTCCGTGAACATTACCAGGTGACCTCAGGCACTTGTTAAACCTATGTGCCAGGGTGAGTCAGTCCTGTCAGGAAGGGGAGATAGAATTATTGTGGATCAGTGATTTATCTGATCACAATCTAACGGAAATGTCTGGGCGTGAGTTGGGAATGTTGAAAGACTGCCCAATTTCCTGGCTGAGCTGTTCGTCCGATTGAAACAACAGACATGTTCGAAAGTCACTTTAGTTCCTTTCCCACTACTTTTTTCCATTTCGCTCTTCACTCAATAATAATAATAATAACCCTTGCATTTGAGAAAGAGCCTTATCATGTTGTTGAGTCATTTCAAAGTGCTTTACAGAATATACTGTAAAGTATATATTTTGTGGTCGAAATGCAGGGGCCAGTTGCACACAGCAGTGTCCCACAAACAGCCATGGATTGAGTGACCACATTTTTTTTATTGATTTGTTTTTTTGAAGGGAATATTACCCCCAGTTTTCTTCCCACCCAGGAATCAAACTCGGTTCCTCTCGCTTGCAAGGTGAGTGCTCTAACCACTACACTACAGGACTCCACTTGGCTTTCGTTCTCATTACCAGCTGCTGTGAAGAGAAATCTTCAACATCAAAGCCACGTCTCAAAGCACTTGACACAACTGGCGCTGGGCACTCAAGCTTGGAGCGGTGGGGGGGTGGGTGGCAAAGGCAGTGCGGAGGGGAGAGATGACCGAAAGTGCGGTCAAAGAGTTGCAGGAAGGGTGTCCCAGCCAACAATCCCCCAAATAAAATTGGCTGCTCACTTCACGACTGTGTGTGGGACGTTGGTTGTGTACAAGATGGCTGCCAGGCTCATACATGGGTCACTCCACTTCACGAAGCCTTTTGGAACATTCCCCCTGATGTGAAAGGCTCTATACTAAACGCAAGCATTATTATTATTAGTAGTATCATCTAGGTTAGATAGGTTTTAGATTTGATGTGGATTCGATGTGCAAATCATGTCAAACTACACAAAATCCCTGCGGATTTACAGCCTAGAGGGGAAGATGATCTTGTTCAACGCCCAAAGAAATGGGAAGAATTTGGGCAAGGACTGAGATGGACCTACTCCACCTAACACTAGGTGGAGTAGGTCTACCACAGAAGCCAGAGCGGTGACGGGAGACGAAGGGAGAAATTTAAAATCTTGGAACTAACAGCCGAGACGTCACGGTGGTAGAAATATTGATGGATAACAATTTGCTAATGTTTTTGATGATGATAATAATAATAATAATAACAATAATAATAATCCTTGCATTTGATATAGCACCTTATCACGTCACAGTGTCCCACAAACAGTCGTGAATTGAGTGACCAAATTATTATATATTTTTTAGAGCGATTACTAACCCAGGAAAGCAATCCGCCAATCAAGTAACTACTGGGTTCCTACTTAACTGTTAGGTTAACAGAATCATGTGGAGTAAGTATAATTGCCTGAGGTTTCACCCTGCCCAGGAATAACCTCAATCCATGATGATTTGTGGGACACTGCTGTGTGCAAATGGCTGTCACGTTTCGCCCACAAAATAGACAGTCCATTTACTTTGCAGTATATTCTTCAGTATATCATGTCTCAAAGAAGAGAGGAGTATAGGTTTGTGGAATAGGAGGGATGAGGAGTTTTAATATCAGCACAGACTAGTTCAGTTGAAAGGTCTATTTTCAGGACGTTATTGCTCTGTGTAGTTTGATGAAGAAATTCTCTGTAATCGGTCTGATCACCTCGCGGCCACGAGCATCACTGAGAATGATAAATGGCTGAAAAGAACCATTTGCAAGTTTTGACTGTTAGCAGAAATAACTCTTGTGTTAATTTGCAAACCAACAATCTTCTTTATTTCCAGCTCAGACAAGCACTAATACCACTGCTGCAGAGAAACCTGGGACAAATACGAACACTTCAATGGGTAATCCAATTGTTCAGCAACTGCGTGAGTAACCTCTGCAACTCCCTCCGTCCATCCCTCTGCCTCACCCTCTCCCTTCCTATCCTTGTTTGAATCCCACCCAAAATGAGGGAATGAAAGCCCTTCGCTGGTGATCTTAGTGGTTCTCGGTGTCTATCAGTCTATGATGCCACAGAACTAAATCATACGTTGGCACCAAATTAGCAATAGGATAGTCAAAAAGGTGACCTGCCACCTACTGGTTGGTTGTTACAGTTCTATGTATCTGGCTGAACGATGTGTTTCATTCCTAGCGCAACGTGTTTCTGAGATTATTGAGAGCTGGAACGCACTCAAAAAAATCTGCATTTTGTTTGTAAAAGGGATCGTCATCAGCAGCATCATGTGTCTCTCTGTGTTTGCTAAATCTTTCCAGCTTTGGTTGAAACCACATCCATAACAAAAACCGCCAATGGTTCCATCCCGAAGTTGAATTCTTCTGTCACACCATCTTTCGGCAATTCATCATCTGTGAGACCAACTTCTGTCACACCAACAGCAGAGAATATAAACTCCACGATGAAAGTAACAACAGGTAAAGCTAAGCGCATGCTAGCAATGACATTGAGTTACATGTACATTTCTGCCGTTCCCTGCCCCAGTGTCGATCAGTATTTATTATTACAACAATAAAAATAATAATCCTTGCATTTGATGCAGCTCCTTTCATATGAGGAGGACTGAGCTATATCGGCTAACTCAGTCACTTTGCAGTGGGAGGTGGAGAGGTGACCATAAACACGGTCAAAGTGTGTGCGAGGGACGAGCAGGAGGCCGGTGCCAGTCAAGTGAGGTGTCGGGTGGTTGATTGGGGAGTGAGGAGGTCGGAGAGGTCGGGAGGTGCCAGAGAGCAAAATGAGGATCTTGAAGTCGATCCATTCGGTGATGGGGAGCCAGTGGAGGCTGGGCCAGACCTGATGAGATGTGGGTACGGAGTTTAGTCCGGATCAGTATGCGGACCAAGTAAGATAGGAAAAGCGTGAACTGCCACCTACTGAACAAGGTGGAATGATCAGTTCTATTGAGGCAGAATATATCTATCTGTGAATTGTGAGAGATTGTCCTCTTGACCTGAAAGGCGCTATACAAATGTACACAGGCCCTTCATGACGGGCAGGGTCTCGCAGCGCTTAACAGAGTCGGTGCCTGATGCCGAGCCGCGGGGAGGGAGGAGGTGACCTTAAGAGGAACGTCTTCAGCCATATTAATAACAAAAAAATGCTTCACTTTGTATTTGCAGTTGACATAAGTGTTTCCACCCAGAAAATGAACTCTTTCGACACACCATCTTCCGACCCACCATCTACCGTCAGTCTGTCTTCTGTCACAGTATCGGTCTGGAGCACTGACTTCACAATGAACGTAACTACAGGTAAAGCCCTGTAAACACTGCGGCAAGGCTTGGGGACCCCAGAGTGTGTGTTGGGGTAACTGCTGGGGTAACCGCTGGTTGTCTAGCTTTAGCAATGACATAGAATACGTAGATCGCACTTCCACAAAGCAGATTTGTGTTGGTCATTGAGAAATGGTGGAGCGATGTTGTAATAATAATAATCCTTGCATTTGATATAGCGCCTTATCATGTCACTGGGGCACCTCAAAGCTCTTCACCGAATATACTGTAAAGTAGATTGACTGTGTATTTTGTGGGTGGAATCAACCCTGATGTAACAGTCAATATTTATTATCAGGAATGGTGGCAGGCAGTCTAGTGCCCAGTTCTGTTTGCCAATCAACATTTACCCTTTAAAGACTTGGATCTGGACTGAAACCCTCACAACATCTGGGGCAGATTCCACCCGACGTTGCGAGTGACTTCTTTGCATGATGATAACCAAGAGATCCTATTAGTGACTGACATCAGCTAAGGCACAGCGCATAGTGCTGTGTGGAATATCTAAACTTGTTTTCGCCTTAAAAGATTCCTAGAATCCTACAGCACAAGGAGGCGATTTGGCCCATCATGCCTGTGTTTTTGAAATAGCTATCCAATTATTCCCACTCCCCCGCTCTTTCCCCACAGCCCTGCAATTTTTTCCTTTTAAGAACCTATCCAATTCCCTTTTTAAAGTTATTATTGAACCTGCTTCCATCATCCTTTCAGGCAGTGAGTTCAAGTTCATAACAACTCTCTGCGTCGAAAAAATTACCCTCTGGTTCTTTTGCCAATTATCTTATATCTATGTCCTTTGATTACCATCCCATGTGTCAGTGGAAACAGTTTCTCCTTATTTACTCTTATCAAAAGCCTTCATAATTTTGAAAGGTACCACTGTGGGCATCCTGAGCAGGAACCTTCACACCCGGCCAACAGTTGGGACAATTCACGGTGAGGTTGTAGGACTTTCATAACTCTTTATTTCAATGGTTTGGGACTTGATCCTATTGAAGTACCTGATAAGGCTTTCGTCTTCTTTTGACAGATGTTTCTTCGCCAGTGTTCAACACGACCAGGATGACTATTCGTGCCAAACAGCCAATGAGCTCTTTGCAAATACCGGCCTTTGGTAATACTGCGCTCCCACTTTTATTACAATTCACCGATCACTTGGAAGGCTCTAAGCTTCCTTGTCGTATCTAACCTGCATGAGTAAATAATAATAATAATAATTATCCTCCCATTTGATACAGTGCCTTGCATGCTGGAAGGACATCTCAAAGCACTTCCCAGGATTCATTATAAAGTGTAGATTGTATTTCGGAACTAGGAAGTTTCAGCCACGATTGGGGTGAATGGCTTCTTGACTGTCACTGTCTCTTTATTGTATTGTTTACCTCACAACAACGACAACATGTGTCTGTGTAGCACCCTTCACACCGGATAGCATCTTGGTGGGTGGGTAACTAGCTAGGCTTTGATCAATTGCTGTTCCCTATTGCCTTTGTTTTGCTGTGTGTGTAATCCCTCTATACCTCTCTGCCAGCTGTCATTAGCCTCATCCTTATTCTCGTCATCGTGGTGGTGGTTCTGGTCATTTCGATGATTCTGAGGATTAAATGTCGGGCATGTCAGGAATCGTCACAAGGTACTGTCTGTTATAATAATTCATCTGCTAACTAGCTAACTAACCGACCGACCAACCGACCAACTAAACAACTATTTACATTAAAGATCTCTTTGCGCCTTTCATGTCGGGATGACGTCTCAAAGTATTTCACATGATTGACTGGGAGCCTGTGGGGGGTATAGGGGAGGGGGGAAATGGGGAAGGAGCAATGGAGCAGAAGGAGTCAAGGGGGAAGGTAGCCGAAAGAGGCAATCAAAGAGTGAAGTATTAAGATAGGGAGGGAGCGGGGCAAGGCAGAGCGAACTCTGGGATGGAAATCCAGAGAGTGGGGGAGACAGAATGGCGGAAAGCCGGTCTGGTCAACTTTAATCTACACGTGCCTTAATCGATTCTTTATTTTGACAGATTCAAGTAAGTCAAGGAGTGCAGGAATCTCAGAAAGGTTTGTTACAAGTACATTTCTTTTTTTATTTTTATTTTGTAAGGCAATTTCTATTTCCCTGTAATGGAACGTGCGCTCTCTCTTGACCCAGTCCTGAAGAGTTTAAAAAATGAACCAAGGCTTGGGGGGGACACCAGAGTGTGCATTGGAGTAACTGCTGGTGTCTAACCAGCTAAAACCTCATAGCTCGCCATTGAGAGCACTGCCTGGCAAGCTTTCCCGCTGCTTATCCAGCAAGGATCAACCTATTAGATAGGGCTTTGGCTTACAGGGTTAACAGGAGCCGAGTGGGAAGAATCCCAGCCCTGAGTAACCAGTCTGCCCCTCCACCTCCTGCTGATGAGCCAGGCTGTCATGAATGGTATGTAAAGCCCTGTAGCATAATGATTAGAGCACTCGACTCGCAAGTGAGAGGACCCAGGTTCCATTCCCTGGCAGGGTGAAACCTTAGGCAAGTTTCGTTACTCCACCCACCTCTATTTACCTAGCAGTAATTAGGAATAAGTTTTAATTGCTTAGCAAATCACTTTCAAGGGCTAATAATCCCTTCCCAAAAAATAATAAATTTGGTCACTCAATCCACAACTGTTTGTATGACATTGCTGTGCGCAATTGGTTGCTGCATTCCGCCCACCAAATACAGTCAATTCACTTTACAGTGTATCCTGTGAAGCACTTTGAGAAGTCTCAACAACTTGATAAGTCATTATATCAAATGCAAGGATTATTGTTAGTATAATGGTAGCTGTGGCTCAGAAATGGGACTGAGGAGTGACTACATTCCAATATTTCATTGCCAGACATCTCATCCTGGAACCAGCTCAGATTAATCTCAGATATGAATTAGTCAAATAATACAACTTAATAATAATAATAATAAAGCACTTCACAGAATATACTGTAAAGTGAATTGACTGTAAGTACCTGGCTCAGGGTGCAATTGATTGCTGGGTTGATTTAATGGAAATATTGATATTTGTATTTTCTTTTAGTCCCCAGGTTAACGGGAAGAAGGACAGAGTCACTCTCGTCTCCATGAAGGTTCTGAGCCCCGAAGTCGGTAGGTGTCGAAATCCCCCCGACAAATCCCGGGCAGCTCTTTATGCCCTCGTCACTGCAGACACGCACTTCTCCACTCCACCGTCGGTGGCCGCGCTTTCTAGAAACTCTGGAACTCAATCCCTCCGCCTTGACCCCTCCTGACCCATCTTCAGGTCGCACCTGAAGAAGTTTCTCTTTGACGGTGCTTACGGTCACGGCTCTCTGGCTTGGCATCGTGCTCCGCCACTGTCAAGCTCTCTGAGACGCCACCCTGCGTGAGGGGTGTTATATAAATGCAAGCTGTTGCTGTGTGACAGCGAATGTTTGCTCTCTCCTTCAGAGTGGAGAGAGCGCACCTAGAATATTGTGTACAGTTTTGGTCTCCTTATTTAAGAAAGGAAATACTCACCTTAGAGGGGGTGCAGCGTAGATTCACTCGGTTAGTTCCTGGGATGAGGGGTTGACCTATGAGGATAGGTTGAGTAAACTAGGGCTATATTCTCTAGAATATAGAAGAATTAGAGGTGATCTTATAGAAACATATAAGATTCTTATGGGTCTTGACAGGGTAGATGCCGTGAGACTGTTTCCCCTGGTAGGAGAATCTATAACTAGGGGTCACAGTTTTAAGATTAAGGGACAGCCTTTTTGAACAGAGTTGAGGAGACATTTCTTCACTCAGAGGGTAGTGAATTTATGGAATTCTCTACCCCAGAAGGCTGTAGATGCTCAGTCCTTGAATATATTCAAGACTGAGATTGATAGGTTTCTGAAGGATAGAGGGATTAAGGGATATGGGGATAAGGCGGACAGATGGAGTTAGGTTAGAAGATCAGCCATGATCTTATTGAATGGCGGGGCAGGCTCAAGGGGCCAAATGGCCAACTCCTGCTCCTAATTCCTATGTGCCTATATTCCTATGTAGAAACCTTGGGGTGTGCATCTCTCCAGAACAATTTTGACCAGACCAGCGGGGAACAGATGAACAGGTGTGTTAAACATATCTGTGGGGCCTCAGGTGGTGAGAGTTGGGGTGGGGTGGGAGAGTGGTGGGCTACTCACTGTAAAAACACATTTGCTTGTCCGAAATTTCCAGGGTTCTTTTCCTTCAATCTTTTCTGTGTGTTGAGTGGCGGAGTGGGTGGGGGGGGGGGGGGGGATTGTTGAAGATGACACGTGATATCTTTCTTGTTCTGAAATCGTGCCGTAATTTTCTCTTGCGGTATTTTCTCCCATGCTCTGTGATCTCCTGCCATTGCTCCCACCCCCAGTCTGTTCCACTTGAACCCACCCTTCCCCCTCCCATTCATTGCCACTATGTTTTGTTACTTTATATTCCTGCTTCACAATAATAATCCCTCCAAAAACCAAAAACAATAATAAATTGGTCATTTTCAATCCACGACTGTTTGTGGGACATTGCTGTGCGCAATTGGCTGCCGCGTTCGCCCACAAATATACAGTCAATTCACTTTACAGTGTGTTCTGTGAAGCGCTTTGGGACGTCCTCCCGACGTGAAAAGCGCTATATCAAATGCAAGGATTATTATTATTATTATTCATGGAAAGTATTTGTTAAGCGCTCTCAGATACTACCTCAGGAAGGATGCCATATAAATGAAGCTTGTTGACACACAGCAATCTCCTGATCCTTCTCGGTCACAGTGTTTCTCACTCTCTTTTCATTTCAATTCCAGTTTGTTGAAAGGGTCCCCTGGAAGTCAACGCTCTGGATATTTCTCACTGCCTGGAAGAGTGAGTTGAGAGGGGAAACTCACTGCGTGACAATCCAAACGTCCAGTCTGCTTATTTGTCTTTTGATTCTAGAAACCAGTGTCTCTCAAACCCACTACTGAAAGACTCCTCTCTCCCTCTGTCTTGACCCTCTCTCTGTCTGTCTTTAAATCCTCCCTTAAAACCCACCTCTTCGCTCACACTCACGGTCACCATCTCCCTTCCTCGCTCTCCCCCTCTCGCTTGCTCCATGACTACCCCCCATCACTGTAAAGCGCACTGAGACCCAATGTGACTCAAAGTTAGTTCCCCAGTGTGAAGGCAACTATTATAAATGCAAGTTGCTGTACAGTACATCATTTGCTAAGAATTGAACGGTTTCTCAGAAAGCTTCAGTGCTTTGGTTACTTGAGCCCTGAGCAAGCTACTTCACCACTTGATGATTTACCGGGTGAAGCCAATAAACAATGCTGACCCGAGAGTCATGGGTTCACGTGCCCATACGGACTGAGTTAGTTGAACACAAGCAACTGCCCTCAGAACACCCACGCAGTAGAATGTGGACTTTAAACATGGCACGTCTTGATGTTCATCTGTGAACAGTTGAGTGTTAGCCGACAAAACACCCGCTTACCGCACTTTACATTATCTCCTGTGAAGCCCTTTGGGACCTCCTCCAGATCTGAAAGGCGCTCTTTATGGAGTCCCTTAGGGTAGTGGTCCGCACACTCGCCTCGCAAGCAAAAGGACCCGGGTTCAATTCCCAGGCCGGGGCAAAATCTTAGACACGTTTTCTTACTCCACACGGCTCTGTTTACCTTGTAGTAAGTAGGAACCCAGTCGATTGGCGGATCGCGCAATAATAATAATCCCTTCAAAAAATGTAGTCACTTAATCCACAACTCTTTGTAGGACACTGCTGTGCACAATTGGCTGCCGTATTTTGCCCACAAAATCCACAGTCAATTCACTCTGAAATATATTCTGTGAATCGCTCAGAGAAGTCCCAATGACGCAATAACGCAAAATATCACATGGAAAGATTATTATTATTTTTATATAAATAGGGGAAATATTAAACCGCGGCTATACAAAATGATAATTGGCGATGGTTTCTGCCAGCCGATCAGGAAACAGGGCATTGTGAGTGTGGGGATATTGGGTGAGGATGGCACTAGTCTTACCCATAATGGCACAGTGGCCAACATATTCCCCCCAAATGGGGAAATATATTGGTCACAATCATCTACAAAAGAATAATGGCCTCAACAGGAAGAGTCCTGAAGAGACTGAGAAGCCAACTGAAGGACAAAGGATGCTCTTAAGCATGGTGTTGGGTTTCCGCATGTGTCAGACACCTGGTTGACCGAAACAAAGATCTTCAGGACAGGAAGAAAATTTGAAGTGTGTGAAGCGACGAGAAACAGAAACTAATGTGGCCCTGTTAATCACGTGTTAGTGTAAATAGGATTTTGGTAACATTTTATTCTTTTTTTTATTGTTTATTTAATTGCTGAATTGCTTTCCTGAGCGCGCTCTTGTTTTTTTTAAAAAACCAGAAGTCGGCCCTTTGTGGAAATGTTAATGTTTGTGTGAAAATCCAGGGCTGAGGGTTTGTGCCTGAGATCTGAAGAGAGCTTTTGTATCAGGAAATTCCCCCCTATCTGAAGTCAATAATTATCGGGGAGTGATGAGCTGTTTTTGACCTACTTTTTCAGGTATGTAGAGCGGAGTGCAGCCTTCAGCCTTCAGCCCTGACTGACTCAATTTGGGCTGCCAACAGCTGACTGAATAGTTAGGAAAAATATTAAACGCAGCTCTCTGAAATGACAAAGCGGGTCGCTTCCTTTTTTTTTAAGCAAACGTTGCTTTCCGAGACTTTAGCGGTGTGATTACAGAGCGTTTGATCAGTGTCCAACCAGCCACTGTGCAGCGTTCCAGGATCCTATCCCATGTGAAGGGCGCGGTGTAAATGCAAATTGTTATTGTTAGGCAAAATGGAGCATGTCAGCTGTGATTGCTTGCACTCGCTACCCCTTTAAACGTTTGGAAGTGAAACCATCGAAATAAACTGAAATAAACGAGCGAGAGTAAGCGGCAGAACTCGTAAAGTGAAGCACAATATCTGTTCTCATCCCACCTTGCTTATCAAAGAGGTCTAATCTTTGTGGAGTCCTGTAGCTTAGTGGTTAGAGCAAGCGAGAGGATTTGGGTTTGATTACTCGGGGCAGGGTGAAACGTTGGGCAATTTCCTTATTCCTCATGCCTCTGTTTACCGAGCGGTAAGTAGGAATTCGGTTGTTAGATGATTGGTAGATCGCTTTTCCGGGTCTAATAATCCCTTCAAAATGAAATAAATAAAAAAAAATTGGTCACTCAATCTGTGACTGTTTGTGGGACACTGCTGTGCGCAATTGGCTGCCTCTTTTCGCCCACAAGATATACAGTCAGTTGACTTTACAGTATATTCTATGAAGCACTTTGTGACGGCTTTAAGACACGATAAGGCGCTATATCAGATTCATGGATTATTATTGTTATTATTAATATTATTATCTTAAATTAAACATGTGCTAATCAGTGACACTGACCTAAACTTAATAATAACACCTAAATAAAGTTAGTCACTCACTTCATTGGGCAGTGATGTGCCGAAATTGGCTGATGCGTTCACCGACAAACATACAGTCACTGTACCTCAGTGATATCCTGTGAAGCACTTTGAGACTCTTCGACGATGTGATAAGTGGAAGGTGAAAAGCACTATATCAAATGCAAGTATCATTCGCCGTATCAAGTGGAAAGATTATAAATTGCATGAAGAGCCGTAACACGCGTGGAGTAAGGAAACTTGCCAAAGGTTTTGCCCCAACTGGGAATTGAACCCGTGTCCTCTCACTTGGGAGGCAGGCTGCTAACCACTACAGGGCTAACACAACTACCCTTCGAGGCTCTCTCCATGCAGTGTGTTACTGTGATGTCTGTGTAACCAGGCAAAACAGCCCGCACATGATAAGTGTGAATCGATTGTGCACTCACTCGGTGTCAGTGGAGTCTAGACGGCAACTGTGAAACAGCTCACAGTTGGAATGTAAAGCTGTTTTGCTCCTGGTCATGATAAGTTTTATTGGAAATGGGGCGATGGTATGCCCGATGTGAGTGAGTGGCTCACACATCATGGCTGACTCATTCCTTCACTGGGGAAATGCAACTCAGAGGATGTGTGTTGCATCAGCTCCGAAGCTTTGATTTGTTTTTGCACACTGAGGCCACTTTTTCCTCTTTAACAGTGAACTTTTTTTCCCCCTGTACTTTTCCAGGAGTCCTGTAGCTCAGTGTTTAGAGCATTCACCTCACAAGCGAGAGACTTGGGTTCGATTCCCAGCAGGGCAAACTGTTGGGCAAGTTTACTTACTCCACAGTCGATTGGTGGATCACTTTACTGGGGGTAATAATTGCTTTTCTAAAAAAAAATTCCTTTTCACTCAATACAGTCAATTCACTTCACAGTATATTCTGTGAAGTGCTTTGAGATGTCTCGAAGACGTGATAAGGTGCTATATCCAATGCAAGGATTATTATATTATTATAGTTCTAGAGAGCCAGAGAAATCCACAGCACAGAAGAAGGACGTTCGATAAATCGTCCATTTGAAAGTGGAATCCTCTCTGACTTTCTGCCCTCCCGCTCCCCCCTTAGCCTTACAAATCATTCCATTTTAGATAATAATAATCCTTACATTTGATATAGTGCCTTATCATATCGTTGAGACGACTGAAAGCGCTTCACAGAATATACTCTAAAGTACATTTTGTGGGCAAAATGCAGCAGCCAATTGCACACAGTAGTGTCCCACAAACAGGGATGTGGCCTAAGGAAACGTGACTAACGTTTCGCCCCACCTGGGAATCGAACCAGGGTCCTCTCGCTTGCGAAGCGAGCACGCTAACCAATACTTACAGGCCTCCAGGGATCTAATTCCTTTAATTAGGTACTAAATAATAATAATCCTTGCATTTGATATAGTGCTTTTCAGCTTTTCTCGACGTCTCAAAGCGCTTCACAGAATAGACCGTAAAGTGAATCGACTGTATATTTGTGGGCGAAATGCTGCAGCCAATTGCGCACAGCAGTGTCCCACAAACAGTCGTGGGTTGAAGTGACCAATTTTTTTTTATTACTGTTTTTTTATCGTGAGGGATTATTATCAGGCGTGTGGAGTAAGGAAACTTGCCCAAGGTTTCACCCTACTGGGAATCGAACCCAGGTCTCTTGCTTGCGAGGCGAGTGCTATAGGACTCCACTGACTCCAGATGAATTATTATAGGTCCAGAGATACTAAACAGTATCTTCGATCGATGCTTTATAAGACATTTGCAGACACGTCCTTTCTTTTTCCCAGTGACCAAAAACTGAGATTAGCGTTGAGAGTGTGACAAAATTCCAAGTCTCGAGTCACTTGTCTTGTGAAGAGGATATTAAGCATATTTCCGGGTCAGGTGACTAAGCAATGTATAATACGTCGCTTCCAAGCAGGAAAAGTCACAGAGGTTTAATCCAGTAAAGCACCTGAGCGGATTTCAAGCGGGATTGTATGCAAATCGTGTGAGTTTGGATGATGAAATACAAGGAAAAAACAGAGTAATTGGTAAGTCACAAGAAAGGTTTGTCTGATCATCCCTTGGGGCATATGATTCATCCTGCAACAACCTGAGAGAATGAGACACAAAGCTGGATCCTAAACTATATGGCGCCTCAATAGAGCTGAAATTCCGTCAAGTCTTAACCTGTAAAATCACTTTGGTCTCAAGTGAACACAGCGGAATTGTGGAAAATTCTTAAAAGCAGCCTTAACTGGGCAGAGTTTTAGTAGTCTGTCTGCTTTAAAACACCCGAGTTTCCCTCTTCCCCCAATCCAATAATAATAATAATTTGGTCACTCAATCCACAACTGTTTGTGGGACACTGCTGCGCACAAGTGGTTGCCACGTTTTGTCCACAAAATACACTTTACAGTATATTCTGAGAAGTGCTTTGAGGCGTCTCAATGCCGTAATAAGGCGCTATATGTTGTATTATTTTTGGAAAGAGAACAGGCCGGTTCTGTTTTGGTTACTGTGACAACATGGGATTAACACAGACAAGCGTTGGGCTTACAGTGCTCACTTCCCAACAATTGCTTCATAAAGAGACGTATAACACGTGAAATCCAGAAACATGTTATTCTTCTCATTTCTCGTTCGTGGTCCCGTTCCAGTCCTATGCCACGTCATCTTGTGGGCAGTGTGGACTGTTTGGAAATTCCATTACAGATGAATCCCAGTTCTGCATTTCCCGTGAATGGCTAAAAGTACTCACAAACAATGATGTTAATACACTTGACTCAATGTAATGTTTCCCCCACCCACCCCTTCTCCTATTCCCCATTTCCTATACAGCAGATCATGTTGTACAGTTTTAAATTAAAAGAAATTGCATTCGGTAAATTGCCTTTCACATCATCGATGACTCAAAGCGCTTCACAGGAATTACTGTCAAGTGTAGTGACTGTGTGTTTTGTTGGTGAAACGCCGGAGTCAGTTGCGCACAGCAGTGTCGTGGATTAAGTGACCAAATTATTAGCATTTTTAATAAATACTGTGAAGTGCAGTGACTGTGTATTTGTAGGTGGACGCAGCTGTCAATCAGCACAAGGCGATGTCCTTCAAACAGCCGTGAAGGGAATGACCGATTTTATCGGTCGGTGGGAGGGGGGTGGGCGGCTGGAGATTGTTGGCTTAGAAATCAACACACGTTTCTCAGCACGTGACTCTTTGTGTTTCAGGGCGAGCGTTGCATCTCTATGTCGGCTTAGTGTCATTTGTGTCACAGACGCTCACACCAAGTGGGGAGGAGGGGGCCAGGAGGGAAACTGTTTGCACACGGCGCGGGGCAAACAAGGTTTGCAAATTTATCCACAGCAACGACTCTGAAACAGGATGCCTTCCCAAAGCGAGGTCCTCGATAAAAGCACAATAGCTCCTCTGTAACACTGGGATGGATAACGTGCTCGGGGAGACACCGGTGACACGCACACTCGATGCCGAGCGGGCAGATCTGTCAAAGTTAGGGAGTCTGGTCGTTGTTCTCAGGCACTGAGCACAACCTCTCCCTCTCTGTGCCAATGATAAATCGCCCAATTAGTGGCTGAAACTCCGACCGGTCTCAAGGTTATGAAGGAGCTGCAGTAAAAGGAAAGCGTTGCCGAGGACTGTTACAACTGGAACGTTAAAGCAAAGCATTCACAGCCGTAATTAACTGCCTCGGTAATGAGCCGAGCACCCTGTTCGCCCACAATGTACGCGCAATGCCTCGTTTCCCGTCCCTCGGGGTTGCGAGGGTGCAGGTTTCGGGGTTCACCTGCTGTACAGAATCCACGGTCACTTTACTGTGTAGCCTGTGAAGCGCTTTGAGTCACGGGCGAGACGCCTTTTTATAATAATAGTGATCCTTGCATTTAGTATACAGCGCCTCTCAGCGAGTCGTTGAGACGGCTCACAGCGCTTCACGGGATATACCGTAAGGTGGAGTGACAGTGCCGATTGTGGGTGAAACGCAGTGTTTCTGCGGGAGAACGCGGCAGCCAATATGTGTGGAGCAAATCCCCGCAAGTCTGAGTTGCGATGGGTGGGGGGGGGGGGGGGTGCGGGGAGGGGGGGGCGCGAGGCGGGGGGGGGGAAGAGAAATGACTGGCCTTAAAATGAGGTGACTGTGCAGTTTGTAAGGGCAGACATTGAACTTTAGCATCAGATGATGAGGCTGAGACTAATTTGTCATTGTCAGACCCCCCACACACACACACACCCAACCCCCACACACACACACCCAACCCCCCCCCACACACACCCAACCCCCCACACACACACCCAACCCCCCCCCACACACACACCCAACCCCCCCCCCACACACCCAACCCCCCCCCCCACACACCCAACCCCCCCCCCACACACCCAACCCCCCCCCCACACACCCAACCCCCCCCCACACACCCAACCCCCCCCCCCCACACACCCAACCCCCCCCACACACACCCAACCCCCCCCCACACACACCCAACCCCCCCCACACACCCAACCCCCCCCCACACACCCAACCCCCCCACACACACACCCAACCCCCCCCCACACACCCACCCAACCACCCCCCCACACACACACCCAACCCCCCCCCACACACCCACCCAACCACCCCCCCACACACCCACCCAACCCCCCCCCCACACCCCCAACCCCCCCCCACCCCCAACCCCCCCCCCCACCCCCAACCCCCCCCACACACCCCCAACCCCCCCCCACACCCCCAACCCCCCCCCCCACACCCCCAACCCCCCCCCCACCCCGGTCAGTCTCCAGGAACGAAGCCCCTGAACCCAATGCACTGGGTACACAATGAGAGCCAATATCCGACCGCACTGAGCAGTGCGGGGGGGAGGGGGCGGGGCTGTGTGTGGGGAGGGGCTGTGTGTGGGGGCGGGGCTGTGTGGGGGAGGGGCTGTGTGTGGGGCGGGGGAGGGGGCGGGGCTGTGTGAGGGGGCGGGGCTGTGTGGGGCGGGGCTGTGTGAGGGGGCGGGGCTGTGTGAGGGGGCGGGGCTGTGTGAGAGGGCGGGCTGTGTGGGGGGCGGGGCTATGAGGGGGCGGGGCTGTGTGAGGGGGCGGGGCTGTGTGGGGGGAGGGGCTGTGTGGGGGGGGCTGTGTGAGGGGGCGGGGCTGTGTGGTGTGGGAGGGGCTGTGTGTGGGGGCGGGGAGGGGGCGGGGCTGTGTGAGGGGGCGGGGCTGTGTGGGGGCGGGGCTGTGTGAGGGGGCGGGGCTGTGTGGGGCGGGGCTGTGTGTCGGGGGAGGGCTGTGTGTGTGGGGGGCTGTGTGGGCGGGGCTGTGTGTGTGGGGCGGGGCTGTGTAAGGGGGCGGGGCTGTGTGAGGGGGCGGGGCTGTGTGGAGGAGGGGCTGTGTGTCGGGGGAGGGGCTGTGTGAGGGAGCGGGGCTGTGTGTGGGGCGGGGGGAGGGGGCGGGGCTGTGTGTGGGGGCGGGGCTGTGTGGGGCGGGGCTGTGTGGGGCGGGGCTGTGTGAGGGGGCGGGGCTGTGTGCGGGGCGGGGCTGTGTGTGGGGGCGGGGCTGTGAGGGGGCGGGGCTGTGAGGGGGCGGGGCTGTGAGGGGGCGGGGCGGTGACTCCCTGAACAGCTGATGCAATGTTCCTTACAAAGAGCTGCGGAGCGGAGCGGCGGCACTGGGAGTCCTCCCGCACTGCCCTCTCGGTGTCTCCCGGTGACGGCGCTGATGTTCGTGCAGAGCTCTGGGGCGCCCCGGGGCTGCCCCCGGGAGGGGGGGTCCGGGTCCGGGAGGGGGGGTCCGGGTCCGGGAGGGGGGGGTCCGGGTCCGGGAGGGGGGGTCCGGGTCCGGGAGGGGGGGGTCCCGGTCCGGGAGGGGACACACTGTTGCAACTCATGAAGCGGTTCCTTCAGCGGCACTTCGTCGGCGTCTCCGTCACCGACTCCGAGGGCGTCCCGACCCTCTCCCGCACCCGCGCCGCCCCCTCCGAAAGGCACCGGTGGAGCCCGGAGGAGAGGAGCCCCCCCGGGAGCCAGGTGAGCCCCCCACCCCCCCACACCCCCCGGGAGCCAGGTGAGCCCCCCCACCCCCCCCGGGAGCCCGGTGCCCCCACCCCCACACCCCCCCCGGGAGCCAGGTGAGCCCCCCCCCCGGGAGCCCGGTGCCCCCCACACCCCCCGGGAGCCCGGTGCCCCCCCACCCCCACACCCCCCGGGAGCCCGGTGACCCCCCCACCCCCACACCCCCCCGGGAGCCAGGTGAGCCCCCCCACCCCCACACCCCCCCCGGGAGCCAGGTGAGCCCCCCCCGGGAGCCCGGTGCCCCCCACACCCCCGGGAGCCCGGTGCCCCCCCACCCCCACACCCCCCCGGGAGCCCGGTGACCCCCACACCCCCCGCGCACTTGTCTCGGGTTCCCTTTAAACTTAGGCTTTCAAAAACTTTCCCAAAGTTTACCTTTAAACTCGTGTTCACTGGTTCCCGGTCCGGTCACTGCTTATTTGGGGCTGTGTGTGTGGGGGGGGGGGGGGGCTGTGTGGGGGGGGCTGTGTGGGGGGCTGTGTGGGGGGGGCTGTGTGTGTGTGTGTGGGGGGGGGCTGTGGGGGTGGGGGCTGTGTGTGTGTGTGTGGGGGGGGGTTAACCACCTCTTATTGCCCTGATACCAAACTTGCAGGTTGTTACTGTATGTAAGTGATGAGGGGGAGAGGGGGGCAGTTCCTTGTTATTTTTTTCTAATGATGATTGATGAAGCGCCTCATCGTGTTGCTGAGGCGCTTCAGGGGCTGCACCGTAAAGCGGATCGACCGTGTGTTTTGTAGGTGAAGCGCGGCAGCCAACAGTGTTCCGCCAACAGTCGTGGAGTGAGCGACCCAATTTTTTTGTTTTGTTTTTTGCGGGATTGGTACCCCCCCCCCTCCTCCTCCTCCACCACCCCACCCCCACCCACCCCGGAAAGCGATCCACCAGTTGACTAACAACCGAGTTCCTACTTACTGCTGGGTAAACGAAGGGTGCGAGGAGAAAGGAATTTGCCTAAGGTTTGGCCATCTGGGAATGAAACCTGGATGCCCTCCCTCCCTCCCTCCCTCGCTTGCGAGGCGAGTGGGCTAACCACTTCGCTACAGGACTCCGCAAGGGCTGACGTTGAGTGTCGCTTTCCTCATATCTTTCAGACGCCTGTTCCCCAAGCCACTGCCTCTTCCTGGAGGAGATTTTGGACGAGAGCGTGTGCCAGCGGTTGACCAAGCAAATCGAGCAGTGCCTGGTCACGGCCAAGACGTCTCCTCTTCGCTGCCGGGAGCTGCTGATCCCCCGGGGTCTGAGCCGCAGGGTGGCCCACGACGTGATGCGGGTGTCGGCCAACGAGCCTTGCGGGCTCCGGGGGGCCGTGGTGTACCTGCACCTGGAGAGCGAGGGGGTGAGCGAGAAGCTGGGCGCGATCGAGCGGGACGGGGCGGTGGTCCCCACCTTCGAGCTCACGCTGGTCTTCAAACAGGAAGGCAGGGGGTGGCCCCGTCTGCGGGAGCTGCTCTCCGTCGGGGGCTGCTTCGTCAGCCCCGGCTGGAGACGGGCGCTGAAACTCAGCCCGGGGTTCCGTCTGGTCAAAAGGAAACTCTATTCCTCTGCGGGGCCCATTGTGGAGGAATGCTGACTGAACCGAGCCCGAGTCGACGACTGCTTTTGGGGGCAACCAGGTCCCACCCGCCCCCCCCTCCCCTCTTTCGCCATTCCCCACCCCTTCCCTCTCTCTCTCTCTCTCTCTCTCTCTCTCGAGTCTCAAGCCAGGCTGCCGCAACCTGAAGCCAAATTGCCTTTTCTCGCTTATTTTATTCTTATTTTAAAAATGATTCAAATAATAAAAAAAAAAGTCCTCCATGAACGAGCAATTTCTACCACCGACCTTTAGAAAGAAAAGCAGATGCAAATTTTGGCTCACCACTCATTGTCCCCTGCCTCTATTATATACAGTGTTTGCTCAATGGAAACTGTTCGGGGCTTGCAATTAGTTAGTACACAATGGACTCTTCTCGTCGTTGTTGTGTGGCACATTGTGTCCTTATATTCACTGGCCATTTTGATAAGAGCCTTCGGGAGCACGGCAATGGAATTTGGTAATGGTGGAGTAAAATTTGTTGCCGGGTGTGTCGTGTGCACGGTGGGGGAAGGGGCCCAGGAAAGCGTAATGATAATAAGGCCTTGAACCGCCGAGAGTTTAACTTATTTGAGAGGGAGCACAAATAAAGAATGTAATAAACTGAGTTTGCAGAACACTACTATTGATATCTTATCTCCTGGCGTTTACAAATGGAACTTGAAGGTTTTGTGATTTTTTTTTAACTGATGTTTCATATTATTGCGTGTTTGCACATTTGCACTGTATCTGAATGGACTGTTCAGTTGAAGTACTTTGTATTTAATATATGGGCATGCTGGACTTGCTCTTATGTACTGTAATACCTTAAAAATATTAACCGGGTGAACAGTGGTAGCTGACTTCACCTTGTCGCAGCTATGTGACTCAATTTGTTACAACGGGAGTTTTGCCTTTCTGTTGTGAGGGAGTTGGGGAAATATACAGGTCAATTTTGCTAATAAAATGATTTTTTTGTATGCATGGTCTATGATGGTTAATTTCACACTGTTGTGGAGAAAGCAAGACATCAACAAGTATTTTTATATTCCTCAAAAGTATTTGAGAAAAGTGCAATAGTAATCAAATTGTATCCTCATCCCCTGAAATTCCTGTCCGATTTCACCCTGAATTCAAATTCATCAGCTGCTTATTTCACAGCCAACAAATCCACCCCACCCATTAAAATCGTTAGCTCACCTATATTTGTGGGACATTTCTGTGTCCCATGTTTGCCTACAAACTATGCACTTACTGCACCTTAGAGGAAAATCCTATGAAGTGCCTTGACATGTCTTGATGACAAGGCAAAGGTGCTGTAACAAAATACAAAGATTATTGTTGATGATGGGATATTACTAGTATGGTTTTGCTGCCACATTTGTCCATAACATTTATTTTATGAGGCAACAGGCACTGTATAAATTCAGGTTGTTATTATAAAGGTTGCTGGCAATGACTGCTGAACAGTCCCTTTTATTCTGCTGGTTGTTGCTGTCTTGAAGCTGCAATTAATTTTGGATAAGTACCAGAGCTCTGTTTTTAATTTCTTTACAATAAGGGTTGCTATGAAAGGCTGATGCCAAGACCTTGTGTGCATTACATCATTCCTGGCGGACTGCTTTCAGTACAGACAAAACGCATCTCTAAAGGAGTTGATGCAGTGGATCTTGCCATCACAGGCACATGACAGTGACTCTTTCTGTGTGCGTGATATTTCGCCACAAAACAGTCAATCCATTTTACAATAGATTCTGTGAATCACTTTGAGATGTCTCAATGAGATAGATAATAAGGCGCTATATCATGAGCAAGGATTATCATTATGTTAAAGATGATGCATTTCTGACAAAATAAATGGTGTACATCTGTTGGGATATGCCACTCAGTTGTTGCATTTCGATTGCTGTCTTATAGACTTTGCTGATCAGTAAATTTTTCAGGAGGATTGAAAGACAGACTGTGACAAAGGCAAACTAAATTATCAAGGGCTAAGCAAATCAAATAATATTACTAATAATAACTTGGATTTATATAGCCCCTTTCAGATCAAAGTAAACATCTTGAAACTGATATACAAAATATAATTGAGCGTAAAGGAATTTAACCTTTTTTTAACAAAAATAGGTGAACACAGCAGCTAATCTGTACCAACCTCTGGGATAAAACAGAAATAGAGTAAATCTCGACCCAGGTGGAATTTTTTCCCAAGCTCTTCAGTAACAAAAGTGTGACTGCAGAAAACGTTGTCCTGGAGCGAAGTGAAATGTTGGTTTCCTGCTCAGTAAATATCCTAATGTTTGTAGATTCGAGTTAGGATCAGGAAATTCAATTTCCACATTCCTTTAGAGGAACCGGAGAAAAACATTTCATTCCCTTTGTTGTTTGCACTGTCGGGGGTTGGCGGTTTCCCAGGTGACCACATTTACCTGAGGGACATTAATAATAATAATTCTTGCATTTGATATCGGTATCTCATCGTCAAAGCAGTTGCAGTGACTCTGTCAGTGTCTGTGATGCAGTTTCATAGGATTTACTGCAAAGTGCAGCGATTTATCCCTCAGGGGATCCAGTTCAAGATCCTGGTCCTCAGCTACAAAGCCCTCCGTGGCCTCGCCCCACCCTACCTCTGTGATCTCCTCACCCCCTACCAACCCGCCCGCTCCCTCCGCTCAGCCGTCTCCGGCTGCTCCACGTCCCCCGACCCCCCGACCACCCGCCCCACCGTTGGCGGAAGAGCCTTCAGCCACTCCGCCCCCAACCTCTGGAATTCCATCCCCAGTCACTCCGCCTCTCCCCCTCCTTCAAGTCCCGCTTCAAGACCCTCCTCTTCGACCATCCCATCGCCCCCCTCCCCCCCTCCCCCCGGGTCTCAAATGCTGTCACCGTCCGGTGCCTCGGGACGTCCCCCCGACGTGAAAGGTGCGATACACGTCATCTGTCGTCGTCGTCGCGCGTTTGTGGTCAATCGGAAGTTTGTGAAACGTTGGGGTAATCTTTACGACTTTGCCGACAAAATACGCAGTCGCGGCACTTCCCAGTGAAATAAACCCCGTGAAATGCTCTGAGATGTGATCGGGTTCTGTGTCACAGACACAGGGATTGGTTTGGAAGATTATATACGTTATACAGTGTCCGGGGCGAGTCGTGTCAGGCTGAGCACTGGGGGCCGCGCAGGCGCAGTGCGTTAGGCTGGGGCTCAGGGATCTGCGCAGGCGCAGTGTGCCAGACTGAGCACTGGGGGGGGGCTGCGCAGGCGCAGTGTGCCAGGCTGTGGCTCAGGAAACTGCGCAGGCGCGGTGTGCCAGGCTGGGGCTCAGGGATCTGCGCAGGCGCGGTGTGCCAGGCTGGGGCTCGGGGAGCCGCGCAGGCGCGGTGTGCCAGGCTGGGGCTCAGGGATCTGCGCAGGCGCGGTGTGCCAGGCTGGGGCTCAGGGATCTGCGCAGGCGCGGTGTGCCAGGCTGGGGCTCGGGGAGCCGCGCAGGCGCGCTGTGTCGGCGATGGAGGCCGGGCGGCGGGAGCGTGAGGCCGCGGGTTGTGTCGCGGCCGCTGAGCGGTGTCTGCTTCGTGGCCACAGGCGCCAGGCCCTGCTCTACCTGCAGCGCGCCCAACAGCACTGCCCGTCACACAGGGCCCAAGGTCAGAGAGAGGGGGAGGGTGGGGGGGGGAGGAGAAGTGCCCCGACAGCAATGCTAATAACTGCATCACAGACTGACCCACAGTCACTGCAACTGTTCTGTCAACAACAACAACAACAACGTTACATTTATATCGCGCCTTTCACATCAGGAGGACGTCCCGAGGCGCTGGACAGACAGAGCTTCGGACCCGAGCTGGGGGTGGGGGTGGGGGTGGTGGGGGGGAGATCAAATGCACTGTCAAAGAGGAGGGTCTTGAGACGGGTCTTGAAGGAGGTGAGGGAGGGGGTGAGGCACAGGATGGAGTTCCAGAGGGTGGGGGCGGAGTGGCAGAAGGCCCACCCGCCAATAGTGGGGCGAGCGAGGCGGGGGGACGTGAAGCAGCAGGAGCCCACCGAGAGGAGGGAGTGGGCAGGGGGTCGGGGGTTCGGAAGTTGCAAAGATAGGGGGGGAGCGAGGCCATGGAGGGCTTTGAAGGTGAGGACCAGGATTTTGAATTGTATCCTCTGTGTGATGGGAAGCCAGTGGGGTCGGGCGAGGGTGGGGGTGATAGGGTCGCAGAGCCTGGTGCGGGAGAGGACATGGGCTGCAGAGTTCTGGATAATAATAATAATAATATAATCCTTCCATTTGATATAGCGCTTTTCATGTCTTCTCGATGTCTCAAAGCACTTCACAGAATAATAATAATAATAATCCTTGCATTTGATGTAGCGCTTTTCACGTCGGGAGGACGTCCCAAAGCGCTTCACAGAACACACTATAGTGAATTGACTGTATATTTGTGGGTGAAACGCGGCAGCCAATTGCGCGCAGCAATGTCCCACAAACAGTCGTGGATTGAAAATGACCAATTTATTATTGTTTTGTTTTGGAGGGATTATTATTAGACGTGTGGAGTAAGGAAAGTTGCCCAAGGTTTCGCTCTGCCTGGAATTGAACCCAGGTGTTTTGCTTGCAAGGCGAGTGCTCTAACCACTGAGCTCCATGGATGATCTGCAGCCTGTGGAGGGAGGAGTTGGGGAGGCCGACAAGCAAGGAGTTTGCATAGTCGAGCCTCGATGTAATGAAAGCGTGTGTGAGGGTTTCGGCGGCCTGCAGTGTGAGACAGTGGCTGAGTCGGGTGATATTGCGAAGGTGATCGAAGGCAGAGCGGGTCATGGCACAGATGTAGGATAGAAAAGATAGTTGAAGGTCAAGACCCCAAGGCTCCGGACCGTCACTCCACACGCCTATGTTTACCTAGTAGTATTATAATAATTATAATCCTTGCATTTGATATCACATTGTTGACATTGTAAAGCCTTTCACTGGATATACTTTGAAGTGGATTTACTGTGTAATTTGTTGAGGCCATTTTTCCTGCCCTGACTGCTTGCTGCCAGTGTTGCTAAGATCAGCAAATTCATCGTAAATAAGGAATCAAAGCTGCAACCTTGGGGTTTGTATGATGTTGGGTTACACTGGAGAGCCAGTTTGAGAATGCCAGTTTGTTCTGACCTGATGTGATTGATGATTCTTTGCGTCAGTTTAGAAGCTGAACTCCTTCATACTGTAAATTATAGAATTGAAATATCTAGCCTTTTTATTATGTATGATGACAGGTTACCCAGCAGTGGTCTATTTTGCATTAATGATTTTTCTTCTCTCTGTAATTTAGTGTTAATTGATTCAATAAATCAAAACGGAGGTTCGCCTTTTGAGAGCAGTAACCACGCGAATTTCCAAGAGGCAGGTGATGGCGCTCATACTGCCAACAGGCCAAACGGATGTAAAAACAGAGAAACATTAGGAGGAGGAACTGGTGAAACTGTGAAGGGTTTTTCGCAGGAGCAAATCGATGGGGTGCAGAGGTAAGAGTACTTCAATTTGTGGAGTCCTGTTACATAGTGGTTAGTGCGCTCGCCTTGAAAGTGAGAGAACCCGGGTTCGGTGGGGTGAAACCTTGAGTAAGTTTCCTTACTCCACACGCCTCTGTTTACCTAGCAGTTAGTAGGAACTCGGTTCTTAGTCAGTGTTAGAAAATAAAATCTTCTTTTCGAGTTCCAATCAAACACAACCACTGTTTGCAACCAGAGTAATATTTATTAAACTCCAGGATCCGTCCAAGTTCCCGATGGGCGTGGGCAAGTAAGCACAATCAGTCAATTTGCCAACAGAACAATACTACCGCGTAATTCCTCCTCGCGGTCGTCTACTTCTGTCTTCTAGCTCTCAGTCTTCCATCCACAGTAGGTACTGTCCTGGGCGCGCGTCGATCTTGGTCTGGCACGGTGTCTTAAGCTTGTGTCCATCCAATCATGGTGCGGACATTAGGTCAACTGGCCAAAATCATGCTGGGTTCACGTGAACACCTCATGGGGTGTACGTGCCTCAGCACACATACACATTGTCTTTAATTGTCTAAGATAGAGGATTGATCAGTTTAGGGCTGTATCTGGTGCTCATTATTTTGTGGTGTGGGATCATTAGTACATTCCTTTTAAGTGACTGGTTATTCCTTATCAGTATCCCGGGATGGTACCAAGGTCCTCCAGTTTAAACAACTTGCTCATTAGTTGCTATTCTTGAGGGTTGCCTTCTGTTGTTTGGCAGACCCTGTCAGAATCTCGCGACTTATTGCTCAGTCGAGATCCCGTGTCGACTGGTACCTTGGACCGTTACCTCTGTGGCTTGTTGTCATTTACTGATAAGAGGTGACCCCCTGCCTCTGTCCGTTATTCTTTCAAAAACAGAGAAAACCAGATGAGTCCTATCCCATGACTGTCAGCCCAGTTGTCCCCCGCACTTAACTTCAAAGTTAACCCGTTCGCAACATCTATGATTCTAACATTATACAAAAAGTGTAAATTCTAACAGTTGATTGATGGATTGCGTCGCCACCCCCCACCAAAAAAAAACTCACTCCATGACTGTTTGTGGGAAACTGCTGTGCGCAATTGGAAACCAGTTTGCTCACGAAAATACAGTCAATCCACTTTACAGTATATTCTGTGAACCTCTTTTAAGACATCTCGATGAAATGATAAGGTGCTTTGTTGATTTACTTCACAATTGTCTGGTTGCAGTCTCACAGTGGAAAGCTTCAATTGCTAAGACTAACTACGCTGCTACATTGTTATGCTTATTTTTTATCCCCTTTTTCCCAATTCCAGGAGAGAGAAAAAATGATAGATAATATTCCATCAGGATTAACTCTTGTTTGTGGTTTTTAGGATAAAACGTTGCAAGGATTACTATGAGATTTTGGGAGTCAGTAAAGATGCTGATGAGGAGGATTTGAAGAAGTCTTACAGGAAGCTGGCATTGAAGTTTCACCCTGATAAAAACTGTGCTCCAGGGGCCACCGAGGCATTCAAAGGTACAAGAGTGTCACTGAGCATCTGTGTAGAAAACAAGGAGAAAAATCTACAATGGAAAGCTGTAAAACAATGGAGTAAATTACATAATACAGTAAAACTCGCATAAGTCTGATCTGTATAGGTCATATAATCGCTTAAGTTGTACATCTGCCTAATTCCTGTTGAATTTACTATAATTTATAAGTTTTACATAACTCCTACTTTGCACAAATCATATTAAATGTATGGTCCCAACTGATATGGCTTATGTGAGGTTTACTGTATATGCTATATAATAAACAGTAATGTTTTGTTTTTGGGAGGGCGTTTTGCAAGGGCAACGAATAACATTATAGGTTATAGGACAGCAGGCGCACCCCCTTTTATAGCGCAGGGAAAGGAGGTTGTGAATCCTCACTATTCCTGCACTCCCTGGTGCAGTGCTGGTACCACTGCCTGACCCACTCTCTGTTGTACGGTCTCAGAGGTGGAAATGATTGGGCCCGAGGGGGATACCATGTGAATCGAGAGTGTGAGACTGAATATAGTATTTCTAGCTACTTAAGTGAAAACAAAAGGTATTATAAATTAACAAGCACCTGGCTTTAATTCTACATGTAGGCACCCTGGAGTCAGAGGTGGAGTGGAGTGGGGAAGAGTAGAAAGATGGTGTAAGATGGCTTCTTGCGGTTGCCAAGGTGAGGGGTTTTATACTAGGCTGGTGTCTTGAGTTCATTGCAGATTACAGTGAAGCCCTCCGAACTGACTTTGTTTGCATCCAAACCTCAGGGGACGTTTTTAATAAGAAGGTTTCAGTGTTGAGGGCTACAGCCTTCAACGTTCTGCTTTGGGGAAGGCAAAGGCTTAAATCCCTCTGCGTTTTCTCAGCCCAATGGAAATACATATGCTCAGTTCATAGGCTGTGCTGTCTCTGCGGTGATCGCTTTGCTAAATGAGACCAAGTAAATCCAGAACAATACTTGAGCAGATACCAAGAGAATGGAATACGCGAAGGGCAAAGTTGAGCCAGACATTACGGAAGTATTAACAGAATACAAAATACTGCAGATGATGGAATCTGAAACAAAAACAGAGAGCTGGGAAAACTCAGCAAGTCAGGCAGCATCTATGAAGAAAGGAAAGTGGAAATTACGGAAATATTGCTTTCTACAGTCAGTAATCAACAGCTGGAGCCGATTGCTATGAATGGAGTTACAGGATTCGTTTTAAGCTTGACAGTGTATTGAGAAGACTTAGCAATGGTAATTTAGAAGGGGGGGTGGGGGTGGTCAGTCACAATAGCTGAAAGGGCTTCTACCCTCCATCCTGTGACCGATACTGTTCTTTATTTTAGCAATAGGAAATGCCTACGGTGTTCTGAGCAACCCAGAGAAACGGAGCTTGTATGATAGGTATGGAGAGAAGCCGCCTCCGACCCACAGCCACCATGCCAACAGTTCCCATGTCTACCGGGAGTTTGAAGCTGATATAACACCTGAGGAATTATTCAACATGTTCTTTGGTGGAAGGTTCCCCACAGGTTGGTGGCAGTATCACGCCCTTAACAAATCATTCAGTGGCACAATGATGTAAGGCGGTAGGGTGGGCCAACCTTTTGGCTGCTGAGGGTTGGATTTCCTATTAGAGAAATGTCCGTGGGCCGCATAAGCAATATCCTTGTGTTTCCCATCCAGAAACATACATTTATGGGTTATGAAGAGAGTGGGTAGGCCGGATGAAATGGGAGGGGGGTGGGGGTGAATGAAATGGAGGGGTAAGCTGGTTGAGGTGGGGATGCTGGTTGAAATGGGAGAGGGGCAGATGAAATGGAGGAGGATTGCCGGATGAAATGGGAGTTGGGGGGGTGGGGGAGTGGATGAAATGGCAGTGGGTAGGGGGGGATAAAATGGGGGTGGGGGGGATGGATGAAATGGAGGGTGGGGTTTGGATGAAATAGAAGGGCGGGTGAATGAAATTGGGCCAGCAGTTGGACCAACCAGTTGTGAGCTAAGAGAGAGCTATAATGCTGGGCGCTGTGTTCAAGTGTTCGCAGTTTGATAATTGCGGGCGAGATTCGTCTGATGGGGTATCAGGGATATGAGTTGATTTATTGAGGAGCGCTCCTGAGATTGGAAGACTACTGTTTTTTTTGCACTTTGGAAGAGCGGGAGAGTTGAAACTTGCAGCCTGGGATTCTGAAAATGAATTCCGCGCATTGAAAATTGGCCCAAAAGTAGATTACAACAATTTGCATTTACACAGCACCTTTCTGTTTTACCTTTATCTTTAAGTGCTCTGAGCTGCTGCTCCGCGTGAAGGGTGCTATGTAAATGCAAGTTGTTGTTGTAAAGATTGTTGTTTACTTTGTAACTTCTGTTATGATTTCAGAAGTGTATGCACACGTTTTTTTTTGTTTCAACTGGGACGCTGGCAAAAAAGACTTTTCAGCATTTGATGAATTGTAATTTTTGAGTTCCAACAGCAGACGGACACACACTGGCAAATCCTGAATCACTGCGGATTTTTCCCATGGATTGCGTTCACAGTGATCAGCACAAGAATAAAAAAAACTTTTATATAAAGCATTGTACAGCAAAGATCCGGTTTATAGATTTTGATTCCGGTTTTAAGGTTTTCTATCCATTCTTTTTGATACTGGGCTGAGTAAAGATGAAAGTTCTCGTTGTTTGCTGATGAATCTAGCGTTAAGAGAACAAAGTGATCAGTTTAAATAAAGAGCTTTGACCATTCGCTTTTACTTGGCTGGGGAATGCTTTGTATCCCAGAAAACTAAAGTTTGAAATATTTGGTTAAGAAATCCTATTTTTTTTTAAGGATGTCGTGTGCTTTCAACCAACAATGAAAGCCTATTAGGTCTATTAGGCTATTTCACAACATTGTCTGTTTGTGTGTGTGAAACCGAGGAGAAATCTATCTTCGTACATTTTGAGCCATTGTTGAGGAAGCAGAAAAAGGAGGTGCAGACTCTGGTATAACTTTCACTTGTATTGGCTTCTCTGTGGGTCGGTGGCACTGCAGGGCAAGGAGTGATTTGTTGGGTCAGTCTTTCTTAAAGACTTACTGGTAGGACTGTCTGATCATTGACTAGAGACTCAATCGATATATCAATGATCAGAATGGACAATTAGAAATGCCTCGTTAAACATCTGTGGTATTTGAATGGTAAAGCTTTCATTCAGTTTTGGGAAAATTAAGTATATCAAAGGGGGAATTGTACAAAATGAATGAGTCAGGTATGTTTCCAAAGAGTGTAATTGTTCAGAGTGAGATGCTAATGTAGCCAAGTCCATTATTTCTGCACAGCAGGTCAGAGCTGTGCCGTCTGCCTTACATTTTGGCGGGTGTGAAAGTATATCTCTCTCAGCACCACTATATCCAGTATGAAACACACCACCTGCTCCATTAATCCCATCCCCATCTCTCTCCTTACCTCCCAGCTCCAAATCCTCACCCCTCTACTCTCCGACACCATCAATCTCTCCCTACAACAACAACAACAAGATTCCATTTATAAAGCGCCTTTCACGTCAGGAGGACGTCCCAAGGCGCTGCACAGTTGGGTCATGACCCGAGCAGGGGGGAAATGGTCAGGGTGCATTTATCTAGCACCATTCCCATCCGCCTAAAAACAGCTATAATCACCCCCATCCTGAAAAAACTTTCCCTGGACCCATCCCTGCTTTCTAACTACCGGCCCATCTCCAACCTCCCTTTTCTTTCCAAGGCCCTTGAAAGAGTTGATGCTTCGCTCCTTCCACTCCCTTCACGAGCCCCACCAGTCGGGTTTCCATGCTACTCACTGCAATGAAACTGTTCTGGTCAAGGTCATGAACGACATCCTGTCCATCTGTGACCAGGGCTCCCTCTGCCTCTTCGACCTCTCTTCTGCCTTCGATACCGCAGACCACTCTATCCTCCACCCAACTCTCTTTGCCTCCACCCTCGATTCCAGGATAACTGACGTCCTGACAGACTGTCTGTCAGACATCAAGTCCTGGATGAGAGCCAACTTTCTACAGCTGAATGTCAGCAAGACCGAGGCTGTCCTGATTGGCTCGCGCCAGTGCCTCAGCACCTCATGCACTGGCAGCATCAGCATCCACATATGCACACTCCACCTCACCAAGCAAGTCAGGAACCTGGGCATCTTGTTTGACCCTCAACTGTCCTTTCTCCCCCATATCCATGCCATGATACGCTCTGCCTTCCCCCGCTTCCGCAACATTGCCCGACTCGGCCACTGCCTCACCCCTCAGGCCGACAAAACCCTCATTCACACATTCATTACCTCAAGGTTTGACTATGTAAACTCCTTCCTTGTCGGCATCCATAACCCTTCTCTCCACAAGCTGCAGATCATCCAGAACTCTGCAGCTTGTGTCCTCTGCCGCACCAGGTTCCGTGACCCCATCACTCCCATGCTCGCCTGGCTCCACTGGCTCCCATCCCTCGGAGGATAGAATTCAAAATCCTCGTCCTCACTTTCAAGGCTCTCCACGGCCTTTGCCCCTCCTACCTCTCTGAACTGTTAACCCCCATCAACTTGCCCACTCCCTCCATTCAACAGGCTCCAGCCTGCTCCATTTCTCCTGCCCGACCCACCCTACCATCAGCGGCCAGGCTTTCAGTCTCTGCCCCCACTCTTTGGAACTCCATCGCACAGTCCCTTCGCCTTGCTCCCTCCCTTGCTTCCTTCAAGGCATGACTCAAGATCCTCCTTTTCCAACGTGCTTTCAGCCACACTCTTACCTTTCTACCTTCCCTCATCCTAAACCTGCCCCCCCATGCTCGGGTCCTGATCACTGACTGTTCTGTGCCTTGGGTTGTTCTCCTGACGTGAAAGGCACTTTACAAATCTAATTTTGTTATATGTGTACCTTCATAAGGGGGTTGGTTTGAAACTATTAACAGAAAGCCCTCGCCTGACAATCTCTTTGTGATTAGGTAATGTCCACCTCTACACAAACGGAAGCGCAACGTACACTCACTTTTATCGCCGTCGTCGCCGGATGAACGAGAGGATGGATGAGGATGAGGAAGAGAGGAACAGGACTCAGGTGATTGGAATGCGATCACTAAGGCACAAATCGTCATTTCCCTTGTCTTCCCTGCCTAAACTCCAGCAAAAGTAGGCACAAAAGTCTCACAAACAAACAGATGTCTGTGTTGTGAGAGTTCTCGAGACTTCAGCACCTTCCCAATGTGAAAGGCGCTTTACAAATGTAATTTTGCTGTTGCTGTCCTTGAAATTTTTCAGTCTGAGTTAGATAGATTTTTGTCAGGTCAGGGTATTAAGGCATATAGGGTAAGGGCAGGTAAATGGAGTTGAGGTACAGATCAGCCATGATCTAATAGAATGGCGGAACAGACTCGAGGGGCTGAATGGCCTACTCCTGTTCCTATGTTAATGTTGTGAACAAATGCATCTCTTACCTATTACAACATTGTTTCTCTGTCATATTCATGTTAACGTTGAAACCCAAGTCAGTGAAAATCAGATCAAAGCCATTAGAGAAATGAGTCAAGTAAACAATAGATTGCTTTATTGGGACCTCTCTTTTGACCACTCTTCATTTTGCAGGGAACCTATTCAGCATTTGTTCAGCTGTTGCCAATCTTTATATTGGTGCTTGTGTCACTTGTGACCCAGTTGTCCATGACCAATCCTCCTTACAGTCTCTACTACAAGTTGTAAGTTTAACTCTTTCTAATTGTTTCACTAATACAAGTTTTAACCCAAGACAGTTCTTATATACAGTATGGTTTGGGACATGACATGTGCCTGTGACTGCCAGGATAGTGGAAGGCGAACTGGATAGGCCTTGGTTTTCTTTTGTCTAGCAGTTCTTATGTTCTTGTGCTCTAATACAGTTTTAATCCGAGACAGACTATGTCTGCTGACCAGTATCCCCTACCCGTCCCTCCCTCCACACCTTCAAACTTGTTTCCCCCTCCTCTCTCACCCCGTTATAACCCACGTGAAACCAACCACCTGCTCACTCGAACCCATCCCTACCCCTCTCCTTACCTCCCAGCTCCACCTCCTTTCCCCCCTACTCACAGACTTTATAAACCTCTTCCTGTCCACTGGCACCGTTCCCACCCTTTAAAAACAGCCGTCATCACTCCTATCCTTAAAAAAAGCCCTGCCTGGACCCATCCCTGCTCTCAAACTACTGCCACATCTCCAACCTCCCTTTCCTTTCCAAGGTCCTGGAACGAATCATTGCTTCCCAGCTTCACTCTTTCCTCTTCCGCCGCTCCCTTCATGAACTCCTCTCGAAATCGAGTTTCCTTGCCGACCACAGCACAGAAACAGCTTTGGTCAAAGTGACAAATGACATTTTGTCGATCTGAGACCAGGGCTCCCTCTGCCTTCTCATCCTCCTTGACCTCTCTACTGCCTTCGATACCGTTGACCACTCTATCCTCCTCCACCGCCTCCCTCACCTCAACCTTCATGGTTCTCTCCTTGACTGGTTCAGATCATACCTCTCACACCTTCTCCACTTCATCTCCACAAATGGTTTCCCCTCTGGCCCCTTCACCTCCCCGTGTGGAGTTCCTCAGCGCTCTGTCCTTGGTCCCCTCTTCAATATCTATATGCTCCCTCTTGGTGACATCATCCGCAGACATGGGGTCAACTTCCACATGACATCCAACTCTACCTCTCTGCCTCCATCCTTGACTCCAGGACCACTGCTGTTCTGACAGAATGTCTGTCAGACATCAAGTCCTGGATGAGAGCTAACTTTCTACAGTTGAATGTCAACAAAACCGAGGCTCTCCCGATTGGTTCCCATCAGTGCCTTCACACCTCAGGCACTGACAGCATCACCATCTAAGGATGCACACTCCGCCTCACTGAGCCAATCTGGAACCTTGGCATCTTGTTTGACCCTCAACTATCCTTTCTACCCGACATCCGTGGCGTGACCCGTTCTGCTTTCCCCACCACAGCATCATCACCAGGCTCTGCCACTGTCTTACACTGCAGGCGGCCGAGATCCTCATACACTCATTCATAACATCCAGGCTCGACTACACAAACTCCCTGGTTGTCGGCCTCCCCAACTCCTCCCTTCATAGGCTGCACATCATCCAGAACTCTACAGCCTGTGTCCTCTCCCGCACCAGGCTCTGCGATCTCCATCCTCGCCCCCATCCTCCACTGCCTTCCCATCACACAGGGGTTACGGTTCTTGCTCCCCCTGCCTACTTCTGCGACTTCCTAACCCACCCCCCCCACCAGCCTGCCCACTCCCTCCGATCAGCGGGCTCCGGCCTGCTTCACGTCCCCTGCCTCGCCATTCCCACCATTGGCGGACTAGCCTTCTGCCACTCTGCCACCACCCTCTCGATCTCCATCCCGCAGTATCTCCGCCTCGCCCTCTGCTTTGCCTCCTTCAAGACCCATTTCAAGTCCCTCCTCTTCGGCTGTGCCTTTGGTCACCCTCCTTCCCCACCTGCACTCCATCCTCCCCGATCCCGACCCCCAGCTCAGGTCCGAAACACTGACTGTCCAGCGCCTTGGGACGTCCTCCCGTGCTAGTCAAATGTAGTTTTGTTGTACGTATGGGAGATTGTTCTGGTGTATTGTGGCCACAAGAGGGCAGAGTCAAATTTGGCTTCACTGGTTTAATGACAATCGAGTAAATATTTTAAGGAATGCATTGATAAAACACAAATATAAGAGAGAACAAGACAATTCTGCTTTATTATAGCTGTTATTAGCTGTTTGATTTCTGATTGTAGCAAATTTAGCTTTTGCACAAATCTGTCATGTCTGTTCAAGGTATAATAGTCTCTTAAATACAGTGTTCACTTTTATTCTAATGACAGGTCATTAGGGCATGTGTTGCCCAGAGAAACTGCGCATTTGAAAGTAACTTACTTTGTTGACAAGGGATTTGAAAAGGAATACCAAAACTCGGCTTTGCAAAACGTGGAACAGAATGTTGAAAGTGACTACATTGATCACCTCCAAAACAGTTGTTGGAAGGAAAAACACCACAGTATGTATGATTTGGGGATGTATATATATTGGCAAAGATAAAGTCCAGATTGACGCTCCAATAAAATAATAATAATCTTTGCATTTGGTATAGCGCTTTTCACGTCTTCTGGACATCTGAAAGCGCTTCACAGAATAGACTGTAAAGTGAATTGACTATATATTTGTGGGAGAAACGGGGCAGCCAATTGCGCACAGCAGTGTCCCACAAACAGTCGTAGATTGAAAATGACCAATTTATTATTGTTTTGTTTTGGAGGGATTATTAGGCTCTGAGTGGAGTAAGGAAACTTGCCTAAGGTTTCGCTCTGCCTGGAATTGAATCCAGGTGTCTCGCTTGCCAGGCGAGTGCTCTAACCACTGAGCTCCTGTACAGTGTTGGGGGAGCGCTGCATTGTCCTTGGGATGCCACTTTAAACCAAGGTCCCATCTGCCTATTCAGGTGGGCGTTAAAGGACCTATTTGAAAAGAGAATGGAGTTTGCAGTGCACAAATTGGCTGCTAATTCACCTACAAAATACCCAGCCACTACACTTTACAGTGAATCCTGTGAAATGCTTTCAGACCTCGGCATAAGGGGCTACATCAAATTTCAAGGATTACTATTATTATAAAATCATTAATTTTCTCATTTTAAAGAGTATTTTGCGTGTCAGGGCAGAGGATATGGGACTGAGCTGAAATGTACTGTTTTATGACCATTTTGTAAAAGCTTGATTAATTCCTGCTAAGTGGTGGTGGGATGGAGTTTTGGGCATTTTGCAGAGTATAACTAACGCCGGGTTAAAACATAACTTCTCACAATGCGTAATAACTATCATTAGTTTGCCAGATCATGGCATGGATGGTGACTAAACCCGGGCTGTGAATCGAATTTTGTTCACGCATGTTCAGGCAAAAAAAAGTGCGTTATTAAATTTTTAGCTCCAAATTAAATTAAGGTACAATTCTTCCATGCTCTTTTGAAATAGGAACTTTAAGGACTTGATTTTATACTCGGGATTAACTGAAAATACAATTAGCCTGAATACCTTGATGGTCTTTTGCTTGTGAATGTTCTAATCCTGGGTGGGGAGAGGGGGAATTTTTGTGTGGTCGACTGATTTACGGAACCTCATGACTGGCAGTCAGTCAGACTTATTAACAAAGTGCTCTCGTTCTTCATAGGAACTGACTTGCTGAATCTGGCCACACTGTACAGAGATGAGCGGTTGAAGCAGAAAGCCGAGTCTCTTAAAACGGAGAGCTGTGAGAAGCTGTTCAAGCTCGTTGAGCTTCAGAGAAGAGGTTGACCCTCTTCACACCCTCACTTCATCCAACTAACTGTTAAATCAGGTGGGTGGGGGGTCCAACCTATTGGATGCTGAGGGTCGGATGCACTATTCGAGAAATATCCATGGGCCACATAGCAAGATTTTTGTGTTTCCCTTCCACAAACATAACATAACATTTACTGGCGAAAGAGGGAGCAGGTGAGCCAGATGAAATGGATTGGGGGCCGGTGAAATCGGGCCGCTAGTTGGACTACCCTGGTGTGAATGAAGAGAGGCGAACTGTCATATAAAAAAACACTACATTTAATACCAGAGACTACACACTGCTGGGCGTTTTACATACGAGTGTCTGTAGGAAAATCGTATCATTTTCTGAAACCATCCGGCATCGTTCAATAGGAGAAGCCATTAAATGACCTGATGTTGGGATTGCTGGCTAAATGGAACACTAACTAAGCTTAGCTTGATAGCTTCACTTTTTCAGTTTAACTCATTTTAACTCCATTGTGCGGGTATGCTAACTTCCTTACATTAAGGATAGACAGTTTTAAGTTGTGGCTGTAGAGTGCAGGCTCCGTTTATTGTTGCTTTAGTCCCAGCCTTATTTTATAAATTTCATATTTGTAAGTGATACTCCGGGCACTTGATTTGAGGTGCTTCACTTGTCAGTCAATCAGTCATTCCTGAGCAGCTATAGACGAGTGTTCTGAGGGCTGGGCTCAGTGTTAGCTCCACTTTTCTGTGTTCTAGTTTAATATTGATCAAAGTGCGATGCTTTAGTTCCAGTCGAGGTTCGTTCAGACCCGTTCGTTATGGATAGTAATTTTATCTCTGCCGTAAACCTCTCAGGTTCTTACTGATTTTCTTTTCGGATTTTTTTTTATGTTCTCGAAATGCCTGTTCACTGCTCACTGCGTGTTTGCACAGTGCAGGTAGCCCCTAAACCGATGTTAAAGCGTCCATTGCTGTTAGTAATAATTTGTCAACTCCTTCAGCATAGCGCGGAGTAAGCCGACATTGGGCTCGCTCGGTTGTGTGCCGACTTAATCTCGAAAGCAATCGTGTGAATTGTGATCGCAATGTGGACATTTCCTTTTTGAGTATAACGACTGTTTGTGGGACACTTGTGCGCAATTGGCTGTTGCATTTCACCCACAAAACATACAGTCAATTTACTTTATACTATATTGGTGAAGCGCTTTGAGACGTCTCAATAACGTGAACCACGCTATATCAATTGCAAGTATTATTATTTTGAAGGAATTGAAATGATAGTTGAATGAGCCTCCCATTCTCCAGGACCCACATTCACAAATCGTCGCACAGGGTAAATGACAAAAAACAAAATCTTCTTTTGGAATTTAGCTCGATTGTATGAGTGCCTTTTGTAAATTTGGCTCCAGGTTTGCAGCTAGTTTGTGGGAGCACAGGAATTTCATGTGCTGATGCTATTTACTGTTTCTTTTAGGAGCATTTATATTTATTGAGAGTCTGGCCACATTACTGACTTTGAAATTGCACGTTGTGAATCTTAAAGCCCAAGCTATAAGTTATATTTTTAATTGTTCAATTATTGTGTCATTTTGAGAATTCTGTGAAGAAATGGGATACGTTTTTCTTTTTGAGATGTGTAAGTACCTAAATTCTATTAACCTGTAATGACGAAATAAATATTTTTCAGTGGTGATTTTGTGTTACTGAGAACCTACTGACTTTTGAATCACTCAGATATTATTTTACATGTAGACTGTTATACAATCCTTTGTGTTTTGAAAAAGTTGAGTTATTGAAAAGGTTCTGGAAATTGTATCAGCCTGACTCAGTTGGTAGCGCTCTCGCCTCGTGAGTCAGAAAGTTTTGGGTTCAAGCCCCATGTCAGGACTTGACATAGTCTCACATAGTGGAGTCCTGTAGCTCAGTGGTTAGAGCACTCGCAAGCAAAAGACCTGGGCTCTGTTGAATGTTGGGCAAGTTTCCTTACTCCTCACGCCTCAGTTTACCGAGCAGCAAGTAGGAACCAGGTTGTTAAGTCGATTGGCAGATCGTTTTTCCGGGGATAATCCTTTTTTTAAAAAAAAATACAATAATAATTTGGTCGGTCAATCCACGACTGTTTGTGGACACTGCTGTGATCAATTGGCTGCTGTGTTTTGCCCACACATATACAGTCAATTCACTTTACAGTGAATTGTAATCTGTAATCTGTAATCTGAGTCAAATCTGTGAAGAGCTTTGAGACATCTAGAAGATGTAAATGCTATATCAAATGCAAGGATTATAGCTGACATTGCAGTGCTGGGAGTGTAGGTGTCGTTCTTTGGATGAGACTTTAAACCGAGGTCCCACCTGCCTGTTCAGGTTGGTGTTAAAGATCCGACTCGAAGCAAAGGGAGTTTTTCCTGGATTTCTAACCGACAATACCCCATGTAAATAGTAATGTTTAGGGTTCAATTGGTCCTCAGTAACTCATCCTGCCTTCCTTGAGTTCAGGAAAACCTTATTGAGGTGATACTTAAAGTTCCCGGGACACTGATTTGTAAAGAGAAGAGAGCTTCTCCTGGTGTCCTGGTCAACAATCCCTACTCCGGATAAAATGAGTCATTTGCTGGATGGCTATTTGTGGGACGTTGCTGTGTACAAACTGGCGCTTTGCAGCAATTACTTGCGAAGGCCTTTGAGACGTTTCGACATTGCTACAGGATTGGCAGGGATTGTTATTTATAATTGAGGGGGAATAAATAGCTTCTCGGAATTGCATCACACCCTCTCTCCAGTCCCCCCACCACCCCCTCCGCCGCTACCACTCTGGTGTAATTCCAGAGCAGTAACAGACTGACAGCTTGTCAGAGAGGCACCTAAATGATCCACTAAATATTTTTACAAATGGGTCTGTCTACCTTCCGCTTTGAGACACTGAGTAAAATAGATCTGCTGAGGCGCTGTGGTCACTGCACTCTTTTAACAAAAAAGACAGGAGGGGGGCACTGACTGATGCAACACAGTGTTGAGGCAGAATGGAACTGCATTCGGAACCTGATCCTGGCTACTGTGAGATGCAAGTTAGCAGATGGACCCTAGACTGGGGATAATTACTGGAGGAGTATCAGGAAACTTGGTGAGCAATCCCAAGGCCAAAAGCCTGGAGGTTGTCAGCTAAATTCTTCCACAAGGCGTCTGTTTTTACTCGTCGTTAAGACTGACTCAGTCGGCAGCACTCTCGCCTATTGAGTGGGAAGGTTGTTGGTTTGATCCCACTTGGGCCTTTGAGCTCACTGTCCAAGACGACGCTCCTGAAGGGAGGGAGGGCTGCATTGTCGAAGGTGCCGTATTTCTGATGAGGTGTTATTAAACCGAGTTCCCATCTGCGCCTGGACAGGTGGATGTTAAAGATCCCACAGCTCTATTTAAAAAAAAAGTTTCTCTTGTGTCCTGGTTGACCTTTTATCCCTCAGATAAAATTGAACATTTGCTTCGTGGCTATTTGTGGGACGTCGCTGGGCGCAATTCTGCTACTGGGTTCGTTTAGAAAGTACAGCATTTGGTAAAAATCCTGTGAAGGGCTCTGAGAGGATGAGATAAGGTACTACATCAATCGTGAGGGTTGTTAAAGCACCAGGTTAACGTTAGCTACTTTCTGAGAAAGATGAGAGAGAGCCTTATTCATGCCTCACCCTGGCACGTTTGCAGATGATTGGTGATGAAAGTGGAAAAGCTACACCGTTCATTTCCTTACAAAATCTCCCAGCCTCATGTCAACTGGCACTGTGTAGCTGGTGCGAAGCATGGCTTTGGCGAAGGATAATTCCATTTGAGGAAGACAAGTAAGTACATGGGGCGGTTTGCATTGTTGCTTTTTGTTTGGTGAGCTGGGTGTCTGACACATGCGGAAACCCATCACCATGTTTAAAGAGTATCCAAACTAAAGTGAAAATTCCATGCATCCCACATACACATGGAAATCATAGAAATACGTTGTTGGAATGGAATACGCACTCTCTCCCTGAAGAGATGCATCCTGCTTACCTCATTCTGGAACGTATTAGGCGCAGGTTGGAAGAGCCAAGGCTTGGGGACCCCAGAGTGTGGGTTGGGGTAACTGCTGGAGTCTAATCAGCTAAAACTGCATAGCTTGCCATCGATAATACACTCTGGTAAGCTTCCCACTACTTGTCCAGCTAGGACCACCCTACCCCTTTGGGCTTTGGCTTGCAGTGTGTAACAGGAGATGAGTGGAATGATTCCCTGCCCCCAGTGACTGGTCTGTCCTTCCAAGTCCTGCTGATGAGCCAGGCTGTCTGTGCTGTCATCAGCAGGGGATAATTTTAACGTCCCACATGATGACTGGCAGTAGGTTTCATGTTCACTCAGGGATTTATGCTCCTGTGTGCGAGGGTTTAACCACCTGCTGAAAACTATAACTGTTTCTCTGTTAGAAGGAAGAGAGAAGGTCGATGCACAGGAAAATTAAATCAACAAACAATTGCAACTCAGTAGGAATTAAACCGTACTTAAAAAAACATTTGGAAACGTGGAGCTTTTTTATTAATTAACTTATTTGAATAACTTTGACGTATCTTTGCACAAAATACAGGGCACCCATTTGCAAGCGAGAGACGGATGGGGGCTGTTGGGTGGGGTATAAACAGGGTCAGTACCATTTTGTTAATTCATTTCCTCATTCTGGATTACAAGTACTGGCAGCGACTTTGATTCAAACGGGGGGAATTTGATATCTCGGGGTCCCTATGATTAAAAAGGACTTGAGCACTGGACATAAGTGTGTGTATTTTTTGCTGGCTGCAAACCAAGTTCAGACAAGTTTCCGTCACTAAATTGTAATGTGGTGAATGACCTAGGCTTGTGAGGTCTTCAGGCTCCAAGCGGGTAAGTGAGTGGATAAGTTTTAGCTGAAAATAATAATAATAATCCTTGCATTGGATATCATGCTTTATCACATTGTCGAGACGTCTCAAAGCGCTTCACAGGATACACTGTAAAGTGAATTGACTGTATTCTGTGGCCAAAGTGCAGTGAGAATGAACACAGTCTTGGTTTTCAGAAATTAAAGATTATCTCAAGGTGATCCCAGATTACAAGTGGTTTTAATATTGAACTCGAAGTGTGTTAACTTGTGTGTGACTGCAATCATTGTTAAAAAAAGCTAATAATAATAAACCTCGCTTTTAATTGAATATATATTTTAACCATGGATAAACCTGGCAAGTGAGAGGACCTGGGTTTGATTCCCGTCAGGGTGAAATGGTAGCTACGTTTCCTTACTCCACACACCTAGTAAGCAGTAAGTAGGAAGCCAGGTGTTAGTCGATTGGCGGATTGTTTTACAGGGGTAATAATCACTTTAAAAAAATGAATAATAATAATAATTTGGTCACTCAATACACGACTGTTTGTGTGACGCTGCTGTGCGCAATTGGCTGCCGCGTTTCGTCCACAAAATATACAGTCAATTCACTTTACAGTACACTCTGAAGCGCTTTGAGACGTCTCGAAACATGATAAGATGCCAAGATCAAATACCAGGATTATTATTAATATTAGCAATTACATTTCATGTTTAATAACAATATTTTTTGTTGCAGAACTGCATTTACTGAACCCACGAAGGTACGATTGAGCTTTTTTTTTTGAACTGGCAAATTATTTAAATTTTTTGCGTGTTTAAAAGCAAACAAAACAAAAAAATCTCATTAAAATGAGTTAAAGATTCCGTTCAGCTCAAGCTTTTAATGGACACTTTGTGGGAGGTTCCTGTCTCTGGCTCAGGAAATGGGATCTATGGATGAGGAATTTCAACTTCTGCCAACTCCACAACAAAACGGAGTGAATCTGACATGTAAGACATCGAAATCCTTCTCTGAAATATGGCTCAACAGCCCCACCGATGGTGTGAGAGCAGAGCGTAAATTTTCTAGTTCTGAAAACGCAGCCGGAGACAGGGAGTTTGCTCAACAGGTTTCGACAGAGGAGAAAGGTCCGTGTGAAACAGCTTTGACTCCCAAAGGACTCTGGTCAGACTCCGAGTCTGTAAATACCACCTCGCTTCCTGGGTCTGGTCACATCACAACAACTGCAGCAACCGTAACAACATCGACTCCGCCTCTGCTGCCTTCGCCCTCATTGTCCAAAGTTGACGAGGTTCTCTGCGACTCTTCTGGGTCTTACCACACAGCCGTGTGCTCCGTAACCCTGGACAACCTCAGTGACAGCAGCGGGCCGTTCGAGGGCATCGAGGACCTCCCAACTGACTCAGCCGCTGAAAGTGACCGGGCGGTTGGTCTGTCCGATATCAACCCAGGGAGCGAGCGAGGACCTTTGAACATTCCTGAACTCGGGGGCTCCTTCCCCCAATGTCCACCGGGACCTCAGTGTGGCCTTCCTGAAGGAGATGGGGAAGGATTTGATGACACTTGGGAGAGGAAGTTGTGTGGAGGTGCTGGTGAGTGGAAGCCCTGCGGGTGGAACCGAGAGATGGAATCCTGTAACTCGGATGGTGGGAATGAACTCAGACTTGATTCTGGACGTGAAGAGGAAAGAGGAACAGCTGATGGGAACCATTCCTCGGGGTGTGAGGCTGCCCCTGGATGGCTGGAAGGAGGTGACATTGGCTTTGTTGATGTGGCTTCCGACAGCTGTTCGCTATCAGTGAGTAGCAACTCATCAGGCCTGGCAGCCATTAACGGCACCTCCACTAAACATGATCCACGGGTGGGAAATAGAAGAGGCAAAGAGAGCCGAGACCAACAGGTTCAGCTGCCCATCAGCCCCGGAAATAGCCAGACTGGGAAGGGCTGCGGGGGAGCAGGAGATCAGAGCCTGGAGAGGAACCCGCTGGAACAGGCAGACTTCCACCCACACCCAGGACCACAGACGCCCCAGGAAATGTCTCGAGGGGACTTGGCTTCTGAGGATCGTCGGAAGAGCTATCATCGCACTCGGTGTGAGAGGGCTCCCCCCTATTGTGTGAGTGAAACGTCCAGCGTGGATGAGACTGATAGAGAGGTTCGGAGATTAACATCGCTGGCCTTTCGAAGTTTGTCCTGCCCGGGCAATGGGTACTTTGACATTTCCGACTGTAGATCATCTGCGGGTTTGTCACCGTCCTTGTCGGAGGAAGGAAACAACGACACCGATATGTGGTCAACCTACCGCGAATCAGGGCATTGCCCCATTGACTCAGAGAATGCCGGGTGGAGCTACAGCCCCAGTGACACTGCAAGGTTCACTTCAAGCCCTGAGTCAGGGGAACGCAACAAGGACATGTCAGATGATGCGTTCGATAGGACGCAGTTTGAGTGTGTGGATGTGATGATGGAAAGCCAGGAGGGAAAGGGAGGGAAAACAGCGAGCAGGACTGTCCCCAAGCGCCAGATTCAACTCAAAAAACGTGAGAGGAACAAACTGGAGGTCTTTCCCCCGAGAGGTGACGCAGACTGTCCTGCTGATCTGGGAGTTCGGCCAGAGCACGCCAATGAGGAAATGGTGGGACGTTCTGGAAACGTCCGCGACAGCAGCACGGCTACAGAGAGCGCGAGGGGAGGCGCAGCGCGAGGGAAAGAGGAAAATAATAACCATAAACGGCTGCCCAGAGCTTCGTGCACAGGAGATTCGGTGACGAGGAGCAAGCAAGCTTCCTGCCTCATCACAAACGTCATATTGAAGAAAATGCAGTTCGAACGAGGTCTGAAGATGAAACCGGGGGCAGGCAGGGATTCTATCTTTGCAAACGTGAAGGACTCTGAGTTTTGTGACGACGCATCGAAGCGGGTTCAGCGTCAAGATTCTAGTTCACGATCTGAGACCCGTGTCGTTGCGGAAAACCTCCCAGATAACCACGGAAACAAAAGCCCGGACGTCAAGGGAATTCCAACGACAAAAGACGTACGTTCAATGCGTGAGGCCAATCCGTTTTCAGACGAGCAGTCGGGCGATGATATCTGTCGCGAGAAAGGCGAGCTCAGGAACTGGAAGGAAAGTAGCCAAGATGGGCAGAATGATAGAACGTCAGGTAGAGATCCGGATCCGACCCGGCAGAGACTGTGTCCAGCGTTGATTCCCTCCGGAAGTGTTCCCGCAGAGCAAGAGGAAGATAATGACAAACTACCGGCCTCACAGGGCAAACGAGTGGATTGCTTTGCACAGCGCGCCAACCGAACATTGGAAACAAGTCAGTCAATACAAAGCAAAAAGTTGTTGTGTTACCAGAAAACCAGCCGTGTTCTGCTAAGTAAGAGGAAAGTTTCCGATATTACGTTTACATCGAAATCACCAGGGATAATCCTGGCTCCTCAGTTAGTGAATGAGAAACAAACCGATGGTAAAAGTTTGGGATCCATTTCCAAGGCTCAGACACTTCCCACTTTGTGGAGGACAGGAGCCGAAGAGAAACAAGATAAATTGCCGCAGTCTGACACAGGTGAGAGGTTTTCCGCAGAAGGTAAAACGAAAGGCCCTATTATACATCATGTCAGAGACGTGCAGAAGCTTGTTAGAGACCAGCGTGATGTTTTAACCTTCACCACTCACGAAAGTGAGCTCAGTGAACCCAAAAGTGTTTCTCTCGCTCCGAGTTTGAACCATTCGAGTCACTCAAACCAGAGTGAGCCTGCAGTGAGGAGCAGAGCTCTGCCACCAATTGTTATTGAGTGTAGGTCAATCAGCAGGAAGACCAACAAGGACAATGACACATGCTTGTCGGTCGCTGAGAAATATTGGGCGCGTGTGGAGGGAAAACATAGCTCAAAGGTATTTTCTTCTGACCTCAAGCTGCCGATTCCGTCCGACAAACACGAGAAGAGACAGATTTCCATTTGTGCGGCCATCAGCCTGAGTCGCTGTGTGACAGGAAACAAAGACTTGGCTCATTTCAGCGGGGCCAAGAACTCTGAGAGGCGGATTCAAGCCTTGTCCATATCGAGCAACTCCGGTTTGGAATCGTCCTTCACAAAAAAACGACGTGAGAGAAATTGCCGCCACGGGGAAGAGGATGAAAATACAGATCCAACCAGTCATGAATTAACTAAGGAAACAACTGAGTTGAGACCTGGAAAGGAGAAACAATCTGGACTGGATCTTCTGAACCCAGTTTTGGCAAAGTCTGGTGCAACTGATCAAGATGCAAGTTCGTTTGGAAAAGTGGAGCCTAATGTGGAGTTTGAGAGTCAACTGGGAAACCAGAACCAGAAAGGTTCAACTGTTTCCTCGCCGACCGAGGGAAGTTCCCAGATAATAAGTTGCGAAGGTGAGGAGAGACGAGAGGGTTTAAGGAACCGGCAGATTCCAAGTCTGCCTTCAGAGAATTCAACATCAACCGCAGGAATTGTCAATTGCTCACAAGCCAATGATGAACGTCCAAAGGCGTCGGAAAGAAAAGTGGAAACTGAGGATAAACCTTCAAGGATTTCATGCCTCGAAAATGCAAATGTCGAAACATCAAACGGGAAAAGTATCCCTCGAAGTGCGATCGAGGTTGAGTCGGAAAATCCAGACGAACTCCTCAGTAAATCTGTTATTGAACTGACAAGCACATCGCCTCAGAGTGATAAAGGTATCGAGGTGATAACAGAGAGCAAAAGCAAACCTTTTGGGAACCTAAGCTCAAATGACAAAGAAACCCAAACGTCAGCTTGGAAACGCAGGCACCAAGGGGACGTCACGGTCCGTCCAGAAATACCTAGGAAAGACGTGGAAGATGGAACGTGCGACGGTGACGATGGCAGAGCATTGTCCCACACGGAGCAGGAGAAAACTGAACATGGAGTCAGATTGGAAGACGGGAACAGGTTTTTGGAAAAATCTACTCCCAACAGATCAAATGGGAACTTGCCGTCAATTGGAAAGGCGGAGGCTGAACGTCCGATTGTATTTGCTTTGGACGATGGGAGTGAACCGGGAGCTTGTTCCGTTTTGAGTAGCGGGAATGACAACACTTCAAGCAGGATAGATGAGCGCGAAACAGAGGAAAACAGTGACCTACACAATGAGACTTTACCTATTGGCACTTATGGCTCAACCTGTGAAAGATTAAGCCATTGTCTGAGAAGAATAAGGGTAATGGAATGGCCGGTGCCAATTATTTATTGGGCAACGCAGTTTCCACCGAGGCAGGGGACATCAAAGATGAAAGTGAGATGCAGGCTGGGTTGAGTGATGAGGATAAGCTCGACCATCATTGCGTTGGGAATCGGGGATCACTTGCTAAAAGCGAGGGCAAAGAGGACGCCATAGAACCCATCGCCCAGACAGGACAGGGAGAAAATGAAAAGACACAGAGTCCGGTAAACAGCGGAATGAGGTTCATTAGTGAGTTCCAACCGGTCAAAGATACCTGTGGAGTCTCGGTAATTTCGGGGGAAGGAGGAGAGCAGAGTCCTCGCTGGTCAGAATGGAGTGCGATGGGAATCGAAGGGAATCCTCTTTCGCCCGAGCCAAACCCGTTCCCGAGTGACCCTGTCGATTCCCGATGTTCGGTCGCCAGACTCCGCCCGCCAGGGAATCGCCTAGTTTCGAGGAGAGCGCGGAAAACGTAGCCTCCGCACAAGCGATTGATGCCAAAATGCTCCCGGATCGATCGGTATTATCACCCGGCGTCCAGAGATCAGCGGGAAAAGCACCGGGGACTCTATCACCCTCCACCGGTTACCATGGGAACTCGCATCCACCAGGAAATCAGGGTGTCGAATTCCTCACTGGTAAAAACCCTGACCAGGACAGACACCCATCCTTCGAGGCCAAATCTACCCGGGAAGCATCCGCGCAATGTGAGGCACCGTTCTCCTCAAACGCAGTGAATTATCTCACCATTCCTGTTCAGCTGCCTCCTCCTCCTTCTCCTGCTCCTTTTGTGCCTTCGATCCCAAACAGCCCTCAATTCCAACATGCCTGGGAGACCCCACTGCCTCACAAAATGGGAAGTCAAACATTTCCTCTCCACTTCTTCCCCAAGCACCAACCCTTGGTAGCTTTCTCGCAGCACTGTTGCTTCGCTTCTCCTCAGCCTTCAGATCCAGTGTGGCCGCCTCAGTCAGTCCCTTTCCTGCCACCTCCCAGATCTCTGGACGTCATGGAGAAGTGTCCCGAGTTGCCCTTATCTCCTGTTGTGGAGCACCATCATCCTCCCTTTCCATTCTCCCCAGTGCAGAACAAGATGCTCGTTGACCCAGAGACCGGGAAGTATTACTTGGTACAAGCTTCAGTACAGTCCCCACGCAAGATGCTGTTGGATCCAGAGACGGGTCAGTACATTGAAGTTATAATCCCTCAGCAGAGCTATTATCAAGCCCCCTTCTCCCCGTATGTTTTAAGTCCAGAGGTCTTGAGACCACCCTATATGCCCGGCCTGCAATACCCTGCCATGTCTATGGCATCTCCTGTTGTATCTCCTGAGCAAAAGCCACCGCGTGAAGCTGGCATCTGTGTGGGCGAATATCCAAACCAAAGCCACAAATACGATGGGCAGAAGAACCAGCTCTCGGAGTCTGACTGTATGGAAAGTCTGTACTATCTCCCGACAGGTGTGACTGCAAACACAAGTCCAACGCAAGCCTCCCTGCAATTGGTCTCCATGCATTCGACTCACTCCAAGTCTCACGTAAAGGTGACAGAGGAATCTATGCTCATCTTATCCTCACAACAGAGCCAAGGGCTAAGCACCCTGGCATCCCGCGGGAGACCCACCAACTTTGCGGTGGAACAAAAACAAAAATAAAGGGAAAAATATTGCACTGAGCCTAACGCAACACATGTCACCAAAGGCTGCTTAGCTGTGATTCCTTCAAATGACTGCAGGGGGAGAGAAACCAATGAAAATACCCTACAGTTATAATAATCATTCTCTCCCTCCCCCTCCCCCCCCCCCCATGAGATCGCTCCACTCTGAACAAATTGCTTGTCTGACTTCCTGTAGAAGCAAAGTAATTGAACATTTTTTTTGTAATTCTCAAATTACTTTCAACTGTGTGGAAATGTAATGAAGGGAGTGGGGGGTGAGGGGGAAACATTTCTTTCTGTCAGGTCAGCTACTCACATTGACCCAAATAAAATCCAAACAGTCAAACCAGATTGTGACTACCTATAGTATTTTTACGATAGATGTCATTTTCATATGTAACTCCGAAACCTAGATCGTGTGGCCCTCAAGTCGTATAAACAATAAACCAAAATATCTGACTACAATTCTGGTCAAGTTGCTCTGCGATGCAAAGTGTAGTCATTGTTACGTTTTGTAGAGATGCTGACTCAAATCTGTTTGGTGCTTTGTCCTTCATTTGACTCGAGGCCTTATCACATGGTCAGAAACAAAAAATTCCTTAAAAATATAATAATAATAATTTGGGCACTCAATCCACAACCGTTTGTGGGACACTGCTGTGTGCGATTGGCTGCCGCATTTCGCCCACAAAATGCACAGTCAGTCCACTTTACAGTAAGACATGATAAGGTGCTATATCAAATGCAAGGATTATTATTATTACAGTATATCCTGTGAAGCGCTTTGAGATGTCTCAATGACACGATAAGGCACCATGTCAAATGCAAGTATTATTATTATTCTTACATGTATTTTAAAAGGTCTGAAATCTATTATTGTCATTATCCTTAATAATCCGTACATTTGATACAGCGTCACAAGATGTTCCACAGAGTTGTTCCACACAATTGATCCAAACTAACTATTACCCTTTTTATATCCACTGGTTAGGAGAGCACAAGGCGTCAAATAGCAAAGGTCACATGTACAACCAAAGAAATGTTACTGGAACAAGCCGGAAAGACAGCCCTCTGGCCAGATAACAAGAGGAAGAGCTTCCTGCTAACAATAGGTGCTAAGAAAAACCTCAAAAGATACAATAGTGATAATACTAATAATAATTGTGTTTGATACAGTGCCTCATCATCTCAAAGCGCTTCCCAGGATTACTGTAAAGCGTAGTAAATGTGTGTTTTGTGGGCGAACGCAGCAGCCAATTTGCACACAGCAACGCTCCACAAACAGCCACAGAGTGAATGACCGATTTTTCTGAGAAAGTTAACTTTAACTCTAAGAAAGTTTAACTTCAACTCAATGTCTCCCCCCCACCCCCCACCAATCTGTGGTCTCTCACTCTCTATCCGTGCTCTCTGTCTGTCACGACTTCTCTCCCCCAGCTTATCCGTGCTCCCTCTCTTTCCCAGTCTGTGCTCGTGCTCTCTCCCCCCCCCCCCCCCGCCACATATCTGTGGCTCTGGGTTAGGAGCAGACGAGAGCAGTGAATAATTTCCCCAGAACGACCTTTGCTCCTGTTTTTATGCTGTGTAAAGAATGATTACTCCGGCGTTTGCAATCCGCGTGTTGGAGATAAGAAGAACTCTATCCTTGTTAGCTAGTGTACTTCCATCCATCAAACCCGTTATCTCACCGGGCTGCGGAGTGACTAAATGACCCGAAATATACCACAGGCTCCATCCACCTATCTATCTGCCAGTGTTTCAACTCATTAATTATCTACAGACTCTCAAAATCAATGTTCCTTTGTTCATTCCTTTCATGGTTTGGGAATTTTAACTGTTTGTGGAATCCCATAGTGTAGTGGTTAGTATACTTGCCTTGCAAGACAGAATATCCGTGTTTGAATCCTTGGCGGGGCGAAACCTTAGGCAAGTTTCCTTACTCCATGCGCCTGTTTGCCTAGCTTCTTGGGGGTAATAATCCCTTAAAAAAATAATAATAATTTGGTCACTCAATCCACAACTATTTGTGGCACGCAGCTGTGTATTTTCCCACAATAAACACAGTCAATCCACTCTACAGTAGAATATACACAGTCAATCTACTTTACATTTTACAAAGCGCTGTGAAGCGCTTTGAGACGTCTCGAGGATGTGATGAAGCGCGATATCAAATGAAGGATTATTATTGTCTCTTGCTTTATCCTTCCTGTTTTGGGGGAACTTTCCGGAGCAGGGATGGTGCCAGGGCCAGAGGCTGTCTCATGGCTCTCTCTACCCCCTCCCCCCCCAACCCGGTTGTGAGTTCCCTGAGATTTCTAGTTGTTGTTAGCGGGATGTGGACCTGAGACACCGTCCTTCAGATGAGATGTTGAACCTCACTCTCTGTCTATGCCTTGTTCAGTGGGTTGTTAAAGATCAACCCGAAAAGAGAAGGGAGTTTCTCTCTCTCCCTGGCCGTCCCTGGTCCCTGCCGTCAATCCGCCAGCCGCCCCCAATAGATAAAACTGGTTGTTCACTTCAGGGTTGTTTACAGGGACGTGGCAAATGCGCTGTCAAAAAACGCAGTAACTACACATTACAGCAATTCTCTGTGGAACATCTTGTGACGCTGAATCAAATGTACGGATTATTAAGGATAATGACAAATCTCAGCGGTTGCCATGGTTCCAGTAACTTTGTAACCATGTTCTATCTCTGCTAATGACTGATCTCAGCTGGGTTGCCATGTCTACATTAAGGACAGAGTCCATCTGTGTGTGTGTATGTTTTCCTGCCTTCTCCAGTTTTCTTCTCTCTCCTTCAATTATCTGTGCACGCACTTGTAATCATTGACTCCTCTCCCCCTCTCTTGATATCTAAACAGCTTCCCATCACCGTGAACTCTGCCTTGCAGCATCATCAGATAATAATCCTTGCATTTGATACCTACATATATTTTGTGGACAAAATGACTTGGAAGGTCCTCCCAACGTGAAAGGTGCTATAGAAATGTAATTTTGTTGTTGTTGTATTACGTCACTGCCTTACTCCACACTCGTGGAAAAGAACGGGAGCTTGAGATACTTCTTTCAAACTTTGTGCCCGTCTTTCACCAGCGCTGTTGGTGATGTTGCCCACTCGCCAGGGTAAGGATGTCAGTCTAAGCCCAGGGTGACCCACTGACACAGATTGAGGCGTGTGGACCAGAACCATGTCAGACCGAGAGTTAATCAGTGTGAACTGAAAGCAACAGCAACAAACACAGGGCACATTCTTTGTTACCAAAAACAATGCTTGTTTTTTCAGTAAATATCCAAAGCAGCCAATGGCTGACAGTGCCACACTATAACTCTAGCCTCGTAACACATCCACAGACACAAATACCTGTCCTCCGCGATGCACTGCTCCTGGAGTCTGATGAAGAGACTGACACAGGGACTGAGAACATAATAATAATAATTGTTGCAT